AAAAATAAGTTAACAGTCTTTATTTTAGATTCCGATTGTGACTTTGGTTCTGGTTGATGAAATCCTTAAACAATAAAAACCAAGAAGCATCGCCTGACAATGTTGGTGTGTCGGGACCAAAGATTTCGATTTGATTCCCCAAAGTGGGTCCTGTCTTCTGCCATTATATGTGTGGAATAATGTTCGAAGTGGGTCCTGTCCTCAGTCCTCTGCCATCATATGTGTGGAATAATGTTCAAAGTGGGTCCTGTCCTCAGTCCTCTGCCATCATATGTGTGGAATAATGTTCAAAGTTGGTCCTGTCCTCAGTCCTCTTCCATCATATGTGTGGAATAATGTTCAAAGTTGGTCCTGTCCTCAGTCCTCTGCCATCATATGTGTGGAATAATGTTCAAAGTTGGTCCTGTCCTCAGTCCTCTTCCATCATATGTGTGGAATAATGTTCAAAGTTGGTCCTGTCCTCAGTCCTCTGCCATCATATGTGTGGAATAATGTTCAAAGTGGGTCCAGTCCTCTGTCCTCTGCCATCATATGTGTGGAATAATGTTCAAAGTGGTGTTAAGCAATGCTTATTCTCTGAAGCTCTATTAAATATGTTCTTATAGATCCAGAATATGGCACATATGATCATTGTGAATGCATTCATTTGAAAGTACAAATTTGACTCCAATGAAAGTTGTGCAAATTTCATATCAATGACAAAAACTCACTTTAACAAAAATAATGAAATCTACAAAACTTGATTTTTCAACTGAATTTGCAAGAAACTGTTATGAGTTATTGAGAGTGATGATACCAAGATTACAATAAGAACTATGTTTTGTGAACGATCATTTGGAGACGACCGTCTGTTGCCACATTGTGAAGCAGGTTGTGGCACTTTGACTGGTTGGTAAGATGAAGCTGGCTTCAAGTGACATGTCAGTCTTGGCTACCAAGCAAAATCTTTGTCTTCAGCCATTTTGGCAAATAATAAGATTAACTTTGTGTTACAACAAAAGCTATGTATTTCCTTTAAACTTCTGTATTCATTGAATGTATCTTCCTTCCACAATACTCTACCTCTATTTGAGCCAGGTGAGCTAAATAAATATATTCATAACTTGTTTCTGTTGATGTGTTTAGTATATCCTGTTGAACGTGCTGAACTGATCATGAGAATTAATTATTGACAAGTTTATCTTCATAATTAGTAACATTATCACTGATACAGATAAGGAAATTTATCAACTGAAGGAAATGTTTAGTGACAGGTCACCACAACAGAGAGTAAAACACTGTATCTAAGATGTACCTGACATTCAAACTAATATTGACCTGCCAGCCCTTCACTAAAAAGTCCCAGGTATTTACTTTGCGTGTTATCCTCGTACTGTATAGTCAGATGCCTCTCTGCCCGAGCCTGACGGGCCGTGAGCCCCACCTCCTTACAGCACACGCTCAAGCGGCCAGAAGAAAAGCCTGTCCCGCGGTAGTGTTCAACTATTGATCCTCCTGACGGATCATGTGACCTCATTTCAAGGTGGCAGTACCAATCAATATGTAGATATAAATGTTAAGAGTTGCATGCCTGCTGGTCCATCAGACATTCATTAAAGAGTCGGGGAAGTTGGATTACGGTTGTGGGTACTCTGGTCCTCGTCATGGTGGGATGATTCTGCTCCTGCAGCCTCTGATGGGAGTTGGTTGTTCCAATTCGGCAGGTAGTACCTCCAACTTTCAGGACTTTACTGCTGGTTATCAAGCCATCATTGCATGGTACTGGGTGATTTATGTTCCTTTAGGATGAGAGGTTCTCGTGTTGACTACGGGACTTTGGAATTTCCTGGTTGTGTTAGGTCGGGTATTTCGCCACCTGTACCTGTGTACTGTGTGTTTCCGATACGATTAGTCAACACTTGAATCTTGTTTTATGTGCCATGTATTGTGTCAAGTTTAGGTTTAGAGTATTGAGATATTGAATTTGATTTACTTTGAAGTAAGTTTGAAATTTGTATTTTTTTCAACTGAAGTACATTTTGTTATGGACTGTTTGCATGAAGGCTTCAGTATATGTGACTTTTCTGCTCCTTATGTTAATATTAGGATCATGCGGAAACATAGAAGCTATAGCTGTTCGTGCAGCAGATCTGAGTTCAAGTAAACTATGTGGAATTATCAAGATTTTGATTTAAGTTAGTCATGAAGTGTGTTCCTTGAAACTTTACAAAATGCTTTCTGTGTTTTTATGAGATGGACATGTTAGAAATAACCATGGAAATCAAGGCATGGTAACCTCAGTGTTAGAGATATGTTGGTCCCTAGATTCAAGCACAACCCCCTCACTGAGATTGGTAGACTTTTTTAGTATGAAATTGGAAATATTTCAGGTAGATGTTGTAATGCTATGTTTATCCCAGTAATGTAACCACTCAACTGATATATTAAATAGCATTTATTATTCACATAAACTGTCTGTAACACGATGACGTAATTCATAATTAATTCACTACCCACGACTTGATGTTATTCATTGCTAACAAAATTGGCTTCAAATATTCAAGGCTGTTATGAAACCCACAGGCATCATAAATAAGCTTGCTTCTTTCACTAAAACTATCGGATTGCTAGGAAGTATTGACTGATTTTGTTTCCGAGTAGATGAATGTATTTATGGAAACCAAATCCTCCAAGTTTTTTCCTTCTTCACAACCAGTTTATCTGGTGAAGCTATTTGTTATGACGACCATTTTGTTCATTAAACAAGCCCAAGACGCAGCCATGTGAGACGTACTTGTCATTGGAAACAAAACAAAAGTAACCAGCTTTTTTGTTACGTACAATACAGCTATTTTGCGAATAGGCTTAGCTGGACGAGTGTTTACATTAGGATTCAAGTTTCAGAATTAGCAAAACAAGTGTGTGTTTTACAGGCTGGTTTGCTTTAGAGCTGACAGTTGACTCGTTATAAGCAATGTAATGGAATACTGACATGGAATAAGCTTTGTCAACATTATGTCCAACTGTTGTGTTAGATTCTGGGTGAAAATATTCATCTTTGAAGCTGTTGAGGGGATGATGTGTACTGTTTTCTTTTTGAAGGCATGTTTGTTTCCTACGAGGAAAATATAAATAAAATTACGAAGGTGTAAATGAAATCTGACCAATCCAAAGATTTGCTGTTGCTGTAACGACAGGTGTTTGAATGTGATAGACATCTTCCTGAACATTTACCTTGATAAATTTGTTTGATTATTAATATCGTTGTGATAGATTACTTTGACAAAGTATAGTTTTATAGCTTGATCAGTCATATGTGTTATAAAAAGAATGTTTGTGTGATTGGGGCAGACTGTTGCAAAACATGTCAGTGAATGTAAAAGAATAACTTTTTATCCAAACATCTTATCCTTACTTATGTAAAACATGTCCGTGAATGTAATGGAATAACTTTTTATCCAATCATCTTATCCTGACTTATGTAATGGAAGCCAGTTTTGATTGTTGGACTGTCATGATATAGTCCTTATGAGGAATGTAATGATAAACCTGATCTGTTTTGTAAAGGCCGGATTAGATAAATTGGAAATATGTAAATAGCATGTTATTTTTAAGTTTGTTAGCAGGAACAGATTTGCTGATAGTTGCCAAATTGGAAATTTCAATAAGAGTTCAGTATGGTATGTACTGTGTGATCTTGGGTTTAATAAGGTGATCCGAGTTACACCTGGTACATGTGTCTCACTCCATCCCAGTTTGTATCCACCCTACAATGTAATGCTCTGTTGGTTGTGAACTTTCACTTCGGTGATGGTAACAGGCGACGTGACATGTCTCGGACAGTGAGGAAGCTTATACTTTGTCATTGTTTGGGCAGTTGCCCTGGAAACAGCAGTGTATGTGTTACTTGTTTCACCTGCTGTACAACATTTGTCTATTAGGTGTAAATCAGGTTAGCTTGGGGAACTTTCAAATGTGTTTCTGAACGAATTTTACTTTTTGAGGAAAAAGTTACATGGTTGTCATGGTAAGGTAACCTTTTTTTTATTTCTTGATTTACGGATGGAGTGCTCTTTCAAGGGCCTATCGTATCCCAATTGCGTGGATTGATGCTTATGATGTCAATCACTGGATTGTCTGGTCCAGACTCGATTATTTACAGACCGCCGTCATATAGCTAGAATATTGCTGAGTGTGGTGTTAAAAAGAAACAAAACAAATCTTTCAAAGTCCAAATGTTGAAAAATTGAGATGTTTTACTTTTGTTACTCCAGAATATTTTTTATATACCTACCTAACTTTTTAAGACCAAAGTCAAGTAAAAACAATCCGAGTGGGTTTGTGGTTTTTAATTTGCCTACCTCACTTTTGAAATTGTTTGAAATCCGTAAACCAAAAAAAAAAAAAAAATGTTGCCTCAAGGGGTTGCTATTCACCATGTTCACAGTGCTTTTGTTTGTAATACCCATCATACTTCAAGTAAAGTTGCGATTCACTGGCTGATCTGCGTTGTGCTTTACCTGCGATGAAGGCTTGGTTTAAGTAAGCTGGTATATTAAGATGACAGGACAAGCCTAGAAATAAGATGGTGGGGACTCCAGAGCGGAGGATCCAGGAGCTGACTCCGATGGGAACTGTTGAATATGAAAATGCTAGAGTGGCCACTTCTTATCACAAGTGTTATGTAGCCCTGGAGGCTAAGGCAATGGTCACTTATCTTAAATAACGTAGTTGACTGTGTCATCTTTCCTGCCTGTGGGGATTTGTATCTCTGCTTTGGAGAAATGAGGAGAGCACCATAGCGCAGGTTCTTCTGAAATGTCATGACTTTAGTTCTGGATGATCCCAGGTTGGCTGGCAGTGGTCATTGAGGTGCTCGTTGCACAACTGGGGTTGTTTATTTAGAAGTGTGAATAAAACATTAAGTTATTGGTACGGTACATTTGAAAGAAACAAGAAAAATAATTATGTCCCCCAGATTTGTTGTCGCCCAATTATGAATTGCTTGGTGGCCATTGCAGATATCAAAGAAAATGGCTTCCATCGTCCTGACCACAAATCTACACCGCGGCCTTTCCTAGACCCAATCTCAGGTAAGTAATGTTCTCCCACCCCGCATCTACCCACCCACACTAGCCAGGAGTACTAGCCATCAATACTAGCCTACTAACAGCCTGAACCACAGCACTGTTTGATTTCCTTGTCTAACACATTGATTAACACATGAATGTATTACCAGACCATTGCCAAATGGGGTGTTGGGTCAACATGGGAAATTAACTTCATGTCCATTAGAAGTTTGCTTGAGGTGTGGTCATCAGCTGCTTCGTGTGCTGTATGTTTGATATGTGCGTTGCATTTGCTTTCTTTCTACAATTGCTATAGACATAGTAGACTAGTGTCCCGTGCATATTCATAATTGTCGATGTGTATGTTTGCTGTTGATTTGAGCGTGTAGGTGAAAGTTAGATAGACGTTAGTGTGATGGGATTTGTCTGGTTGTCTTGATAACTTGTATATCAGAATGTTAAACGTGATTTTGATATTTGAATTGTGAAGAAAAGGCAGACAGGTCCGCAGTGAATATTGAAATAACACGAGACAGAAAGAAACGTAGGACCATGTTGTGATGATGCGACACATTCATTCAGCGTAATACTCCTCTAGGTTCCGTTGTGATGTTGATCTAACAGTGTTGCCAGTGTCATAAATTGTCAGGGCTATTTTCGTAGCTTATTACCAGCTTTATGACATGCGTTGCCCATTTAGCTTGCAGGGACCATTGTCTGAAGTTGTTGTGTTTTCCTGTTCATTTGCTGGATAAATAATTCGCTTAAGTAGAATCTGCTTTGAACTATAGATGAAGGCTTGATGCACACAAAAATGAGGATACAGGAAGATTTCCCAGGTGTTTTCATATGTAGGCCTTGAAAAGAATAAAAGCTGAATGTTTCCAAATGGACTTACCTTAACATTCAGAGTAAGAGCTGACTTATTGAATGACTTTTTTAATGTGTTTTTTTGTCTGGAAACATTGTGTCCAACATTATGAAACTTTATGGGTACTGATAACGTTAATCTGTGTTTGATATTGGAGGGGTATTTCTTGTAAGGGTATTTTTTGTAAGATTTTCAAGGCTATAAGCTTTTATACCATTATAATCTCGGCCCCTGTCCTCAGAGCTGTCAGGGGCGGTCGGGTAGCCTAGTGGTTAAAGCGTTCGCTCGTCACGCCGAAGACCCGGGTTCGATTCCCGACATGGGTACAATGTGTGAAGCCCATTTCTGGTGTCCTCCGCCGTGATATTGCTGGAATATTGCTAAAAGCGGCGTAAAACATACTCAGTCAGTCAGTCAGAGCTGTCAATGATCACTCTAAGTGTGTGTAAAAGAATGACAGTTAGTCTTAGCGCTAAGAACGAGGCCCTGTAGTCTGTAAGCATTGCAAGAACATTATGTTGATGGCCTCACATCAACACGCCATCTACTTGGTGTCATAACGAGATAACTAGTTGTCACCCTGACGGTTGCTGTTATAATGTTCCATCTCATATTGTTGACCATGTTTGATGAGGACTGTAATGCCGGGATGGCTGGTTGCAATGTTTGTATCATCAGGCCATCAGAGGCAGCCATAGTTACAGAGAGAACAATAGGAAGGATTTGTAATGCTCTGGATGCTGCTCAAAGCTAATGAAGTGTGAGAAACATCATTATTCATATTCACTACTTCACAAGGAATCCTTGGGTTTGCATTTGTTTGTTTTTTTGCCTTGGCAACATACTTACTGGACTCGGGTCAAGCACCATTTCGCCACCAAGGATTCAACTAGTAGACAAAGTAAGCTATTCATCAACAACTGCCATTGTTTTCTCACCGTAGGGATGCGGTGCTTTTTGGAGTTGGAAGTGAAGCGTTCTGTCAACACAACTAAAGCGTTAAGGATAAGAGAGAATCGACATAATCTATAGTTTAATCCCACATCTAAGAATTGTCAGATTTGGAAGATAAGGTAAGGGCAGAGTGATGCATTTAATCAGCAATCAACATTAAAGGAATGGTCGCAGGGATATTGTATGCTGTTATTGCTATTTGATTGATCTAGTTGACGGCTGAATGATGGAGCAATCTCCTCACTGTTACTGTAGCATAATCTGTAAGCTGTTGGTGCTCGCACTCACCAGACCATAGGTAACTACTAATGGTACTGGATCTGTGCTGTGATTGTCACGAACAGGAAGTGTTCCTCAGTTTCTGTTGATGTCATCCCATCATCATGGGACTGGGTGGATGTTGATGGTGCTGGCGACTCTGTTGACTCGATTGATTGCTGTGAACACAGATAAGCATTAATAGTAGAGACGTCCACTTTCATTGTTTAGATATACCCACACGTTTGATGTCACTGATGTAACTATTATCAGCAATTGATTTTTGGTATTTGAGGGAGCAACTTCCCATCAATAATTTTCAAAGCTTTTGATGGTGGTGGGTGTGTCAATAGGGTGTTGCAGGTCATATAAATTTCATGGTTGTTTTTTTTAAATGTTTTTATGACTGATAATTACTTGGCTTCCATATCCAGTCTGTTCTAGCGGTGTTGAATTGCTTGTCAATGTATTTTCTTTGGCAAGCCTCATTCAAAGCAAATGTTTTGATGTAGTTCCCATGGTTGTGAGTCAGCTCTGCGGAGACCTGATAGAGGGGTCTGTCAGCTGTAGCTATAGATATGACAATCTATAACAGTATCGTATTGTACACTCGGAGCATTACTCAATACAACCAATTGATTGATGTAGGCGTCTATAGCGTCTTGATTTCCTACCCGGGCAGGATGTAACCATCTTAGCTGGTACTGTGTGTGCACTCTCTGACATGTGTTATCAACAGTGTCTAATCACAGCTTAAACTGGAGATAAGATCGTACAAGGAAACACTTTAGTCCAATGATGTAGGTAGAAAAACATTTGTCTGTTAATACTAGGGTTGGATATCGATCAATTATCAATAAATACTGCCTTGATCTTGATGGAATATTGGTGAATGCAGCTTTAAACCCTCTCACTCACTCAGAGGTGGTGTTGGGTGGTATATTTCTTATATACTAGCTCACCTTGTTGAAGATCTGTGTTTCACATGTGAGTACAATGTGTGAAAACCTGTGTTTCACATGTGAGTACAATGTGTGAAAACCTGTTTCACATGTGAGTAAAATGTGTGAAAACCTGTCTCACATGTGAGTACAATTTCACATGTGGGTATAATGTGTGAGTCTGAGCCTGTTTAACATGTTGGTACAATGCTTGAGAGCCTGTTTCACATGTGGGTGCAATGTGTGAGGGCCTGTTTCACTTGTGAGTACAATGTGTGAGAGCCTGTTTCACATGTGGGTAAAATGTGTGAGAGCCTGTTTCACATGTGAGTACAATGTGTGAGAGCCTGTTTCACATGTGAGTACAATTTCACATGTGAGTACAATGTGTGAGAGCCTGTTTCACATGTGAGTACAATTTCACATGTGGGTACAATGTGTGAGAGTCTGTTTGACATGTGAGTACAATTTCACATGTGGGTACAATGTGTGAGAGCCTGTTTCACATGTGAGTACAATTTCACATGTGGGTACAATATGTGAGTCTGTTTCACATGTAATGTGTGAACACTTGTTGGGTTCTCCCATGGTAATCTTGCAGGAATATTGTTGAAAGTGAAACAAAGCTCTGTCGCGCTTTGTACTTCTTTGGGTTCATCGTAGAACAGAAGCAAAATTCTGACCGGATAAATTTGACATAAGCCTGAACCATGTCTTTGGAAACAATTCTATGACTTTAGTAAGCATGGCTAATTATAGTACCTTTTTTTTCTTTTGAAAATGTTTAAAACATTGGAACACGATGCTGAAGATCTGGGTTTGATCCCCATTTGTTTCCCCAATGTGTGAAGCTGTTAATTGCCCCCTCTGTGATATGGCTGGAGTAATGTCAGATTTATCAGCCAACTGTATGCCCTTCTGTTCGGTTAGACTTTTTTTAGACAAAGACACTAGTGCTACCTTCACTCTGATAAAGACTGATCCTATGATTTCACAGTCACATGACGCTGATAGAAGTTTGCAACAGTTGAACACATTCAACAAGAAGTTACCCTGACAGGCCTGTTGTGATGTCTCCATAACATAACATACCAGACTTAACCCAGATAAACCATTATTCCTATGACAATGGCTTATCAACTGGTTAACTGATCACAAAGTCTGATATTGGTGGTTTTTTAGTCAGCATGATATTCTAGCGTCCCACCCAAACTCAGTGTCACCTGGCTATATTGTAGAAGTGATCTGGAGTTGCTTAGCTGGAGATAGTACAGGGATCTCACATAGAGTGGAGCTAATCCGGACGTTTTACACTTACTTCAGCCGGCTTGTTTGTGTAGGCGACGTTTAGTGAAGGTCTCACATGTCTGTTCAAAGTATTTAAGTAAATTGTGATTACTTGCACTGTTTATTCGCAGTGTGTCTAAGTATTATGAGTGTTAGAATAACAATCAGAGTTTTTGGTGGAGATTGACTGGCAATGTTCGTAGATTGCAATGAGAATTTATTAGTTGAATTCTTGGTACATGGATTATTTTGTGAATAATCCTTGTTAAGTAAAAAATAAGATAAATTAAAGACATCAGATTGCTAGCTCACCTTACTGAAAGCTATCATTGCCATGGGAATGGCCTAAATGGTCTAGTGGATTAAGTGTCTGCCTGGAGAGTGGAAGGTTGACGATTCAATCCGCGTTCGCATCATACCAGAAAACATTGAATGTGGTACTTGCTGTTGCCTGCCTGATGCATTAAGAGGATAAGATGACTGGTCAGGAAGGAGTCCGTCTAATGTGTTTGAGTTATCCATGTTGAACTGCGGCATGGTGTCTCAGTATTGTGTGTCTATGTTTGCTTGCTATGTCTCATCAGGTCGTTTTTCCTTTAGTTACAAAAATTGCCGTTGAGTTTGTGAGAAGTATTTTATGAAGTAGCACAGATCATAATGACTTCATGATGGATTTAAACAAGTGAAGACAAAATACTAAGCGTGGGCCATGGTGAATGTTCGAAGATTAAGTGCCCCAGGGCTTGTCTGGCAGTGTTGAAGGCCTACAGTGAAGAGGGTCACAGAACCTTCAATATGTTGAAGAAGAAGTGTTGTTCCCTATCAATTATTGCTGTAATTGATGGTACAGTGCAGCAGATTCAGGATGGCTGTTCCTCTGGGCTTCCACGAACAGGAGAGAGTGATTGCAAAGATGGTTCAACTTTAATTAGCTGCCGTGACATGTGTGCTGTTTGCAGGGAGCAGTAGGTGAAGATGTTGCTGAAGGGCAGAAAAATAGGAGTGTTACACTTTGCCTAATTGTTTTAACAGGTTCTGAAAGGGGTTGAGTGCTTAAGGACTCATTCCCAGAACGAAGTTATGGTTATTGTCAATTTTCCTGAGCTTAAGTTACTTGTTGAAGAATTGTTCCAAGTTCTGTACTCAGACATGGATGTTGTTCTGGAACTCATTGGTTGCCAGTTTATTCGGGGTGAATGAGAGGACACTCTTAGGGTGAAATAAGTCAGGTAATATCATGTGTTTATTTGAGATAATAGCAGTAAAATGATGAAGCCAGCATATGAAGCTTGTGCTCTTTGTGTATTGTTATAGGACTTCCAAGTATGATCGTAAATCTCTTGTGTATGAGTAATAATATGGTTATCGTAAATGAATTATGGCATCCCCTACTTACCCACCTGACTTGAGTTTACGAGCCATCTTGTTCTGTGTCACCACACATTTCTTTTGGGTACCTAGAAATTGGCTCTGCACGTCTACTGCATCTACTGCATCTACTGCATCAATGTGTCATTGCATCCCTGCACACCTGGGCCCTACTGCATCGATGTGTCATTGCATCTCTGCACACCTGGGCCCTACTGCATCGATGTGTCTTTGCATCCCTGCACACCTGGGCCCTACTGCATCAATGTGTGATTGCATCCCTGCACACCTGGGCCCTACTGCATCGATGTGTCATTGCATCCCGCACACCTGGGCCCTACTGCATCGATGTGTCATTGCATCCCTGCACATCGGGGCCCTACTGCATCAATGTGTGATTGCATCCCTGCACACCTGGGCCCTACTGCATCAATGTGTGATTGCATCCCTGCACACCTGGGCCCTACTGCATTGATGTGTGATTGCATCCCTGCACACCTGGGCCCTGCTGCATCGATGTGTGATTGCATCCCTGCACACCTGGGCCCTACTGCATCAATGTGTGATTGCATCCCTGCACACCTGGGCCCTACTGCATCAATGTGTGATTGCATCCCTGCACACCTGGGCCCTACTGCATCAATGTGTGATTGCATCTCTGCACACCTGGGCCCTACTGCATCGATGTGTCATTGCATTCCTGCACACCTGGGCCCTACTGCATCAATATGTCATTGCATCAATGTGTGATTGCATCCCTGCACACCTGGGCCCTACTGCATCAATGTGTGATTGCATCCCTGCACACCTGGGCCCTACTGCATCAATATGTCATTGCATCCCTGCACACCTGGGCCCTACTGCATCGATGTGTGATTGCATCCCTGCACACCTGGGGTCCCTGCTGCATTGATGTGTCATTGCATCCATCGGTATTTGGGCCCATACTGCATGGGTATGTTTTTTATCCCTTAATTACCTGGGCCATATTGCTCCGATATGTCATTGCATCATGGCGTATCTTGGCCCTACTGCATCGATTTACTGTTGCTTACCTGGCCACTATTTATAAGCAGTATCTGTACACAAACAAAGAAGCAATGTTCATGTTTTGTGTAGTCCCTGATGCAAGTATATAACAAAAGGTCTTATGTGATCAATATGTGAACAGTAAATGCATGACTAGACACTTGTGTGACATGGCAGAAGAGATGCCTCTTCCTTGTCTTGTTGATGAATACACAAGACGCTATATCATTATATGACGTACACTGCCACTTGGCTTTGAGACACTGCTGAAATGTTATGTGCTTTATGTTAGATTGTCATTGTGCCAGAGTTTGTTGTCTGTTGATGTCATTGTTGCGTACTGGACCAGGCTGCATGCTAAATTAGGGTAATAGAATTTAAATTTCTTTAAATATTTCATTTCAAAATACATCTTTTATGACTCCCATGTAAAAATTCAGTCATCAAGGATCCTATATTGCTGTAATTTAAATAAAGTATGTTGTCTTTTTTTTATGTTTGGGGCATAGTAAAATATATGTGCAATAAAATTTTACATGGCTGCTTGAGCTGTTGTTTATGACAGTACATTAAATTTATGAATTGCTCTCCACACTGTATCTGCAATCATTCCCCACCCATCCCACCCCCTACCCCACTGGTCTCTCAAGTGGAGTTTACGAGCGGCCAGGAGGACACTAACGTTGTGTATATCTCAAGTGGGCCAGATTACATATTACAACAAATTAGGTCACTCACAGGGGCTGAAATTATGAGAAATTGATACAGTAATATCCTTTGGTTAGTAAGATAAGGTTTTATATATCAGGAGCTTTATCTTTGAATTAGATCAGCGTGATAAAGAATGATCCTAAATCTCATTGTGACTTATGTGACCGCTCCAGTTGGGTTAGTGACGTTCTCCAGTGTTATTTCTGTTCTATGGTTTGGGCAGTCACATAAGTTTCAGCCGAAACCAGCAACCCCCCCTCCCATTATGCAATATCATATTTAATTCCTGGTGTAAATGAGTATCCATTAAAGTGTCCCGCTGATGTTTGAAATGGGAAAGTAGGAGTAGAGACAGTGTGTACCGAGGAAGTCGGTTCAGGGTGTGAGTGGCGTCTATTGCACTGTGCCTGCCCCTCGGGGTGAAATGAACACCCAAGTTACAGGGGAGAGGTGTTTGTTGTAGTTAGCGTTTCTAGGTAATTTACAGCCCACAGAGTGGTCGGTGTTGATCTAGCAGGTCCCCTACAGATGTACCATGTCAATATCATTGTGTGTGATATGTTCCTCTATCAATAATCTATTAAGGAGATATTTGTGTATTTCAGTACTGGCAAGTGTGGTTTACAAGGGTTGAGTACATTACAGTGTGGGAAATGATGTCAACCATGGGGTTATCTGATGACTTTATACACCCGATTTGGCTCCTCAAATGTATTGCTGGACATGAAATGTACAAGTATCTTGAAATCTGACACTAGATATATGTCTCAATGTTACAATTGGCAACACCTATCTGCATGCTTTGCTGTGTGACGTGACCTGCGTTCTTAAGAAGTGTTGTTACATTTGTTTGTGCTTGCTGTTGTCTGTTTCCAATTTCTCAATAGCTGACTCCTATTTCTGTACATTGATGACGATGTACATTCAGTTAAAAAGTTACAGTCATCAACTTGAAGTACGTCTAGTAGTCTCTATGGTTTGGGCAAGTTGATTACTGAAAGACGATAGTGTGATTAAGGACTATGTGATAAGCATAAAGTTAAATTGTCTTAAATGTTATGTCAAGTTGATGGGACTTTGCGTTAACAAATTGTCTCTGAAGTTTTTATCAGTTTGCTGTTATTATTCTGGTACAATAATCATGACCATATAAACAGAATAACCATGAACATATATATGTACAATAATCAGTCTTCAGAATTTATATAAAAGTCCAGGGCTCCTTTCAGAAGTATTCTATTATCATCAAATCATGAACATCGCTGGTAGCTCAGTATGCCCTTGTTTTTAACTATAAAAGTATGTTTTTAACTATACTGCAACCATTTGTTATTTGTGAAAAAAACATGAGTTTATGTATACATTTATATTTATATAGCAATATGTTAAAAGCCTGTGCACTTTGTGTGGTGTGGTTGACCTAACATGTGTGATGTTTTGATTGACAGCTGACCAGGGGTCAGTGACTGGCGACGACTCCCGCACAGGTACGCCACTAACTCCACCTGCACCTACATCATCCAAACACAATTTAAAATTCATATCAGGAAGAAATTAAAGGCATTTTAATGCTTGAAATAATGTTATGATAAAATTGTACTTTTCTGAATCAAAAAACTTTATTGGTAGTTCTTTTTAATTTCTAAACCAGTTGGTAATCATTTACAGTTGTAGTTATTTATATACGTTAGATCTTATGCTTGTTGGTAGACATTTTGTCAAATGTATGAGATCTGAAAATAACACAAGGTAACTGCGTGATTCCAGATGAAGACGAGACACCAATCTTCCTTAAACCAACACTAGCACGAGGGTCAGCAACTAGACGCAAATCCCCCAAAGTTCCCCCCATCAACACTTCATCTTCACCATCCTACTCCAACATCAGGGATGATGACAGTGACAGCGCCTACGCTGCATCGCTTGATGATGTGGGCGGACAGGAGGTAAGGGAGATAACTAGGAGTACAGTCAGGGTTTTCTATTGCTGGCTGTTTCATTAGCTAAGTGGATGCTGAGCAGGATAATATGCAGTGCCTGTTTTGAAGGACAGTGCTAAATTTGGAAAATAATGTCTTCATTTGTTACATGTTCATATTTGAGGTAAACAAGTGCAAATGTTCATAGAATATTAATAACTTAAGTTCCAAGTGAAATATGAGATTTGATTTTATGAAGATTCATATTGGCTACAAATATATTGCTTATATATATTACCAGGGTGAATTTTTTTCTTATAAAGGGAGACAACTCTTCACATAATTAATATTGATCTATGTCTGTATGTGTTGAACAAATGGGTTGTCAAGGGGGTATTGAAATAAGGACTATTTGAAAGTAGAATAGATGTCTAGGAGATATTTGAAAATTTGAAAATTTCTATTAACCAGATGCAGAGCTCGCTGCGTCAGATACGGAACAGTGCGTCGAAGAAGAAGGCAGAACGACTGGAGAAACAGAGCAGTCGCCAGAGTCTCAACTCGTCACCGCCATTCTCGGATAACAATGAGGAGAGTGGTATATTCAGCACTATGTCACAGAAGGATGAGGAAAATAGGAAAAAGGGGTAAGGGTGGTTTACACAAGAAACCAATAGATGTGGTAATGTTTTTACACGTCAAGCCATGATTTGTAGAGATTTCTTATTGTAAAATTCAAACTCTTCATGTATGAATAGATGGTAGTTCTTTTTAATTTCTTATTATTTAATATTAATTATGTAATTATATTTAATTTTGTTCTATTAATCTTTAGGATTGAATCTTAAATCTTAAATCTTGTGTCGAGTCAGCAATTATGGCACTACCTACAACTGACAGCCAGTTTATCAAGGTCCGAGATTGTCGTATTATTTCAGCAGTGTTTGAAAGTGAGGGTGGGTCCTGGGGTCCATGAGGTTTGGTCCTAAAGTATTTGTATCCAGGCTCCCTGTCTATCAAATATTGATCAATCAGGTTCTGAAATGAACACCCTGACGACCATGCTTCAATTCAAACACAGTTTCAGTATAGACATGATTAATTGTTTTACCTGTTATGTATCTTTTCAGGAAAAATTCCCCATTTGAATCGAAACCAAAGCTTGCACGCAACAACTCTGTCCGCAAGAAGAACGGAGATGGATTTGATATCGAGGGAAGTAGCAGCAATATTAGCCAAAATTATAACCCTGCAAGTGGGGTGACGTTCCGAGAAAATCGCAACTCGGACGTGCAGGTCGTTGGGAAAGGATACAACGACGATTCCTCTTCTACGGACAGTCGGCCATTGGGCACAGTCAACAATAAGGCAGCCAGGGATCGGCGCAGGGTCACCAAAGGTAGGAGATCGTGTGTTGTCTGCTGTTGGTAGACATTGTGTCTATTGTGTCTGCTGTTGGCGGACTGTGTTTTTGTGTCTGCTGTTGGTAGACTTTGTGTTTGTTGCTTGCTGTTCCACCATAAGTATTGCATTCTCACCTCCCCCCACCACTCCTGCAGACTAATCTCACATTTTATCTGTTGGTTGTTTATTTTGTATGTGAATATTATTGACTATGCTTATAGTTGACTTTCTAGTACTAAGGATTTGTTTGATTTCGTATCATACCTGTTTGAAGATCGTAAAGAATTTTATATGTGTTTCTTTTTCTTTCATTACAATAAAGTATGTTACTTTGTATTTGTGGATTTCAAATGTATTGACCTTTGTTGGTTCCAGTGTTATACATTTTTCCTACGTTTTCAATAACAAGTATTTTCTGAAATATTTTTAGTTGCCAATAATTTGTTTTCTGTTTTGAAATTGTGTCTGATGTTAATGTTAATAAAGCTCTTTGACATTTTGATTGATGTAAAGTAGGGAATAAGCACAACCATGACCTGTTTCACTCTAACTGATTTGAGTCCATTTGATGTGTTAATGGCGTGACAGTTTGATGTGTGTGTCCTCTAACTTATGTCTCTCTTAACACTATCTCCTATTTCACAATTCTGTTCAATTTCAGCCCTTTTGAATAATGCAGATTTGTTCAAATTTTCAACTTCAGTCTAGTGTTGTTGAATAAGCCCACTCACCACTTCACGTCCCTAGTGTAACCATGGTAACAGTAGCTGTCACTGTCACGTCATGTCCCCCCTCACCGGTCACTTGCACATCCCCTGTGGTCAGGCTGTCCGTCTGGTTGCAGGTTCCACTCTCTCCCCACTTGGTATGACATCACTGCACTCCTATGGCGCCATTGAAATCGACGATGATAAGACACCGAGCCAGGAACATATCGCCCTCTTCGGAAAGGGTATGTTGTCTGTGGGAGAGGGAGTTTCTATTGTGCTTACACTTGAAACTGTTTGGATATTTGATGCTGTTGTTTTTTTTATTAAGATTATGATCTTTATCAACGCAAAAAGTTGATAAAACCTTCCTTGGATCTTTTCTTCAGTAAAAGTGCTGGAACATTGTTTAGTTTTGATTTGGGCAGTTCAGTGTTAGAAGCATAGGTCCTGGATGCATCTAGCTGTGGAAGTTTAATCTTGGGTCTCTAAAAATATATATTTATATTTCGGGTATTGACAAGAACCCTTTGATTTTCATGATTAGTTTTGATTATTGTACTTTGTCCTGTTTCAACTTTGGGGGAATCACAACCATGTTTTAGTTTTTTGTTTGATTAAACAAAAAATTATGTTACTTTATTAATTGATCAGGGAACAGAATTAAGTCTGAGGCAATAAGTTGTGTTTTGTGTCAAATATAATCACAACCACCAACCGTAACACAGTCTGCATAAGATCTATTCCCACCTCAGTGTAGCAGAGCAGGCCTTCCCATGGTGTCAATGTTTCCTAAATGTTTGGTGAGAACGCCTGTAAGTGTTTTTTGGAATCAGCCTCATCTGTGGTATGCCAGTTTCATCTGCCTAGTCTCAAACCTTGGAAGAATTCTCTTTCAAGGGTTTTGATGATTTGAGTTCGTCCTAAACAAACTTTTCAACAATTCCTTCCACTTCTTTCATCACTGTGCAATTCTTGAATCTTATCAAAGTATTGATGAAGCTGCAACAAAACTATTGAGATGATGTTCATGGTGCTTAGTCGTAACAATTGAAATGTTATAGTAATAATAAGTTTTTTTGTCAATATTTTCAAAATTGACTTAAGATTGTAATTGAAAATTTTGAAAAAGAAAATAAATAATTTATCTCCCATTATTTGTTTAAATCAATGATGTAAAAGGGTTCTTCTTTTGATGGAGTATTAGCATGTGTAAATTTAGAAGGTGTTTTGTCAGCTTTATTGATCTTTGACAGGATGTGGTTTATTGTTTCGACACGTCACTAACACATGACTTGTCATGCGGACATCATGACCTCAGAGCTAGGCTCTGGCGCCTGCGTATGTGTAGCCACTCAGTGCAGTATGTAGGTATGTCAGTATGTAGGTACCATATGTAGGTATGTCAATATGTATGTCAGTATGTAGGTATGTCAGTATGTAGGTATGTCAGTACGTAGGTACCATATGTAGGTATGTCAATATGTAGGTACCATATGTGGGTATGTCAATATGTAGGTACCATATGTAGGTATGTCAATATGTGGGTACCATATGTAGGTATGCCAATATGTAGGTACCATATGTAGGTATGTCAGTATGTAGGTACCATATGTAGGTATGTCAATATGTAGGTATGTCAATATGTGGGTACCATATGTAGGTATGTCAATTTGTAGGTACGTCAGTATGTAGGTACCATATGTAGGTACGTCAATATGTAGGTACCATATGTAGGTATGTCAATATGTGGGTACCATATGTAGGTACGTCAATATGTAGGTATGTCAATATGTAGGTACCATATGTTGGTATGTCAATATGTAGGTACAATGTGTAGGTATGTAAATATTAAGGTATGTCAATATGTAGGTACCATATGTAGGTATGTCAATATGTAGTTACCTTATGTAGGTATGTCAATATGTAGGTATGTCAATATGTAGGTACCATATGTAGGTATGTCAATATATAGGTACCATATGTAGGTATGTCAATATGTAGTTACTTTATGTAGGTATGTCAATATGTAGGTATGTCAATATGTAGGTACCATATGTAGGTATGTCAATATTTAGGTATGTCAATATGTAGGTACCATATGTAGGTATGTCAATATGTAGTTACCTTGTGTAGGTATGTCAATATGTAGGTACCATATGTAGGTATGTCAATATGTAGGTACCATATGTAGGTATGTGAATATGTAGGTATGTCAATATGTAGGTACCATATGTAGGTATGTCAATATGTAGGTATGTCAATATGTAGGTACCATATGTAGGTATGTCAATATGTAGGTACCATATGTAGGTATGTCAATATGTAGGTATGTCAATATGTAGGTACCATATGTAGGTATGTCAATATGTAGGTATGTCAATATGTTGGTACCATATGTAGGTATGTCAATATGTAGGTATGTCAATATGTAGGTACCATATGTAGGTATGTCAATATGTAGGTATGTCAATATGTAGGTACCATATGTAGGTATGTCAATATGTAGGTATGTCAATATGTTGGTACCATATGTAGGTATGTCAATATGTAGGTATGTCAATATGTAGGTACCATATGTAGGTATGTCAATATGTAGGTATGTCAATATATAGGTACCATATGTAGGTACGTCAATATGTAGGTATGTCAATATGTAGGTACCATATGTAGGTATGTCAATATGTAGGTATGTCAATATATAGGTACCATATGTAGGTATGTCAATATGTAGGTATGTCAATATGTAGGTACCATATGTAGGTATGTCAGTATGGTGCTACAACAACAGGATAGGAGCCATTCCAGACAGCATATTATGAGCATTTGTTGGAAAGGCTCTAGATGAGCCGAGAAATTTTATGAGCACATAGCCGCCCTTTTATCATGTTGATGGTAATTGAAAGTTTTGCAGCCGATATGGATTTACAAAGGTATCTCATGGAATATCATTATCTAACACACCAATGTGGCATTTAATCAATGAAATATGCATAACACATAATCCGTGATTGATTAAATGAGAATTTCACTGACATTTTCCATTTATGTGATTTCTTAGTCTAGTAAAGTGATTTTTAATGACCTGTATTGTAGGGATGTTTGACCAGCCACCTGCTACCACGGAGTACCCAGTGAGCGGGATGCAGTCTCGGGACCGACTTGACCGCCGGCTAACGGGAGGGGATCCCAAGGCTGTACCTAACGGGGTTGTCGGGGTCGGGGTGAGGCAGAATGAGGCTGACCTGGGCTTTGAAGAGGATATGGATGAGGTTAGTGTCATCTCTGTTGTCCAAGTAGTGCTGTCAGCTGTGTCATTTCCTTGAGTGAATTTAAATTGTTGAAAGTAATAAGATACTATGTACATGGAAAGCATGTGTCTCCCTTCTCTTTTATTTCAACAATTCTACTTACTTTGCCAATTTAGACAAATTATGTCTTCTTGTCCTAGTTTTCTTAAATTTGCAGTAGCTTTTCCAAAATTCTTGCTTCAGCAATCAGTAGACACTGTCATCAACCAATCCTCACCTGACAGCTGATTCTTGCATATTATATGTTGTCATGCGTGACAGTGGTTAAAGATTGCTTGTTACCGTATTGGACGTAATAAGCGCCCGCTCTAATAAGCGCCCATGGCGATATTTGCTAATATATTGGCAAGTGAACAATCCCAATTAGCACCCCTTCCGATTGATTAATGTATACAAGACTTATTTATTTGTGTATAATATGCACTCGTGTGTTATATGCACCCTTAATTATGGGCAATTAAATTCTGGAAAAATATATCTGTCGTGTATAATACGCACATACTTTTCTTTTATATCATTTCAGGCTGTTAGCAAACCACGAAGTTTACGATCTTTCAACTGTTTTTTTTTCACCAAAATTTTATTCCATTAAGAGCCCCCTATTTCTAATTTTGAAAGCGACCTGGGCGCTTATTACGTCGAATACGGTATGGCTTTTTAAAAGAATTTGTTTGTGACTTCTGAAAAAACTGCTGATAGAAATCAAAAGTCTGCATCCACCCAGGGGCTGTCTCATCGAACATATTCATTTCACTTATTGTTCCATAATCAATGAGGACCGCCTCCGTGGTCTAGAGGTAGAGCGTCCGCCCGGAGAGCGGAAGGTACGGGGTTTGATCCCCGGCCGCGTCATTCCAAAAGACGTTAAAAGATTGTACTTGTTGTTACCCTGTCTGGCGCTTGGCATTAAGGGGTTAAAACAAGGACTGGTCGGCTCGGAGTCAGTATACTGTGTCTGAGTGGGATATTCATGTTAAACTGCGGCATGGTATCTCAGTGGGCTAGCACTATAAATCGGCATCAGTCCGGACTAGTACAAGCAGACACAAACAAACACACACACACACACACACACTAACACACACACTAACACACACTAACACACACTAACACACGTGCATGCACGTCGCTATATAAGTGCAATAATCTTGGACTCAACGTTAAACCCAAGTTCACCTCACCATAATCAATGATATATAACTTATTGTTGTCATGACACACTTGCACTCAATATAGGATAGGATGGATATGTTCCAGTATGGAGTGGATGTATGGGCAGGGCATGTCAGACATCTATTCTTGTGGACGTTTGTTTCTCCTGTGTACCACTGTTCAAACTTTGGCACAATGTCTAGACAATTGAGACAGTTTGGGAGAAAATGAACCGTACAAATACCAGCAGTTGTATATTTCAACGACATGTCAATACCGGGTACAGCCAGTTGGGATCAATATCATCCTCCAGTGTCCTATTTCTGTACAAGTGTATTTCAGCACAAAGGGTGGAACCTGTTTTCCTCTGTCACTGCACCTCGACAGAGGGCTTTCTTTCTACATCAATTGTCACAAAATAAAATCTGTTTTGATGCCGATCTTATTGACTGGCTGTCATGGCGACAGGCATTGTGTTCTTTTCCAGATCCTCATCAGTTTATTAACTACACCAAACAGCTGATATGGGATGTGATCTTTCTGATTCAATAGGACTGTCACTGTATTAAGGCCATCACAATTAGTTTGTTTTGTTTTGACGGAGTTGATCTGGAAGGAACATTTTGAAAGGACTTTTTGGTCAGAAGTGATTTACTGGCTAATAACTAAAGTCAATAGTAAATCTCGTTTTCTCTTTAGGTTCTTAAATTGTTTTTGACTATATGTGTTGGATATTATTGATTTATAACAAGTTTTCAAAATTAGGCATGAAACATAGGACATTTGATTAATTTATAATATTCATACTCATAGTGCTAGACTTTGTCTCTTGTGGAAATGATAATTACCTTACATATTAAAGTGACAATTTTTTTTATGTATTCTTTATTGCTTCCTTGCCACCATGACAAAAAGGCAGCCCACACTAGAGCTTGCCACCATGACAAGAAGGCAGCCTACACTAGAGCTTGCCACCATGACAAGAAGGCAGCCTACATGAGAGCTTGCCACCATGACAAGAAGGCAGCCCACACTAGAGCTTGCCACCATGACAAGAAGGCAGCCTACACTAGAGCTTGCCACCATGACAAGAAGGCAGCCCACACTAGCACTTGCCACCATGACAAGAAGGCAGCCCACAGTAGCACTTGCCACCATGACAAGAAGGCAGCCTACACTAGAGCTTGCCACTATGACAAGAAGGCAGCCCACACTAGAGCTTGCCACCATGACAAGAAGGCAGCCCACACTAGAGCTTGCCACCATGACAAGAAGGCAGCCCACACTAGAGCTTGCCACCATGACAAGAAGGCAGCCCACACTAGAGCTTGCCACCATGACAAGAAGGCAGCCTACATGAGAGCTTGCCACCATGACAAGAAGGCAGCCTACTCTAGAGCTTGCCACCATGACAAGAAGGCAGCCCACACTAGAGCTTGCCACCATGACAAGAAGGCAGCCCACACTAGAGCTTGCCACCATGACAAGAAGGCAGCCTACATGAGAGCTTGCCACCATGACAAGAAGGCAGCCTACTCTAGAGCTTGCCACCATGACAAGAAGGCTGCCTACACTAGAGCTTGCCACCATGACAAGAAGGCAGCCTACACTAGAGCTTGCCACGATGGCAAGAAGGCAGCCTACACTAGAGCTTGCCACCATGACAAGAAGGCAGCCTACACTAGAGCTTGCCACCATGACAAGAAGGCAGCCTACATGAGAGCTTGCCACCATGACAAGAAGGCAGCCCACACTAGACCTTGCCACCATGACAAGAAGGCAGCCTACTCTAGAGCTTGCCACCATGACAAGAAGGCAGCCTACACTAGAGCTTGCCACCATGACAAGAAGGCAGCCTACATGAGAGCTTGCCACCATGACAAGAAGGCAGCCTACTCTAGAGCTTGCCACCATGACAAGAAGGCAGCCTACTCTAGAGCTTGCCACCATGACAAGAAGGCAGCCTACTCTAGAGCTTGCCACCATGACAAGAAGGCAGCCTACTCTAGAGCTTGCCACCATGACAAGAAGGCAGCCTACACTAGAGCTTGCCACCATGACAAGAAGGCAGCCTACACTAGAGCCAATAGTCGGCAGCCCAAGGACAGGGATGTGTATCTAGACATGACCATCACTGGATCAGCACGCTTGAACAGCCATTGTAATGAGTGTTGACACAATATTGGGAAGTCTGCTGTGATATCTGTTCAGAATCACCATTGTGATTCCAATTTTGATTCCCAATCAATACTTTTGGAATTAATCTGCTCCGACTATCTATAGAATCTCTTTGAAGGTTATTGTCTCCTCCCCTAATCCATATCCTCTGGGTAAAGATGTATGAAAATGGTACCGTAACTTGCTAATAGCATTGATCTTAAAAACTGTCTTCGATGCATGTCGGATCAATGGCGGTTATTGACGCACGAGTGTTTCTGCCTGGTGATGAATATAGCCTCTGCTATTGATCCATTTCTTTTATTTAATTGACAAATTGATGAAAAGTTTTGTTGTGCCTGTTTCTATACCTACGATACAAATAGCCGGAAGCATATTGCAAGATTTAATGGACGCTGAGGAAATTGACGCTTATCACTGTGAGGCACACTTGACATGTTGTGATGGACATGGAAGGACAGCTAATCAGCTGTTACTAATGGGGGCAGCGTAGGGGTTTAACTGATGTCTGGACCATCAAGGTAGGGAGTGGGAGCAGGCAGACTTGGTCAGCGCGTCCTAGAAATGGTTTCAAGAGCATGTAACGTTTCCATTTGAATTTGATTGTTGGACTGTTTGTGTGGCATTTAATGCATGTTATGTTTTATCTGTCTGATTAATACGGGTATTATTTGTTTACTGCTCGTCATGAGCTCATGTCTGAGATTGACATGACATGTTGTATATTTCAGGACCTGAATGCCAGCATGACGAAAACATTCCGAGAGAAGATTGCTGCCAAGCAGCAGCAGCAACGAGAAGAGGTGGAACTGAAGAAATTTGAACAAGAGAAGAAAAGACAGGAGAAGGAGGAACGCCAAAGAGAAAAAGAGAGGAAGGAGAAAGAACGACAGCAGGAGAAGCTCCGGAGACTCAGCAGTTCGGAGAGCATCGGCCTCGATGGTAATACATCTATATGAGTGATGTTAGAAGTAGATAGTATTTAGGATTGTCTGCACCAAGAGCTGGATATGCGTTACCATTGCAATTACAGGTCAATGTGAACAGGGATCTTGAGGAAGATCTCAGAATGAGTCTTTTGCCGTTTGATTAATTGGCTGGGATTAATGTTGACAGTGGTTCATTTTTTGTGTTACAGGCTTGACTATATCTGGCTCGGGCTCCAACTCGACCACCAACCTTGGCAGCCCCACAAGAGCTGCTCCGCCAAAAGTCACACAACCAGCCATAACTCCACGCAAAAAGATCAAAACGTGAGAATCTGCATATTGATAATAGCAGTGGATAATGTAGAAGATAAGGTCATTTTGATCAGATTTATACCTCACTGGATTGAAACCATATTGCCTTTCATATCTTGAATGAAATACTTGATATGAATATGGAACTTGTGTTTTGTGCTTCCCAGTGTAAACGAACCAGTGTCTAGTCACCCGATGTCAGCCACATCCCACTCCCCCACGACCAAGTCCGAGAACCCCGAGGACTGGAAACCGTTTCGGGATGCTGATGGTGCTCTCCGTGAAGCTTTAAAGAAAATAGGCCAGGATGACTGGTGAGCACTTTCAGGCAGTAGTCTTGTCATTCCTTTCATTTGTCAATCACCATTGTATAGTCTTATTTTTTGGGGATAATGTTACACACTGGAGAAGGCGGTAATAAGTGCTGCACTTGTGCCCAATCCCTTTGTCTTTTTGGTCTATAAAATATGTTTAATAAAAAAACATGAAGCCTGATGTGATTGGTTACTACACTGAGGTTTGTTTCTTCACACTGTGTGGTGTTGTTGCAGGGAGGTGAAGATGGAAGCTATTAACTTGCTACGCAGATTGACCATCCACCATCCTGAGACACTCTCCGGCCAGCTTCATACAGTCATACTGGCCATCATAGCAGAGGTAGGGCCGAGTTGGTTGCTTTGTTGTTTAATGCCGCACACAGCAATATTCCAGCTTTATGACGGCAGTCTGTAAATAATCGGGTCTGGACCAGACAATCCAGTGATTAATATCATGAGCATCGATCCACGCTATTGGGATTGATGACATGCATCAACCAAGTCAGTGAGCCTGACCACCCGATCCCGTTAGTCGCCTATTACGACAAGCATAGTTGCTTATTACGGTAAGCATGGGTTGCTGAAGATCTGTTCTACCCCGGATCTTCACGGGGCCTGGGTCAGCAGTGTTTGAAATTAAGCATCAAAGTCAAGGGTCCTTGTTGTTACCTTACGCTGTAAAGGTAAAGGTTTAGGGATCCCTAGAAGTACCATTAATAGCTGAAGGACCCCAGGACTCCCTGACTGCTGTACAGTAGACCGTGGTGACTGTGACGCTGCCATAGCTTATCCAACCATCAACATCTTCATGTTTGTGTTTTGTTGAGTTGGTTTTTTTTTAAATTTCAGGTGAAGAATCTGAGATCTCAGGTTTCAAGACTTGCCATCACATGTTTGGCTGAAATGTTCTCCAATCTAAAGAGGCAGATGGACCAGGTTTGTGATGTTGATGACAATTCAAACTTACTTTTCTCTAGTAACCTTATACCCGTAATACTGTAAAGGGGCCCTAACCCTTAAGAAAGCCCGGTAGATATGGATATGTAATGTCAGTGGGCGTGAGAAGATGAGAAGGAAGTACAGTTAAGATGTACTTGGTAAGATGTAAGATGAACTTGGAAAATTGGTAAATGTTGATAATGACGATTTCAAATCAGGACCTGGACAACACGACAAAATGCCTGCTGGCCAAGTCTGGAGAGAGCAACCACTTCATCCGCACAGATGTGGACAGAGCCCTGAAAGCCATGATGGAGAACGTCACAGCAACACGAGCACTCCTGGCTATCATCATGGGTGGAGCTTCGTGAGTTGTACCTTAGATTGGCAGTGTTGATAGCACCGAAACTGACAATGGTTAATTGAAATGGATTATTCAGCAATTTCGTGATAAATAAGTAATGTGATCAATACCTAGTTATTAGCATTGTCAGTAATCCTGTAGGATACAAAGTTTGCTTTTGTGATCGATAGAATGTATCATTCATTGAAAACCACAGCTGTTTTTTTTATAGTTATTATTTCAAAGCTTTAGGAGAGGATTAGATTTTGTGTTTACTTTCCAAGTCTACAGGTTGGAATTGTGTTAACATAACATACATTCACAATGTTGTAAGCCTTCCAGTTTAGATGTGGTAATGCTGTTACAGTCATAAGAACACTGCTGTTAGACGTACAACAGCTCAGTGCCTTGTGGTTCTTGTGGAGAAGATGGGTCCTGGGAAGATCCTCAGCGGTGTCAAGGACATCACAGATAGAGTTCTGCCGACGGCTGCACAGTTTGCTCTCGACAGCTCGCAGGAAACAAGGTAGGCTGTCAGTGTTGTCAAAACTGAGATACGGCTTACTAAGTTAGCTACATGTTGTGGATAGAGTGTCAGCCTGGGGAGTGTTAGGGTGATGGTGTGATCCTCAGCTGTGTCATTGATCCTCGGCTGTGTCATTGATCCTCGGCTGTGTCATTGATCCTCGGCTGTGTCGTTGATCCTCGGCTGTGTCATTGATCCTCGGCTGTGTCGTTGATCCTCGGCTGTGTCTGTGTCATTGATCCTCGGCTGTGTCGTTGATCCTCGGCTGTGTCATTGATCCTCGGCTGTGTCATTGATCCTCGGCTGTGTCATTGATCCTCGGCTGTGTAGTTGATCCTTGGCTGTGTCGTTGATCCTCGGCTGTGTCGTTGATCCTCGGCTGTGTCATTGATCCTTGGCTGTGTCATTGATTCTTGGCTGTCATTGATCCTCGGCTGTGTCGTTGATCCTCGGCTGTGTCGTTGATCCTTGGCTGAGTCATTGATCCTCGGCTGTGTCATTGATCCTCGGCTGTGTCATTCATCCTCGGCTGTGTCGTTGATCCTTGGCTGTGTCGTTGATCCTGGGCTGTGTCGTTGATCCTCGGCTGTGTCATTGATCCTCGGCTGTGTCATTGATTCTTGGCTGTCATTGATCCTCGGCTGTGTCATTGATCCTCGGCTGTGTCGTTGATCCTCGGCTGTGTCATTGATCCTTGGCTGTGTCCTTGATCCTCGGCTGTGTCATTGATCCTTGGCTGTGTCATTGATCTTCGGCTGTGTCATTGATCCTCGGCTGTGTCATTTATCTTCGGCTGTGTCATTGATCCTTGGCTGTGTCCTTGATCCTTGGCTGTGTCATTGATCCTTGGCTGTGTCATTGATCTTGGCTGTGTCATTGATCCTCGGCTGTGTCATTGATCCTTGGCTGTGTCCTTGATCCTCGGCTGTGTCATTGATCTTGGCTGTGTCATTGATCCTCGGCTGTGTCATTGATCCTCGGCTGTGTCATTGATCCTTGGCTGTGTCACACCAAAAGATTTGTACTCGACATAAAGGGATAAGACAAGAACTGGTTGACTCAGTCAGTATACTGTCTGAGTGGGGTATTCATGTTAAACTGTGGCATAGTATCTCAGGGGCTAGCACTATGAAACTGCCACTGATCCGGTCTAGTACAAGCAGCACACACATTCATGCACATGGCTTTATGAAAGTGCAACAATCTTGACTGTGACGTTAAACCTCATTTCATTATACTCACAAGGGATCTGAAAATCTGTTCAACCCACAGCCTCTGTTCCCATTTCGCATGTTGAGTTTGAATGTTTATTGGAAGTTGACCATGTGTCTGACTAGAAGGTATGAATTACATTTTGAATAGGTCACTTTGAAATTGATTGTGTTTGATATGATGACCTGAAATCTGATCGTGTGGGTGTGATCTCCAGGTATTATGGCAAGAAGATCCTGTATCAACTCATGTCTCATCAAGACATCGACAAGATGCTTACCAAGTACCTCCCTGCCAACACACTGCGCAGTGTGCAGGATGTTGTCGACAATTTACGGCAGAAGGTATGTATCTCCGTTGTCATAGAGATTACCGCAGGGATGGAGAGTAGCAATGGCCTGCTGGACCGACCAGTCTTGTTCATGTACAGAGTATCCTAAGGTCTAGTCAAATTTCATTTTGGGCGGTATTGCCACATGTTATCAGTATTCGTGCTGGTAGACATTCTTGGTTAATTTTCATCTCTGTTACCGTAATTAACATTAGCCCAGTGCTTTCAAACAAGTGGGAACTAGAGGGGACACTAATACTGTCTAGGATGGTTTGTGGGAGACGTCTTTATTTATTTCCTGCTCATTTCTTTGTATGGTTAAGTTGGGTAAGCAAGGGCATAGAATGTTCCAAGTACCCTACGCTTGTCCGGAGACCTCACTACTGGGGATCAGGGATCCGTTCTACAAAGCGAACCTAGTGCTACGACTACCGTAAGTCCATGTAAGAGTATGGGAGTTACGATCATCTTAGTGCTAAGAGCGCTTTGTGGAACGAGGCCCTGGTGGCTGCAATGTGTGACATGACTGCCCTTGTACCCAAGTAGCCATGGGGATTGTTGTTCTAGTTGTCAACCGCTAGTTTTCTTGGTACAAATTTGATTGTCAGAGTGCCATAGTGGGGGTGTCATTGCTGAGTGAGTACTCATGACAGGGGTTTTCTTCACACTCATCACTTTGTTAATGTCTTGCAGGGTTTGGGTGGCGCGCCCAGTGAAACGTCTTCAGCAAGGTCCCAGAGATCGGGGTCATCAGTGCGCGGCGGGTCAGCTAGCAGGTATGGTAGTCAACTGGGTCGATACTCTACCAGCATGTCTCTGGCATCTCGGAGCATGTCGACTCTCACCACCATTTCCAGGTGAGACAGTGGTGATGTGTGCCTGCCGGCGTGCGTGATGTACATAACAGCCCCACCAGGAGTGTGTGGATTACTACCTGCACATGTGTCTGCACTGGGACTGTCTATTGGAGGACACGGGGAGGGGCCTCTTGTCATCATTATTTGGATATGCTATACTTACTTTTGCTCACTGCTGAATCTCTGGACTGGAAGAGTTTAACTTTTCGAGGGATCTTCTTGTATGTTATGACTTTGGGCTTGTGGATATTCCACTGCAGGATTTGGGGTCCATGATGAAATTATGCACAAAGACTGAACTAATCTATAACCCACTGACTGGCACACAAGTGGAGTAACACAACTGTGCACTGATGTCGAACTGTTGTGAGACTGACAATACAACACTGAGAGCCTCACCATTAACCATTACACTTCTGCAAGTTATTGTTGAAGCCTGTTGTAAGGCTTCATGTTAATAATCTCTCACCAGTTATACTAGTCTATTGAACTCATCCATGTGATGTTCTTTCTGTGTCAAATAGTCTCTTCATTTTAATGACTATCAGATGAATATGTCCTGCAAGAAAGGGTTAATTATGAGCTCTTGTGTAATCAGCTTTCTGTGAATCCTAAATACAGCATTTATTTGCGAATGGGATGTCTATACCTACATTTGAATATCTAAGGGTTGTTTTTTCAATTAGCTCTGCTGAAAGTGTGAACACTCCACAGCCAAAACGGAAGTCGGTGCGCACTGACGAGGGCACTATGGACGACATCCGGGAGATGATCGGCCAGCTGGGTTCCAACGACTGGAAGACGAGGCATGCAGGCATCACACAGTTCCAACAGATGACGGAGTCCAACCCCAATGCTGTGTCCTCACAACTTGTCAAGGTGAGCTGATCAACGGCACTACAGGGGACGCCTGCTGTAACAATGGCTGCCCTTAGCCCATAAGACACTGTCTGAGAGAAAGGCAGTTGTCAAGGCCAACAATCATGCATCAGATTCATAAAGATCATTGGTCATGGGTCACAGGTCACAGGTCACATCAATGTTCACAGGTCAAGGTCACATCAATGTTCACAGGTCAAGGTCATATACCCTCATCCATGTACTGTCATTAAGTTCATCTCAATTGATGATGTTCTCAACCTTCGTACTACAAGCAGTTTCACACAAAGTCTCTATGAAACCACTTCACAGATGTGTTGAGAAATTTTTGCTATTTTTCCACTGAAGCAATGCATTATTTGAAAAAAGACACTTTGTTACCCTGTCATTTTCCTTGCAGATATTTGACAAGTTCCTGCCGCGCCTGCAAGACTCCAACAGCAAGGTGAACCTGCACGCGCTGCAGGTGATGCTGCAGGTGATCCCGCAGCTCAAGGACTCCATGCTAAGCGGCGTCCTCAACATGGCCATCGGCAACGTCGCTCCCAACCTTTCGTCCAAGAATCGAGAAATCTACACCACAGCGACTGACATCCTAGAGTGCTTCATTGAACACATGGGTAGGTCAATCTGCACTGTCTGTACAGACCTCGTACCTGTTGTTGCTTCTGAGATTATGTGAAGCATCGTTTGGTGTCCACAGTGTTTAGTGTGCCTGTCTGTGATGCATGGAAGTCAGTGGTTGGGTTCATTTTTTGCTGGTCGTGGAGAAAAAATAAAACCTTTTTGCCACACACGAAATAACCAGTGTTCCCACAGTATTACAGAAAGTAACATTTGCTCATGTTTCTTTGACAATGTGATTGGTAGCTTTAGAAATTCATCAACTTCTTCAAGAATATTGACCCTGAATGGGAAAAAGCACCAACATTTCAACTTTTGCTGTAGACTTTTGGGTGTGTATTAATGCTGATTATCTTATTCACACTGTGTATGTTACAGATTCAAGTTTGTTAATCCAACCGTTCGCCAACCAGGCCCAGTCAGTGAGTGCACGGAGCAAGCCCGACATGGTCCTCAAGGTCGCCTGTAGGTATCCATGTGAACTCACGTAACATGTGCTTGTGTATGTCCATTCAATTAATAAGTCTTACATGAGAGAAAAAAATGATTTATCAGGACTAGAGCATTTGATTGTGCGTCATACCAGTGTCATAATACCCTGGGGAATTGAATTACCTATCGTTCGGACTAAGTTAACAAATCTCTTTCTGTCCTGTAGTTGTAGAAGCCCCGTTAAACAAAGCGATTGTAGAGCTACAACAGTCATAAGTCTATGTTAAAGTACCCTATTGTTTACACTGGGACTTGTAGAATTGGTCTTCAGCAACCCATGCTTGCCGTAACAGGCGACTATGCTTGTCATAAGAGGCGACTAACGGGAACGGGTGGTCAGGCTAGATGACTTGGTTGATGCATGTCACCGATCCCAATTGTGTGGATCGATGCTCATGATATTAATCACTGGATTGTCTGGTCCAGACTCAATTATTTACAGACCACCGTCATATAGCTGGAATATTGCTGAGTGCAGAGGTAAACAACAAACCAACCAACCAACTTGTTGTTTCCACAGACCTTGTTGACCAAGTTGACTCTAGATAGGCTACGTCCATACTATATTGTTTACACTGGGACTTGTTGTTTCCACAGACCTTGTTGACCAAGTTGACTCTAGATAAGCTACGTCCATACTATATTGTTTACACTGGGACTTGTTGTTTCCACAGACCTTGTTGACCGAGTTTACTCCAAGAAGCAGAAGCAGGTGATCCTCCACGTTCTGCCCCTGCTCTGGCATCTCCTGGGGGCGCAAAACAGCAGCGGCGCCCTGCACGGCGGCAGCAGCGACCTGCGCCAGGCCATGGGCTCCCTGGTGTCTGTCCTGTATAAACATATGGGCCAGAGTCTCATTGAGAAGGCCAGCTCCGACCCCAACGTCAGCACACGCCATCTGAACCTGCTGCAGGAACTCATTGACCAGTCATAACACCAGCGTCAGCATCAGACATGTCATGTCATGTGTTGTTGTCAGCGCCAGACATTTCGTGTATTGTTGGAGATCATTGACCAGTCATTGCACCAACATCTGCGTCAGTTATTTCGTGTATTGTTGGAGGTCATTGACCAGTCATACCACCAACATCAGCATCGGACATTTCGTGTATTGTTGGAGGTCATTGACCAGTCATACCACCAACATCGGCGTCAGACATTTCGTGTATTGTTGGAGGTCATTGACCAGTCATACCACCAACATCAGCGTCAGACATTTCGTGTATTGTTGGAGATCATTGACCAGTCATACCACCAAAATCAGCGTCAGGCATTTCGTGTATTGTTGGAGGTCATTGACATGTCATAACACCTTGAGCCTTAGACGTTGATGTGTTGTAGGGGCCGATTGACAAGGATGATACCCAGGGCTTTGTCTGTTGCTTCATACCAAAGGAAGAGAAAAACTGTTGTGTTGCACTGGATATTCAACTTACTAATTTAGGGAATTTAGGGGGGGAATGTTATATTTTCAAGTCATATTATCATGGTTGCTTGAAGTTGTTGACAAGATATAACACTTGTTGGAAGGAATCAAAATGGAGGACTGAAGTTTGAATTCTACATGATCTTAAGTTTTTTTTCATATATTTGGAAACAAACTTCTTTATTGGGTATTTTGGAAAAATATTGAATATAATATCTTGTGAAATAAGTGGAGGACCGCTCTTAGAGGAAGGAGTTGCCTTGGTTTCTAACCAGGAAGAGTGTACCAGCCCTCACACCGGGCCGGAACGCACTCTACTTCTGGGAGTATCTGGCTTATTCATTAGTTGTTCAGTCAGTGATGCAGAACAGTTGTAGTTTTTGCCGCCTGTGTGTTTAGCTTTTACACATTTAGTGTATCAGAGTTACTTGCACATTCTTGAAAAGTGATATCTTATTTTGATAGATAATCTTTTTGTCAGTTTCTCTGAGTAGAGTAAGCACATGTACCTTTCAGGACATACCATGTTGATTTCAATTTGTGTCGATATTTAGAAATAGATCCACTAACCTCCTGGTTTTCCAAATGATTTAGTCAGTGTAGATATGGTGTATATATCAACTGAAGTCAGGTCTATTTCTCGAAACCAGTGATGATTCTGTACATACTTGGATGATGTGTCATGGCGTTGCTGTCTGTGTCAGGTGTTTGTGTGTATATTTCCCATCATGGTGCATATTTCACTATTTAACAATCTCGTCACCAGACCTGCTCAGGTCTTGTACATGTTTATTATAGTCTATTTATTATCCTCACATGGTCTCAACAGTGATAACACATGCATGCTCTGGGTATGCCTAGTTTATCTTTACAAACATGCAGAGTACTTGTACATTTTGTATCATAAATGATTTTTTAAAAGGCAGGATTTGTTTCACTTCATATTTTATGTTGATCAGTTTGTTTACACTAGTTCTGTAAGTTTTACATCATTTTATATATCAATTCAAGATAGGCATTACCAGAGAATACATTGTGAATTATGACTTACCAAAAGGTTTCTCAATAATTAAGGTTGAAAAGGATGCATGTTGATTTGGCAACAAGTAGTAAATAAGAGAGATATTGTTGCCTTTTGGTATGTTGTGATTGTCACTGATCGTTGTGTCTCATGTTTTGGCATTTTAAATGCCCCCGACTGTGATATGTTGAACCTATGTCATCTACATTGCTGTCTGTGATCACCCTCCGTCCAGGTCAACATGCTGTGACCCTGCTTGTTATGTTATCGGACCAACTGTCACCATGCTCACATGCCTTTAACACTGCAGTTGTCAGCACTCTCCGCTGACGGAATACTTGAGGAACATCTGTTATAGTATTTGATGTTTGTATAGCCTGTCAGTTCATATGAAGAATATATTTCTGAGGTGTAATTTTATGGAAATATGAGATTTTGAACCATCAGAAAGCAGTATAAAATTGTTGTTAATTTAGTTTTCCATTTCCCAAATCTTGGGTTATTTGTGTGCAGTTAGGATTGATTGAAAGAACTTTGAAACAGTGTAGTAAATGAGGATTAGAGTTGATACTACTATCCTGTCATCAGTACCACTGATTTCAATCTCATTAAAATCAGATCTTAGTTCTCGCTACCGCTAAACCAAGATCTGAGGACATCCCATTAGGGTTCACGTCAGAACGACCTTTCATCCGACCAATCAGTGTCGCTTACCAGATCATGAAAGTGACGGTCGGAATGTGATTTCTAATCATGCAACCTCGAAAACTTTAACTTTGGGTATTCCGAACGATAGTTACGGGTTTAACGAATGAATCCATACAATCTAGACCATCTATTAGCCATTTCATTCAGGTTTCAATTTTTTAATCGAGAATTTTGTCAAAATATGGTTCGAAGCGTAGTCGCCAATTTGAAATCAGTGCCGTAAAGCACATGAAAGCTGCCTTCTGATTGGCTAATGTCGACTTCTTGTCAGTCCTTCCATTGGTCGGTCAAAGTTCGCACAAGTTCGGTCTGATGTGACCCGTAATGGGATGTCCTCAGATCTTTGTTTAGCTGTAGCGAGAACTTAGATCTGATTTTAATGAGATTGTCACTATTTATGATTTTTGTCATGACATATTTCCTTGATGGTGACTGTTATTGACAGGGTGATACTCAAATAGCTGATAGTGTTCCAAGGCTGTGTGGGGCAAGTGAGTGGTTGGTCCGATGTGAGGCATGATTTAGTCATTCTATTGATTCCTTTAGCCTGGCTGTTCTAGGCTTCTAGTTGTATATTTTATTTGTGACGCTTCTCATCTTTTTAGTGAAGAGATTTGTACAGAACATTACACATGTATATATTTCTACATAGTGACTGACAATATCTATGGTTGTAGATAGTTTAACTGTATATAGCGGGACTGAACTGAGCATAGATACCATGCTGGACAAACAAGCATGTCTATCATGCCTTCATTCATCAGTATTGATAACACTGACGGCTTGAATATATATTTTAAGTACCTACTTGTACAGAACTATATATATTGTTATAGCTTGCTGTTTGTTATATGGTGTGTGTCATGTGAAACTTGTATATAACCATTGTCGGTAATCCTCCATTGTGATATGGATCTAATGTAATGCTATACAGTATTTATATCTGATAAGATATATAAGTATATATTTCTCAAGAATTTCTATTTAAAATAATATGCCTTTTCATATGATTGTATGAAATTGTCATTTGTAATTTTCTGTTTGAAATTGTCCCTCTTTTGATTTCGGAATACACATTGTACTTAATGTTTGTACATGATTCATATTTCTGCATTTAAACTGTCATGTTTGTTTCCTTTTCCAAATGTTGGTCTATTCAGTAGTGTTTGACAATTATTCTCCAGGTTTTGATGATTGTTTGCATTTTCAAAAACATTCTTGTCACGTTTAGTTTCTCGTACACTCCCAAACTTCCCCTGTAGTTGAGGAAGTTGGCCACAGTTTGTTCGTAAGTGGAGGATTGAGTGCCTGGTTTGCAAATCAAATAGATGCATCTTTCATTACTTCTCACACAAGTGCTTGTTAAACATTTTTGTTTCCATGGAGCGGATGGTTTGTTAGATTCACTGTTGATATTTATGTATAGATACAAACTATTTATTGCAAGATTGCACCCATGATCACTTGAAGCAGCATCACGTTGATGATGTTGAACGGTAGCCGTCTGCCTCGATGAATGTCTCCGTCCAGATATGTATGAGAACTGCAGGTTTTATTTTTGTACAGTTCTGTCACCAAATAGCAGTGTGAGCCAATCACTAATATATGAGTGTCCGTAGCGATATTCATGAGTTACACCGTTATACCAGCATTGCCTTTCAGTGTGATATACTGCAGCTGATTTCCTCCGTCCTCATATTTACACGAGTGTGTGAGCATAGATAGCTGATTGATAGCCAAGTAGCTCGGGAGGGAAACTTGGCCGCAGCTTGTTTATCAAGTGATTAAAATTGTGATATTTTACTTGTTTGCGTCACTCCTTCAATCCTGTCTCCCACAACGAAATGTAGCACCACTCACCCATTGGTCCGGGTCACATTTCTTGGGTTGAACTGGGAATTGGTTTTCACACGTGTACACGTGATGCGAGTTCAGGTGATCACTATCTAAAGCCAAAACATGGTTATATGTAATTTAAAAATATTAATGTATATGTTTATCTTTTAATATCAATCATTACTGGAATCTTGATTAAGCAAGTATATGTTCATTTGATGTAATCTTCTTCAAAGATGTATACCCATACCAACACACATACCGCTCACCAGGGCTGAGGGTGTTCGTGTTAACGCATGGCAGTCAGCAAAGAAAAGACAACTCTGTTCATGTCACCGGGGTTCAAAATTAAGCAAGAGTTCAAGGGTTGATGCAATGTCCCTAATGTTTGTTATAAGTACAAGGGGGGCACGGGGGGCCCAGTCGTCTAAGGCGCCGTGATTTGCTGTGCAGAGTTGCGTCCCCTGGACACGCTAGAAACCTATGATTGTGGGTTCGAATCCCGGTTCGCCTAGATTATTTTTCTAGGTTTGTCAGCACCATACCCGTGCTCGTGAGTTTCACTGAAGTGGTAAACGTCTGAGACCTGCATCACTTCGGGCTTTCCTCCCACATTAAGCTGACACGCCGTGATATGACTGGAATAATGTTAAAAGCGGCGTTAAACCCAACTCACTCACTCACTATAAGTACAAGATTTAGGGGGCTCTTGATTCAAATACTCTAGGCAGATTCCCCAGGACCCCTCACCTTGCTACCATCTTGGTTGGATCTTTTGAAAATTGCTAATAGCCTCACTTGAGTTAAATAAAAAATAGTTGAATGGTTCTAATGTTCAAATAGTTAAATATCTACCCCTATACCAGGAAACCCCATATCTAACCAGCTTTTTTAGTTCTGTAGGTAATATATGACAACTAATAAACTTGATAAATAATATCAAAGTACAGTGTATATAGAATCATTCTTGAGATAGTAAATGTTTGGTTGGTTAACTCATCTTGAATCTTGTCGGTCTGTCATTTTTAAAAATATTTGATAGACATTGGGGTCACTTTTTCTAAATTAAACTAACAAAAAATTGCCTGCTTGTATAAGAAGTTGTCTGGTTTGTCTTCATCTTAGTTTGGCTGAGTAGTATGTGTGATGGGATGGATACATTCAGTGTACATCTTCTTTAGTATGTTAATCAAACAAGCCATAAAACATGTTTGAATCATGTATTCAGTCAAATAAATTCAATAAATATTGCTGACTTAGCGGTGTCAGCACTCAATCTGGTTAATTTGGTGGAAGGTTGATTGAAATATGTACCAGATTGTTTCAGGCTATTTCAAAGGAATAGTTTATAGTAAATATGATTTGGCAATATGCACCCTTACTCTACCGTTGGACTGTTAGGAACACACGTCAGTTTGTCTACTCATGTTAATGACGTGATGTAAGATCCTCCAGCTACTGATGCTGGTTTGGTGTGTATTTCTAATCTACCAATGTGGTCCTTTACTATTGTATAAACACTCTGTATGCAGACACAGAGAACCCATGCCAACATTGGACCAATAGGCTTGCTCAATTTGACTTAATCAGCTTCTTGTGATCATAACATTGATGGAAATAAATGATAAACATGATATTTGGTTGGTTGTTATTGATGGGATTGGTTGTCACACATACAGCCACATTAGGACGCCATAGTTAAACTTTGAGGAAATGAGTACATGCAAAGATGTTCAGCACAAGATGTTTGTACATTTTCTTAATTCAAAGTGGTTTGTAACTGCAGAGTCCATAGCTCAAATGTGTTTTCAGACAAAAACTGGATGCAATACCATAGGAGGATAGAGAGGGGGGGGGGGGGGGTGTTAAGGGGATCCGGACCCCCGGACCCCCCTCCCCTTTGAAAACCAAATGTATGTATACCCCCCAGCCCCAACCGCCACTGAGAGAGGACTTTGCTATTTTGGACCTCTCCCTTGCTGGATCAACCTATGAATTCTGTGTTGATAGAAGGTCTAATTGACTGCTAGTGGAGATTGCCAGCTGTTTCAGTGGAGGAGGGAAATAAAGTTCAATACTCTTCAGGACCTGGTGACAAACACATGCAAGTGCTGGGACAATTGTAATTGTGTTGAAGTAAGGCACACAACAGTCATAACACTCACTCAGCTGAAAGTCATGATGACCCACCCTTGAGGAGTTCTTGACAACATCGGAAAGTCAAATCTTTAAACCATGACTATTGTAAAGTTTATTTTTGACATAAGCACGGCATTCCAACATTCCAAGGTGCCACATCATGGATTAATAACAACAGAAAAACAAACTTGGCAAAATAGTCTTTATTGAATAAATAGCCAAACAGGTGGTCGCAGAAACCAGGTTTACAAGGATGGGACCTTGGGGTGGGGTCACTTCGACTCTATGGTTGCTGGGGTGTCTGACAGAACAGCACTTGGGCAAAGGAAGGTCGTGCTGTCAGGCTGCATGGCCTTGTGCTGACACAAGCTTACTCAACACGTATATTGATAGCAGCGTAACAAAAACTATAACATTTCGTAATTGCAGATTCTTGTGAAGGTGAAGGCCAAAATCAAGAATAGACTTGCTTTAAGATTTGGGAACAACATTTTCATTTTTGGTGGCTGAGTGGGTTAGATCGCTGATTTCGTGTGCTGGTGATTAGGTGCCTCACTCTTGCAGAGTGGGTTCGAATTCCGGACAGGACTCAACCCAAAAAAGTACGAGAATCTGTACTTTACAAAGAAAGTGTTATCCCAAATATGATATTTGTTACATTTGACCACTTTCTAAATGGCATTGTGTGTTCATAACATTTTCAAAGCATTTCATATTTCTTTAAAAACATTTTACCAAACAAAAACACTGCATCTGATAAGATATACTTCCTGCTGTGAAAAAAGATCAATACCTGAGTCGTTGCTAACAGCAATGTTGCTTTAAAAGAAAACACAACTTCTTAAAATGAACAACAAAACAATGTAATGAAAACAACAAATAAATAAAACCTTCGTTTTTTACCTTGAAAATAGATTTTTGGCATATCAGTGTCATTAGCTATTTAAAAAGTGAAAACAGCTGATGAATAATTTGATTAGATGTTTTGTCAGTTTCAAACAAACTACTGAGGCATGAATTTTGTAATGGTCTGCTGATGGAACTACTCATTCATGTCTTATTTCCTCAACAATCTTTTGAAGACATGCAAAAGCTTCGACAGTCACAGTTGACAAAACAATAACAGAACATACACACCGTATTCAATGTGATAAGCACCCTGCTCTAATAATCACCCACGACAGTTTTGCTTATAAATATATATATATATTGGCTAATGAACAATCACAATTAGCACCCCTTCCGATTAATCAATGTACACAAGACTTATTTATTCATGTATAATACGCATTAGTGTGTGATATCCACCCTTTATTACGGGCAACTAAATTCTCGAAAATATATCTGTCGTGTATAATACACACAGACTTTTCTTTTGTATCATTTCAGGCTGTCAGCATAAACCACGAAATTTATTATCTTTCAACTCTGTTTTTTTTTCACCCACACTATATTCTAAATAGAGGCCCCTATTTCTAATTTTGAGAGCGCCCTGGGTGCTTATTACGTCGAATACGGCATATAAAAAATATCTGCAGGACTCATCACAGCAGAGTTTGAAAGAGTTGTCTCCCTTTACAACCACTGTTGACATGGCAGCATGACTAGTTTCAAACCAGATGACTGACACAACATTATAAAATGCTCTGCTGCAATGAACAAGAAATAGCAAATGGCAGGAATTTGACATAGTGTATCCCAGCAATATTTCCATACATCCCCAAGAAGAGCAAAGTTGAGATCACTGGCCAGTAGCCATGGAAACCACCCACACCACACCCACAACCATGACTTCTCTGTCATTCTCAAATATCAGCAACGAAGACTGACCAAAGAGGCAAGTGTATGTTTTGTTTTGTCAGCAAAGAGGTTGTTATACATGAGTGCAGGCAGAAATTTAACCCAAAGCGCACGAACTGGTGATTAAGAGTCACACAAATTGGTGATTAATCATGTGAACAGTGAAGACTTCCCAGATGCCCAATCATTCAATGTCTGATCACACTCGCTGGACTCAGCACCCATGTTGAGGAGATTGGACCAGGCTCCATTTCATAATAATAATGGTAATAATGTTTCACATCACCTGAATAATCGAACTGACAAAATCAATTCATTGCATTGATTCCAAGGTAAAGATCAATCCAGGGTCTTTTAATCTACCATGCACATTTGGAACTCTCCAGCGATGGGACACAAAATATTAATAGGATTCATATCTTATTTCAAGTCAACTCAGGCAAGTCCGACGTACTGGTTCAGCTTGCAACAAGTCAACTCAGGCAAGTCCGACGTACTGGTTCAGCTTGCAACAAGTCAACTCAGGCAAGTCTGACGTACTGGTTCAGCTTGCAACAAGTCAACTCAGGCAAGTCCGACGTACTGGTTCAGCTTGCAAAAAGTCAACTCAGGCAAGTCCGACCTACTGGTTCAGCTTGCAACAAGTCAACTCAGGCAAGTCCGACCTACTGGTTCAGCTTGCAACAAGTCAACTCAGGCATGTCTGACGTACTGGTTCAGCTTGCAACAAGCCAACTCAGGCAAGTCCGACGTACTGGTTCAGCTTGCAACAAGTCAACTCTAGGTAAATCCCAGGTACTCGTTCAGCCTGTCATTCATGTTGCCAATCCAAGCCACAAACCCAGTCTGTTCAGCCCCAGCCTCCTCCTGCACCGGGCTGACCTCCCCACACAGCTCATCATCAAACAAAGTAAAGTAGGTACCGATGAACCCGCGACACATGGGACACCGGTCAATCTTCTTGAAGCACATACTACACGCGCACGCGTGACGACAGGGCAGGATCACATGGGATATCGGGTTCATTTGGCAAACCACACATTCATGTCCATCCCCATCCATGTCTGACGTTGAGGACGATACCGTCGAGCGATCATTTTCACTTGCTTCTGTCGACAGTTCTGTACTGACTCTTGGTTCAATATCGGAATCATCTGCTGTTATAGATTGCCGTTGCTCGGTGTCAGTTTTGGAAGATTCCCCTCCTCCCTCCATGGAGCTTGACACAAACACTGACTGCACTTCGGTACTACTACTGTCACAACTACTATTATGTTTATTTCTACAAGGTGTCAAGTGTTCTGATTTTTCAGAAAGTGTTGTCTCATTTTCTTCACGGCCAGAACCATCCAGATTCGTAATGTCTGACACCTCTGCTTGACTACATGAAAGACATGGTTCCACTGAAGGATTAAGTACTGTGTCTTTCAGACTACAGGATAACTGTCCATGGTGTGTGCTGGTCTGTGTGCTGGTCTGTGGGGTGGTCTGTGGGGTGGTCTGTGGGCTGGTCTGTGGGCTGGTCTGTGTGCTGGTCTGTGTGCTGGTCTGTGGGCTGGTCTGTGGGCTGGTCTGTGTGCTGGTCTGTGTGCTGGTCTGTGGGCTGGTCTGTGTGCTGGTCTGTGGGTTGGTCTGTGGGCTGGTCTGTGGGCTGGTCTGTGTGCTGGTCTGTGGGCTGGTCGGTGAGCTAGTTGAAAGTGAAGGATCCTCATTGTCTGTTGCAAGATACAAAGCCTGAAAATATATAATTAATATGTGATCAAATGTTATTGTTTTAGTAAATATGGACCACACAAGTCAAATCAGGATGCATAAAGAATTTAAATCACATAAATCAAGGATTTTCAACATGTTCAATTTCTCTCCCCAAATTTCAAGGCCATGCAAACTGAATATCTTATATTTTTTCTGTTTTATCTATTACGGACTCGGACATATTTAGGGAGATAACCTTATGGTTAATGACGATAAATAGATTGTAATTGTTTTCAGCAAAATATTATATTGATTTTCAAAATATAATTGATTTCAGATTCGTGAGGGTGATGGGAGTGAGGTGAAATGGGGTTTAACAATGCGTTTACCATCATTGCACTTATATAGCAACATGTGTTCAAGTGTGTGGCTGCTTGTACTAGTCCGGACTGATCCAGGTTTTGTAGTGCTAGACCACAGAGATACAATTCCGCAGTTTAACATAGATAGCCTACTCAGACACATTATATAGGGACTTCGTACCGACGAGTCATCGTTCTATCCCCATAACGATGAACGTGGGGGCGCAGACGCCACAGTTGTCTAAGGTGCAACAATTTGCTGTGCAGAGTTGTGTCCCTTGGGCATGCCAGAAACCTCTTGTGTGTTTCAAATCGCGGTTTGTCCGATTATGTTTCCAGTTTTGTCAGCACCATACCTGTGGGTTTCTCAAAACTGGTAACTGCCTCGGGCCTGCATCACTTCGGGCTTTCCTCCCACATTAAGCTGACACGCCGTGATATAACTGGAATACTCTTAAAAGTTCCGTTAAACCCGACACACTCGCTCACCAATTTTTTGTTTGTTGTTTAACGCCACTCAGCAATATTCCAGCTATATGACGGTGGTCTATAAATAATCGAGTCTGGACCAGACAATCCAGTGATTGACATGAGCATAGATCCACGCAATTGTGATACAATGACATGCATCAACCAAGTCAGCGAGTCTGACCACCCTATCCCGTAAGTCGCCTTGAACAGCAAGCATGAGTTGCTGAAGACCTATTCTACCCCAAATCTTTAAGGGTCCGTTCACTAATATCGAGAGCCAGGGTGATGAGGATTGATACCTGCAAATTGAAGACTCTGCCATCACTGAGTTTGAGGTACTGCCCCACAGACTGCGAGTCCATCGTCACCACCGAGTCACGCAGATGTAGCATAGTGAAACTAGCCACCTGTTGGGACATTGTCACAGACGTTTATTAGACATGTATACAGTCAACTATGTTCATAGCGAACACGCTTATAACCAACTGATGGATATAGCAAACTGTTCCCGGGCATTGGCTGTATATTATATATATAAAATTAATGGATATAACGTGTCACCAATCTGCCTATCAAAACATCCACAGCCATGCGCGGCTTTTGAAAGTAGCAATAAACTATTGAAGGCAAGTAATTATCTGGATTAAGTTGACACCTCGCCCACATTTTACTCCCTCAATTAACAGTAGTAAAAACGTGATTAGGCTATAGCCTTTGAAGTGTATATATGCTGCCTATAAAATGCGACGACAAGAGTGAGGAAATTCAGTCGAATGCTTATAACGAACTATGGTTATAACGAACTAAAATTAGTGGTCCCTTTGAGTTTGTTATAACCATAGATTACTGTATTTCTGACTTGTTATCACCACTTACAGAGTGGGGAGTTTTGGTTAGAATCTTAACATTTTCATTTTAATGAGTGATGTGAGAACTGGAAAGTTATAATGTGAGAGAACAAATGCTAAAGTAGACACAAGTCATGGATAACAACTTCTTTATATATGTTGTTACAGAAAAACGAGATTCTAATGACAGCCATTTACCGGTAGTCGCCACTTACAACCAGTATAGGTTGGTGGGAACCTGTTCTAACCTGGAATCCCTACAGGATGAAGAAAGCTAAAAACAGAGATTCCATTGATGTTATTTTTCAGTTTTTAATAAACTAAACCTTGTTTTCAAAAAGGTAAATGTGGAAAGTGGGCATTTCATCTCCCAATGACGGGCAAATCTCAAAATATTTAGAAGCTGTATGAAGAAATTATTATATATATCCCAACACAATTATATTGCCTCACCACGGCAGGAGTTCCGAGGTCACCACCAGAGGTCGCTGCTATCACCACACACGGATATCTCTGGCGGGGAGGATGTCCGAGGGTTACCTCACTGACGTCCCCCGGGCACTGGAAGCGGAGCACGCCATGTTTCTCGAGTCTGATAGTCAAAAATCAATAATATCAAATGCAAAATAAATAAATACAAAACATCTCAAGAAAACTCTCTTCTCAAAAGGAAGGAATGTTAATGTTCTAATGGCAAAGTTTCCAATACTTTCTACAATTTTACATTTTTGAATTACTGTGCTCGCAGAAATAAGGGCTGTGTGCATGTATTAAAATGATACACATGTTAAATGTTAAAGTCGTTGTTAACAAACTTAGTTTGAAAGTCCATGAAACGTAAACTATTTCGATAACAGTTACCATGGTTACTGGACCAAAAATATACCCCTCTTTTTGAACCAACATTTTCTGTTAAAAGTAGCCTGCAATACACACTAGAACGTTGGTGAGAGATGCTTATAGGAGCAGGGTTCTTAATACGGTGAATATGGTACTTGCAAAGCAGCTCATTATGAATGCATAAATATATTTCGAAACAATGCAAAACACTCTTTGATAAGGATGCAAAAGCATAATCGAAGCTTATTTCCTCTGGGTTGACACCAGCCACAAGGACAAGTATGGTAATATCGTGTAACAATTAATCTAAAATGAATGGTGAATCTTCTGGACTAGCCCCTGACGTTGTCTACCTGATGTTCTGTTGAGAATGAAGACTCTCCTCCCCTTGGAGGAGGTGACCACCGTTCAAGTCTTTCAGTATTGTCTCAGGTGACCACTGCAGTACTTCATGGACAGTATTGATACTTGTGCCCCAGAACACTGACAAGTGCCCCTCGGTCAGAGATGAAACCGACAGTGAAAAGCCATCTGCACAATACAATCAGAGTTCAGGTCATAGTGAAGGATTCATGTACCAGAGGGTGACAGTCATAAACATCACAAACATCATCACAAACAACATAACAAACAACATAAAAAACATCATCACAAACATCACAAATAACATCCCAAACATCATCACAAACAACATCCCAAACATCATCCCAAACAACATCATCACAAACATCATCACAACAACAAACAACACAAAAAACAACACCACAAACGTCATAACAAACAACATCCCAAACATCATCACAAACAACATCACCACAACAACAACAACATAAAAAACAACACCACAAACGTCATAACAAACAACATCACAAACAACATAAAAAAACACCACAAACATCATAACAAACAACATCCCAAACATCATCACAAACAACATCACCACAAACATCATCACAACAACAAACAACATAAAAAACAACACCACAAACGTCATAACAAACAACATAAAAAACATCACAACAAACAACATCACAAACAACATCACAAACGTCATAACAAACATCATCACAAATAACATCACAAACAACATCCCAAACATAACAAACATCACAAACATCATAACGAACATCACAAACATCATAACGAACATCACAAACAACATCACAAAAGTCATCCCAAACAACATCCCAAACAACTTAAAGTTTGGATTAATTTAATTTCCAAATGTCAATAAATGAAATCAAAATAACACTGTACACATATGTCTGGGTCTAACTTGCCTGAACTTGCCTTAGACTCAGACGGTCATAGTCATATTGACTATTATCAGCAAATCTTAATAAAAGACATTGTACTGTTTCCAGGCTTTGGATTAATGGTAAAAGTCACTAACTGCTTTTATATGTACTTTGTGAGGAAGAGTGTATGTGAGGTGCTTTAGCTCTCCTACAACTTTCTATTACCTCCAAGTGTGATTCATTTGCCTCTAAAGGAATCAACTACAAAAACAAGAAGGGCTAGGACGATACACCAACTGTGCGATCCGATACCTATCACAATACCTTGCTCATGATCCAATACATATCACGATACTTGTATCTGTAGCGCATAGTCCATATTTTTCTTAGACAGGATATTCAAATACCTGGCACACTGATGATTTACAGTTGGAAGTGTCAAGTATGGCGCAATGGGTGAAAATATTTACTTTTTCACTACTAATTTTCACTACTAATTAGTGCTTAGTGTAACATTTATTAAAAAATACATTTAAGGTAAGAATCAATACTTTTTACTTAGTGTGCAACTGTGATCGATACTTGTACCGGGAATTGAAATATCGCGATCCACCGATGCATCCCACTCTCCTACCCAGAGTTCCATGCGGCCGGCAGCCAGCTAGCATAGTACCTCTGCCACAGGCCAGCACCATGTGACGATTCGTCACATCTTTCACAGTCCAGTCAAGATATTGCATATGCTTTTCATCCGTTTCATGTTTGACAAGTCTACACATTTTCATAAACAAATGTCAAAGAAAGGTTAACTTTCATTGAGAAAGTATGCAAATACGTAAAAATCTACTTGTTTTTGCGTAGTTATCCTATGTTTACATTGGTTGTACGGCTCCACGTGCTGTCATCGAAGCCCAACAGAGAGCTAGCGACACGGTCACTTTGATGCATAAATATATATTGTCATGCAACTCACTGTCGCAGTTGTAGTAGCATAGCCATATAGTTATGCAAAACAATATGTAAAGCGCCCCCAAATACTTGCATTAGTCCGTTCTATACTGATTTCTAAAAAAGCACGTTTGTTTACAAACAAGAGAAAAGTCTGGTCACGTGATATGCAAATTAGCCTGTGGCAGTGGTGTTATGCTGAGTCACCACTGCGACGGAGAATGCGATGCATGGGTGTATCGTCCCACCACTAAAAACAAGTAGACGTCTTCCTACCTTTCAGTGTTGTTGTGGCAGCATCTTTGAGTGTGATGGAGAAAGGGTTTGTGAATCCCCTCATGGGCATCTTAACTGCAGTGTTGGGGGGTGACGGTGGCAGCATCGGGAAGTGCAGCAAGTCATTGTTGAATCTGGCCAACACAATACACGCGTAAGCACTCACAGAGTCATCATACTTACTTATCAATGAATTAAATAAAAAAAGATGCTATAACAAAATGCAACAAAAACAAACTGTTCATCTTAATGTTCACCTAATACATCCATGCTTCACAAGACCCGTGAAGATTCCGGGGTAGAATAGGTCTTCAGCAACCCATACTTGACGTAAAAGGCGACTATGCTTGTCGTAAAAGGCGACTAACGGGATTGGGTGGTCAGACTTCGTTGATACATGTAACCAATCCCAATTGCGTGGATCGATGCTCATGATGTCAATCACTGGATTGTCTGGTCCAGACTTGATTATTTACAGACTGCCGTCATATAGCTGGAATATTGCTGAGTGCGGCGTTAAACAACAAACAAAGAAACAAACAACAAAACATGCTTCACAAACACAGATGAATGAAGATTATTATTTTGATAGCATATAAAAAATGAGGAGAGGTGAAATGGGGATTGACCTCACGTTCAAGATTATTGCACTCACAGAGCAACGTGCATGCACATGTGTGTTTGTGTGTGGTTATTTGTACTGGTTCGGACTAATGCTGATTTTATAGTGCTAGCCAACTGAGATATTTTGCTGCAGTTTAACATGAATTATAATACCCCACTCAGACACAGTATATTGACTCTGAGCCGACCAGTCCTTGTTTTAGCCCTTTAAGCCGAGTTCAATTATTTGGTATGACACAGCCAAGGATCAAACCCCAGACCTTCGGCTCTCCGGGCGAATGGTCTACCACTAGACCACAGAGGCGGTCTATTACAAATGAGAAGATGCAAGTCTTGTTAGCGATATCATTAGGAATCTTAGCTCTACAATTAGATTTGCATCTAAGTCAAGTTTCCATACATAAAATAATATTTATTTACATGTTTAACTTTTGAATCTGGTGTGACATTTCTAAACAAAACTGGTCTATAGTATATGTTAAAGTAAACATTTGTAAATTGTAAATTCTATAATATCATATATATCTTTTCCATATTGCATGACCTTGCAGAGAACATAAACGATGCGTACCTTAATATCAGCACTGCCGTTGCCACGAAGCACAAGAGAACGGTGATGATTGCATAGTGGTTGGAATAATTAGCGAAGGAGTACAACAAATGCGAGAGGTCGTCGGCCATGTCCAAGAGTTCGGTCCCGAGAAGAGATAAACATAACACATCTTGTATCACGTCAATGACGTCCATGTTAATGTCTTTCGTATATTATACGCCCACATCATCTGGTTCAATGTCGACAATATGTAAACGCATCTATCAGTCGCATCTGATCACAATTAACACATTCCCTGTCATTCGATGCAGTTACACGCGAGACGTGTTTGTAACCCGGAAGTAAACAACAAGCTGGGAGGTCGCCACGCCAATCAACATGGATTTTGTTACGAACGATATGATTGGCTTATAGGTGACTTCTCCTGCTTACTAACAACGGGGGAAGCTGCAGTGCCTGTAAGTTTCTTTAACTGTAAAAGTGTGTGTTATCAATGGTGGAACAATGTAATATCGTGATATTAATGTTATCGCGAGCCCACTGTGTCTGTTTCTTACCGTGGATGTCATTGGTTAAGGAAATAAAGCCAATCGCATCTTGAGAATCTAAACGCTATTTTGATTGGATAAATTAACATACGATGCTTCCTAACGGCCAATCCACATCTATGTACGTCTCCAGTGACATGATTGGTATGAAAAACAAAATGGGGAAGTTGATGCGATGTAGGTTGATAGTACTACGCGACTCGTGATCTTAAGAACTTACGATGGCAGCTAAACACATCAAATATCAACTGCAGGCGTTTGGGAGGCTTCGGGAACTTCAAACTCAAGGCATTCTTTGTGACCTGGTTCTAATGTCTCGGGATCAAACCGAGTTCAAAGTTCACGCTTCAGTGATGGTGGCGGCTTGTGAGCCTTTCTATGGACTATTGTGCGAGAGAAGAAGTCTGAATAAGATCAGACTGAACAACATTGGTGGGCATTCTTTGGGCTTGTTGATACGTTTTATTTATGGAGAAAGTTTTCAAAATCAGGATGATATTCAGATTCTTACTGAAACCCTGATGAAACTTGGTATGAAACATTTGAACCAGTTTGTGGAAACATCATGTAATCAAGGCATTGGTATCTTGGATGAAATAATTTGTGAAAGCAGCAAAGGAAAAACCACCAGCCCATCTGGTATATTTACAGATTCATATTCAAGTGAGGTAAACTGTGGAAATTCAAAGAGTAAATTCCAGGGTGATAACTGCAGAGGGAATTTGTTACTTAAGGTTAAATCAGAACCACTTTCTCCAACAAAACATGTTTCCAGTGAAGGGACAGGATTAGAAAATCTTGAAACTGAAACAATTAAGGTTAAAACAGAACCAATTGATACCAGTTACGAGGAAAACAGTTCTATATGTGGAACAGCTCTGTATAGGAATGAGGATGCACCTAAAGCAGAAGGTTCCTATTTTGCTACGGATACATTCAAAGAAGATCTGAAGCCAATGAAATTATATGTCAATGAAACACATGATAAAAACAATCAGAAAAACATTGACAAAAACAGACCTGGGAATTCTTTGGCAGAGAAATCTGGCATCCTGCAGGAAGTTAGTGATTTGAGATGTTTAGCCACTGAACATGTTGACTGTGATAAGGATTTCCATGGTATCAAGTCTGCCCATGATGCCAACAGCATGGGGTGTCTCCAGACAGGTGAATCTATTCAGAAAACAACCTGTGCAGATAGTCAGGATCATCAGGCCACAAGGGACAGTTTGTTATTACATAAGAACAAGATTGAGTCTGTTGAAAGCAAGCGGGTACAAGTTTTACTTCGACAAATTGATGACCAAGGAAACTATGCAATCTTTCCTGTATCACCAAGAGATGGAGCTGTACCTCTGGTCTTGGATGCCCAAACTAAAATATCCGAAGACCAAATTACTCGAACAGCAGAGAATACTGACATTACGTCTCAGAAAATTGATATGTTGAATGAAGATGTTGCAAAAGAAAGCTCTCCTCTGGTCAAATTGCCTGTGAATACAGTTCCAGTATTGAGTCCTTCAGCTCAGCCTGTTATGGTTAATCAACCACAGATAGCTTCAGGACATAAGATTATTATTTCTCCAAACGGACAGATCATTGCCATTCCTGCTGCCAAGCTGAATCCATCTAGGTTCTCGCCAGCAGGCACTCCCTATACCCCGGTGAAGAAATCGAAGCGCAAAGGAAGGCAGAAAGTTACTTGGTCTGGCAAACAGGGTAAGATTCGGGAAATTATTCCCAAGACAGAACTTCAGATTCAGAATGTGGTAAGCTTGAAGGACAGAGTTCTGGATAGTACAAAGGTTTTGGAGCCATCACAAGATTGTGCAAGTAAGAGAATGAGGGATTATTTTCGTAAGTGCCAAGCTCTAGATCATGCCGATTCAGAAGAAAAAACAGAAGGGTGTCAAGAAACAGACAACCAGGGTAGCCAGCAGTCTAGAGCTCATGGTGATGAGCAAACAGAGAATTCTAATAAGAAACAAACTGTCTGTTGTCAAATGGATTCAGCAAAGCGAAAATCTGGAGAGTCAGGAGATTTTCAAACAAATTCTTTGGCAAAAAAGGCAAAAGTATTGAACAGATTAGATGATGATGATGAAGATGATGAAGAATATGTTGTCATTGATCTTGAAGATATGGGAGATCATGCCCCTGAAGGGAAGATGACAACGCTGAATGTTTCCAGTGATGATGGTGATGATATATTTACAGCCAGTGGAATTGGAAGCAACAATGAGACTTGTATTTCGTCAAGTGAAAACAATTCCAGTGATATGATCAGTGTATCTGACTGTACCTTACAAGAGCTTTCACTTCGAGAAATTCCGTTTGGCCTAGTATTCCCTTCCAAAACCAAGAGAAAGATTTACACTGGCAGGAAGCTGAATATTTTTCATAGTGAAGAAGAAGCACCACAAAGAAAACAAAAGTTCGTCACAAAAAAAACTCCCAAAAAACAGTCAAAGATATTGTCTGTCAAATCGAAATGTCCCGACACTCAGTCACAAGTGCCTCATTATACCATCCAGCCTGTTGCAAGATCTCTGGAGTTGTCAGAAGTTGCTGGCACCACCAACCCTATAAAGACTATACCTATTGTGGTGGCATTAGCAAATGGGAAGACCGCCACTGTGATGCTGCCGGGCTACACTCCCAACAACAAGCTGGAAGTGCCTTTGACCCCTCAGGTAGCAGCACCCCCGCAACACAGACAGCCTCATCCCATACAGACCACTACCTTTACCCATCCCAAACAGACAAATACCTTTACCAATTCTCTTATACAAACCCCGAGGGTATGCATGGCTAGTGTTTCTAATCCGTCAAACAATGTCTTCACTTCAAGTGCACTTATTCCATCTCAGGTGCCTGGAATGCAGCAGATGAAGCTGCTGCAGCATCCTGTTCCAAGAGGATTTGTACCGCAAGTCATATCAGGAGCTCTGACTCTGTCCAACTCATTGCCTATCGGTGTGTCTGGCAGCCATCAAGTTGGTGGTGTGCAGAGCATCCTCCAGGGTCCAGTTGTAACAGGATCTGCTGTGGTGACAGGGGGAATTCAACAGCAACTTCTTGTTCCCAACTTTGCAATACAGAATCAGACTGTGTCTGTTCCGAATCAGTATCTGGGGCAACAACAACAGATGCGTCTCCCGACTATTCCCTCCCCGACTATCCCCTCGCACCTGAACAATGGGAAAGTCAAGAATGTGCCTCGGCAATTACCTCCAGTCAGTAAACGAAAACCGTCAGTTGTGAAACCATCTACTCTCAAAGAAATAAGGCCAAAATAACCATGACAACTGCTGAATTAGAAATCAGTGCTAGCCCATGGCTCATCGTTGTTTAAAAGTGCTATTACTCTGCAGCCATCTGTTCGTTCAGCTTGCTAGACAATAGGGGGGAAACAATACATCCCATATGATACACAATACATTTTTTTTGTCTCGATACACTTGCTGAAAAAAAACACTTACTTCTTGTTAAATGACCCCTGGCTTTTGTCAGTCAGCTATAGAAAAAGGTGTTGTAATTAGTGTTTCAAGTTCACTGCTAAAAATAGCTGCTACAAGCATGTGTCAACAGCAAGCTTTTCTTCTAAACTTTCTCTGAAATATTTACTGTCAAGAAGTTTCCATGCTATTTGACATAAATATGAGTATGGCGATACTTAACATATCTTAACCTATGTATCATGATACATATCGTATCTGACCTTGCTGGATCGTTTCACCCCTACTGTACAACTGATTCAGCCTTAAGGAAAACTATTGGGATTCATGTGTTTCCGTTGTCCATGTAGGTGTCTGATGTTGGTGACAACGAGATCAAACTGGTGTGACTGCAAGGTTTCTGCACCATGTGTGTGTACGCTTGGGGAGAAATGTTTTTTAGACATGTTCAGTTCTTAGGTTGATAGTCAAGTATGATTTTTGTGATGTTAATGTGCCAAAATATTTTAAGTGGGTTTTAATTCTATTTGTTTCATATTGATACATGATGTCCAACAGTTCCTAAGGTATCCCTGGGGGGCACGGGGGGCCCAGTCGTCTAAGGCGCCGCGATTCGCTGTGCAGAGTTGCGTCCCTTGGGCATGCCAGAAACCTATGATTGTGGGTTCGAATCCCGGTTATGTTTCCAGGTTTGTCAGCACCATACCCGTGCTCGTGGGTTTCACCGAAGTGGTAAACGTCAGAGACCTGCATCACTTCGGGCTTTCCTCCCACATTAAGCTGACACGCCGTTATATAACTGGGATACTGTTAAAAGCGGCGTTAAACCCAACTCACTCACTCACTCACTCGCTGTATAAGACCGAACGTGTACACGATCATATTATCTTGTGGGTAGTACAGATGTGACGGATACAACACTGTACATGTTTATTTTATTCACCTTCAGTGCCTGCTTTTAAGTTTTGTTTGTTTGTTCTTTAACGTTGCACTCAGCAATATTCCAGCTATAGGACGGCGGTCTGTAAATAATCGAGTCTGGACCAGACAATCCAGTGATTAATATCATGAGCATCGATCCACGCAATTGTGATCAATGACATGCATCAACCAAGTCAGCGAGCCTGACCACCCGATCCTGTTAGTCGCCTCTTACGACAAGCACAGCCACCTTTTACGGCAAGCATGGGTTGCTGAAGACCTATTCTACCCCGGAATCTTCACGGGTAGTCTGCTTTTAAGTGTTCAACTTTATGTTTTATGATTGGTTAAGATAGATTAAATGTAGTTCATGTGTCCTTCATTTTGTGAGCCTAAACAAACCCAAGCTATGACGTGCTCAACTGATTGGCCAAGCTAGCCCTCAAAGTTGACCCTTTGTCTCACTGCATGTTCTCAGTCTACACACATTTTTAACACAGACATATGGGCAAATAACACATAAGTGTGTCACACCTGTAAAGTCATGTACATGTATGTATTTTGAAAGAAATTTATTATCTCTTTACAATTAGATAATATGATATATGGATAATTATTCTATTTGGTTCTTACATTAGTTAGCAGATCATTGTACAGTATAACAACTAATATAGGAACAACATCTGTTTGTCATGTAAAACGGTTTGTACTACTGTGATGTTGATGACTGCATTATGTGTATTGTTAATATTACTTATCATTCCTTTAATATTTCAGGGTATAGATACTTGGGCTGGGACGGGTAACTCGGGTCGGGTGGGTGCTGAGTAGGACCTGGGTACCCACAGGACTACATGGTTAGTCACATGATATATTGTTTAATGACAAAGAAAAGTATCTAGAACTCTATGGTAGTATGGTTACCGGTACACTACAAGTTAGAAATGTTCGCATTCCTTCTGACTTTTCATATCTTTGAATAAAGATATAACTTGAGTCAACTTCAGTGTATGCATGACCAGATTGTTTAATACATGTATCTCAATACGTTTTGCCAGTGCTATGGTAATAAAATGCCCAATCGGGCATTTTGTACCTATCTCATGAGACCTACAGTGGGTACCCGTAGGGTCGGGTAATAGGAGGGTGGCCCGGGTGGTAAATTGGGACTCGTCCCAGCCCTACTAGATAAATATATGAAACATCCACTGGCTTATTAAAATGTCTCTGATTTCGTTTTTGTTGTGTATTGTTTGTCAATTTTCTAAATTCCCAGGCGCTCATTACGGCAAATATGGTAATTTGATATGAAAAATTTATGAAACGTTAGACAATTTCTGTGAATTATCGACTAGACTCCGTCTACGTGTGCATCTCCTATCATGTTGTTGACAGTGCGGAATGTTTATCTGTTTTGTGATTTTTCTATTTTGTTTCTTTGTTTTCTCGATCATGAGGGGTCGGGCAGTGCATTTGATAAACAGGGTACCTATTATTAGGGCTTGGACGATACACCAACTGTGCGATCCGATACGTATCACGATACCTTGCTCATGACCCGATACATATTACGTATTCTTGTGTGTGCAGCTTATACCCAAAATATAGTTTCAACATTATTTCTGGTAGCACTACCTATCACTGAAATGGTTTTAATTCCATAAAAATACAAAGGTCTTTGTGAGGTATGACCTTTAACCGGCACCTAATACAATGTGATTCTGTAGTCGGTGTAACCATAGTAACATGCCAGGTATTCTGCAGCCAGTATAACCATGGTAACGTGCCAGATATTCTGTAGCAAGTGTAACCATGGTAAAGTGCCAGGTATTCAGAAGCCAGTATAACCATGGTAACGTCCCATGTATTCTGTAGTTTGTTCACATTGCTAAGTATCATCTATCATGTCCATAGGGTTTCATTTAGAGACAGAGTACACCTGATGCTAACAATTTGAACCAATCATGATGAACCACAAGCATAGCTTGTGAAGCGTTTCTTGAGGAGACCAACACCATTAGTGCTGTACCATTTCCCGATGTGACGCACAGATGCTACATCTGTCCTCCCTGTACATGGTGGGAGTGGTGTGGAATTCAAAACATTTTCGATAACTTTTTCTTGAATGGATCTCGAATGAATTTTTAACATGTCGATTAAAATATGGTTTGTACAATGTCTGTGTCGGTTGTTTGTAAATGTTTAATAAAGAAGTAAGAGAACATGTTCTTTAAAATGTTTATGTACAAATAAGACAACTCTACTACAGTACGAGATCATGTGAGTCCCGATGCTCCTGGAGAACTCGGAGATTCAGATGGGGAGGAGTCTGCAGCTTCATCAGACTTGACCTTGCTTGATGACTGCTTGCCTGCTCTCTTGTCAGCTTTCTTCACGTCATTCTGTAAGTGCATGGAGTAATTCTGTAAGTGACATGCTGGTCTAAATGCTTCACTCACTCATCTCGATAATTAAGACGCCTGGATGCTGATTGGCTGATTCCCCCGACAGAACCTTGTGTGTGTTTCATCTTCCTGAGGCAAGTGAGTTAACTGACCATAAAAGTCCAGATTCCACCCGTGCCAAATCAGGCTGGTATTATGGAGTTACATTTTGGCTGGACTAATGAGTCTATGCGTAGTCCAATTACAATCGCGCCCTGAAATCGAAATCCAGTTCGTAAACTTTCATGCAGATTTCAGTCGATTGCAGGATTTGCAAAACATGTGCACCGCTAACTTGTCAACAGATATTTTCTAAATCTTTTCATGATTTTGATCAAGGTGCTGACGTGATTTGATGCACTTCGTGATGTAAGACTCATTTTATCACAATACAGATCTTGATTGTCGATCAGATCATCTTGGCTGGGCCCCATCATTTTGTTTGATTTGTTTGTTTGTTTGTTTGTTGTTCAACGCCACACTCAGCAATATTCCAGCTATAAGACGGCGGTCTGTAAAATATTCGTGTCTGGTCCTGACAATCCAGTGATTGACATCATGAGCATCGATCCACTGTTGGGATCGATGACATGTATCAACCAAGTCTGCGAGCCTGACCACCCGACCCTGTTAGTCGCCTTTTACGATAAGCATAGTCGCCTTTTACAGCAAGTATGGGTTGCTAAAGACCTATTCTACCCCGGAATCTTCACGGGTCCCATTTTGTTGAAAGCAAAGGTAAGTGATACGAAAGGGATAGAAGGGACATTACTTGTAATAGCCACTAGTGGCGTTAGGAATTCCAGCCTAGTTCGACAAGGGTGGAAACTGGACTTTTAAAGTCAGTTAACGCTCTTGCCTCAGGAAGATGGGTGTGTTCATATCGGAGTATAATAATTGATTTTAGAGAGATGGAGCATCAGTCAAGATGACATTCAGCAAATGTTTTTTCTTGCTCAAGAATAGTGAGTTGGGTATAATGGAGCTTTAACGCCGCAGTATTCCAGTTATATCACAATGTGTCATCTTAATGTGGGAGGAAAGCCCAAAGTCATATCGGTCTCCGATGTTTACCACTTCATTGAAACACCCAGTAGGTATGGTGCTGACAAACCTTGAAACAAAAGGAGTGAACTTGGATTCAAACCCACAATCAGAGGTTCTGGCCTTAGATGACTGGACCAAGCGTGCCCTCTGCTCAAGAATAAATATGCAATAGAGAAGTTAATCTAAATTTGCAGAGAGGCTGAGCAGCTATGTGATATAAGACAACAAGGATGTCTATAGTTGTGTGAACACCACATCAGCAGCTAGCCACCTCATCATAATTTTTTTACCTCTGTAACCATGGCAACAAGGCACCATACTGTGACCTGAAATCCCCAATATATTTTTCTGATATCATTCTCAGAGTGAGACGACTGCCACTGAAGACTTACTGGTCCCGCTGGCACACACTCCAGAGGTATCGTCACTGGGCCGTCGTTCTGTATATTCACCTGCATGTAGGCGCCAAATTTACCATCTGAAACATAATCATGAAATACACACTAAGTTGATCAGATGAGAAATCTACTATATGTTGAGCTGGAAACAGAATAACAAATCATGCAGATTTCCATATTTCCTATATTTTAACATGTAAAATAAACGTGAGTGAGTTGGGTTTAACGCCGCTTTTAACAGTATTCCAGTTATATCACGGCGTGTCAGCTTAATGTGGGAGGAAAGCCCGAAGTGATGCAGGTCTCAGACGTTTAGCACTTCGGTGAAACCCACGAGCACGGGTATGGTGCTGACAAACCTAGAAACAATCAGGGCGAACCAGGATTCGAACCCACAATCATAGGTTTCTTGCATGCCCAAGGGACGCAACTCTGCACAGCGAATTGTGGCGCCTTAGACGACTGGGCCCCCCGTGCCCCCCAATTGATATTGTGAAAAATGGTCCCCGCTGCTGGGGTACGATGACGTGCTATCAACCAAGTCACTGTGTATGACCACTTTCATTATCAATATTCCAGCATCCAGGATTCAAACAATACCACCATGTACAGTCAAGTCTCTTAATCCGACACTAATGATGGGAACCAATTAAATCAGTGCTATTTTGACCCGTTAATCCGACATCTCGTTCTCCGACTTCAACACACCTAATTTGCAACGAATTATCGAAATCTCTCATTAATCAGTCTCGTTAATTTGACACAGTGATCAGCGTACTCCGTGGTCATCTGCCCCAGGTACACAGCCAGTGTTTTGATGCGAGACGAGTCGACTGGTAGTTGCATATTACAAAGCTGCAGAGATAAACTTTGCTTAACAATAAACATGCTTTAAATATGGAAAACAGGATAAATCACATGCTGAGATTACCTCAATCTCATTAAAAGCAGATACAAGTTCTCGATATTGCCGAGAATATCCCATTACAGGTCACGTCAGAAGAATCTTTTGCGAACTATGACAATGAACGTTGGTACTACTTAATTTCGTTTATCTGAAATACTCGTTAATCCGACATAATCATATGCAACCAGCCATGTCTGATTAATGGGACTAGACTGTACATGAATTGTCCACACCCGAATCATTAATGTGACTATGGACTTGAATCGTCTACACGTCAATCATCTACGTGACCATGTACATGAATCGTCTACACCTCAATCATCTACGTGACCATGTACATGAATCGTCTACACCTCAATCATCTACGCGACCATGTACATGAATCGTCAACATCTCAATCATCTACGTGACCATGTACATGAATCGTCTACACCTCAATCATCTTCGTGACCATGTACATGAATCGTCTACACCTCAATCATCTACGTGACCATGTACATGAATCGTCTACACCTCAATCATCTACGCGACCATGTACATGAATCGTCAACATCTCAATCATCCACGTGACCATGTACATGAATCGTCTACACCTCAATCATCTTCGTGACCATGTACATGAATCGTCTACACCTCAATCATCTACGCGACCATGTACATGAATCGTCAACATCTCCATCATCTACGCGACCATGTACATGAATCGTCAACATCTCAATCATCCACGTGACCATGTACATGAATCGTCTACACCTCAATCATCTTCGTGACCATGTACATGAATCGTCTACACCTCAATCATCTATGCGACCATGTACATGAATCGTCAACATCTCAATCATCTACGTGACCATGTACATGAATCGTCAACATCTCAATCATCCACGTGACCATGTACATGAATCGTCTACACCTCAATCATCTTCGTGACCATGTACATGAATCGTCTACACCTCAATCATCTACGTGACCATGTACATGAATCGTCTACACCTCAATCATCTACGCGACCATGTACATGAATCGTCAACATCTCAATCATCCACGTGACCATGTACATGAATCGTCTACACCTCAATCATCTTCGTGACCATGTACATGAATCGTCTACACCTCAATCATCTACGCGACCATGTACATGAATCGTCAACATCTCAATCATCTACGCGACCATGTACATGAATCGTCAACATCTCAATCATCCACGTGACCATGTACATGAATCGTCTACACCTCAATCATCTTCGTGACCATGTACATGAATCGTCTACACCTCAATCATCTATGCGACCATGTACATGAATCGTCAACATCTCAATCATCTACGTGACCATGTACATGAATCGTCAACATCTCAATCATCCACGTGACCATGTATATGAATCGTCAACACCTGAATTGTCTACATGACCATGTACATGAATTGTCCACACCTGAATCGTCTACATGACCATGGACTTGAATCGTCTACGTACCCTGTACTTTGTCGGGGGAGTATGCGGCTCCCAGCTGCTTGAGGAACTCCTGGTACATCTGCTGGGACAGGTCGGGGCCCATTGCCTCGTGGAAGTCTGGCTTGTTGCCCTTCAGAGTCACACACAGGGTGAACTGCAGAGACATAAACAGTGCAGCATGACTGTGTCTGCAAGCATACTCATTTTGAATAGTTTCTAGACTGACTTGACCAAAAGTATATCTTACTGGAGTTTGGTTTCAGAGTAGTGACTTAAACTCACAGCACCTCACCTGGAAATCACACAATTCACCTGGACATATCACACAATAGCTCACCTGGACATATCACACAATAGCTCACCTGGACATATCACACAGTAGCTCACCTGGACATATCACACAATAGCTCACCTGGACATATCACACAGTAGCTCACCTGGACATATCACACAATAGCTCACCTGGATATATCACACAGTAGCTCACCTGGACATATCACACAGTAGCTCACCTGGCTGACACAAAGCACTTCAAACTGCTTGTCCATCACATTCTTGGCCCATCGCTTTCCACCGTCATCATCAAACAGACGCAAGTTCAGAACTTTTCTAACTCTGAAAGTGGAAATCTTTGAGATAGAATCAACAGTTTAGTTCAACATGATTTGTGTCAGCATCAGAATAAGGCAGACAATCCAGCCACACTTGTCACCAGGTCCAGCCATACACCACACTTGTCACCAGGTCCAGCCATACACCACACTTGTCACCAGGGCCAGCCATACACCACACTTGTCACTTGTCACCAGGTCCAGCCATACACCACACTTGTCACCAGGTCCAGCTATACACCACACTTGTCACTTGTCACCAGGTCCAGCCATACACCACACTTGTCACCAGGTCCAGCCAAGCACCACACTTGTCATGTGACACCAGGTCCAGCCATACACCACACTTGTCACTTGTCACCAGGTCCAGCCATACACCACACTTGTCACCAGGTCCAGCCATACACCACACTTGTCACCAGGGCCAGCCATACACCACACTTGTCACTTGTCACCAGGTCCAGCCATACACCACACTTGTCACCAGGTCCAGCCAAGCACCACACTTGTTATGTGACACCAGGTCCAGCCATACACCACACTTGTCACTTGTCACCAGGTCCAGCCATACACCACACTTGTCATGGGACACCAGGTCCGGCCATACACCACACGAGTCGCAAGCCGACCCCAATATTTTTCTGCTAACCTAATATGGCACCGTATACGGCACCATAAATTTATTATGCTGAAACGTTGACACTAAAGACGGCTGCTATCTTTTCTATTGCTATGTGACGTCATCCTGTTTCTATGATGTTGCTATTTGTAAATCAGTGACCTCTGTTGTGAGCCTTTTTCTGTATAGTTTTTATTAATAAAGTCACGAACATGGTTTCTTTAAGAAATATTGTCGTTGTACATCACAACTAAGGATATTAAAACACAAAACAGTGTCGAATAACGAATTTCTGTACCAGAATTTTCATGTGAAATATTTGAGGTGGGTGTTGAAAAATCCAAGATGGCTGTTACTGATGGTATACGGTCTCATATCAGGTCAGTATCAACCATCTTGGATTTTTACTGACGGTATACGGACTCATATGGGGTCAGTAGATCTGCTCTCTGATTGGTCAATCTCACTTTGAGGCATAATAATGACATCTATGTAGAGCACAGTGACTGACATGTACTCCATCTCCTTCGGGGTGTCGTATCTCGAGATTCCCACCAGCACACACAGGCCTCTTCCGATCGACCCAACCACTTCATCTCCAACTGAAATAGAAGAAAGCTTCCATGAACAAGCCTACAAACAACGATAATGTTGAACATGGGGTATTCCGAACGATAGTTATGGGTTTAACAACTGAATCCTTACAATCTAGACCATCTATTACCCATTCCAGAATGGTTTTTTTGTTCAGGTTTCGAATTTGTAATCGAGAGTTTGTCAAAATATGTCTCGAAGCGTAGTCGCCAATTTGAAATTTGTGCCGTAAAGCACGAGAAAGCTGCCTACTGATTGGTCATTCCATTGGTCGGTCAAAGTTCGCAAAAGGTCGGTCTGACGTGACCCGTAATGGGATGTCTTCAGGGCCCACTTGCACAAAGCGATCTTAGCGCTAAGATGATCGTAACTCCGATGCTTTAACATAGGCTTACAATAGTCTTAGCACTAAGATCGCTTTGTGCAAGTGGGCCCAGATCTTTGTTTAGCGGTAGCGAGAACTAAGATCTGATTTTAATGAGATTGTATATTGATTTCGTTCAGCATCCTAAGACTTCGTGAACTCGCCATTTCAAGGTTTGATTGTACCGTCACAGGACACTGTTTCAAACATGGCTGAGAAAACGGCAAGGATGATAATTCACACCACCATCAATGTGCAGAGTGACATAAGGGCATAAGATCTGTTTCCATATTTCCTATATTTTAACATGTGAAATAAACGCGAGTGAGTGAGGTTTAACGCTGCTTTTAACAGTATTCCAGTTGTATCGCGGCGCGTTAGCTTAATCTAGGAGTAAAGCCTGAAGTGATGCAGGTCTCAGACGTTTACCCGAAACCCATGAGCAGGGGTATGGTGCTGACAAACCTAGAAACATAATCAGGGCGAACCAGGATTCGAACCCACAATCATAGGTTTCTGGCGTGCCCAAGGGACGCAACTCTGCACAGCGAATCGCGGCGCCTGAGACGACTGGGCCAGCCGTGGCCCTTATTTTGTTATAGAAGAACTGTAACCAAATTAAGAAGTGGGTGCAATAGCAACCAGAAAATTGGCAAAGGGATAATTGTGAGTTGGATAATGATGATGCATTGTGTAAAGTGCCTGAAGATAGAAAATGCATTTTGTATAACTGTGTTTTATATAACTGCATAGGGATGTGTTGCCTCCCATAAGGAAAGGCCAACATGTACCACAGCATTAGATCTATTTGTTCAGTCTCTAATTCAGATTCTCATATTAAACATATTTAAAATACTGTATTCGATGTAATAAGCGCCCCGCTCTAATTAGTGCCCACTGCGATATTTGCTGATATATTGGCTAGTGAAAAATCCCAATTAGCACCCCTTCCGATTGATCAATGTATACAAGACTTATTTATTCGCATATAATACTCACTCGTGTGTTATATGCATTCTTAATTATGGGCAATTAAATTATGGAAAAATGTATCTGTTGCATATAAACATTTCAGTGTGTCAGCATAAACCACGAAATTTATCTTTCAACTCTCTTTTTTCCACCAAAATAATATTCTAATAACAGCCCCCTTTTTCTAATTTTGAGAGTGCCCTTGGCGCTTATTACGTCGAATATGGTATGTGAGGAATTGTAAACTTTGTCACTCTCACAGCACTACCTTTGTACAATGGGTATTTGGGACTGAACTAGAGATAAACATATCTGTCTGTCTGTCAGTTGTGTTAGAATCCTTGAAGGAGTCCAATAAATACATGATAGCTAACTTTCTGTTTGATGATTACATGTTGATTTTTTGTTTGTTTGTGCGTTTGTGTGTTTATCGCTGTGCTCAGCAATTAATATTCCAGCTATATGATGGTCTGTAAGTAATCGAGTCTGGACTAGACAGTCCAGTCATTGATATCATGAGCATTGAGCCACGCAATATTGATACGATGACATGCATCAATCAAGTTAGCGAACTTGACCACCCGATCCCATTAGTCGCCTCTTATGACAAGCATGGGTCGCTGAAGACCTATTCTTTCCTGGATCTTCACGGATATCCTCGTCTTTTGTTTTTATAGGTTCTAAACCTTATAAAGCTTAATCCCCTATTGCCTTACCAATCACCATGCTCAGGTGAATTTGTACCTATAATAAGTGCTGGACAAGAAGGAAGGGCCCTGATACACCACCAGGCAGACTGGGTGCCAGCCTGATGATTGAAACATAGCACGTCATGCAGCAGAATCTGTTTTAAACCTACCGTGGGGGAATCCCCTTACTGGCCGGAATTTTTCATTTGGAGGACGATTTCACGTGTCTTTTTTTGTCGTTTTATTTACACTTTTTCTAATTTTCAATTTAATTTTGTTCAAGCATTTGTGATTAAATATGCCCAAATGTATTAAAATCTGCAAAGTTGCTATGTTGACTTTACTTGTCCTTTAAAATTACTAGACAGTTTCAAATTTCACAACCATAAATATGCGACAGTTTATATTTTCAGAAATTTGATAATGTAAAGGTATCAACAAAGTAAACAATAATTGCAAATCATAAGACAAATATTATGAAGGGAGGTAACTCTGATCTTGCAACCTTGATTTGTTGCAGGCATTAATTATTTTTTGTTATATTTTTTATGGTTGTATTCATACAGAGACAGAAACCCGTGAAAATTCCGGGTAGAATAGATCTTCAGCAACCCATGCTTGCCGTAAAAGGTGACTATGCTTGTCGTAATAGGCGACTAACGGGATCGGGTGGTCAGGCTCGCTGACTTGGTTGATGCATGTCATCGATCCCAATTGCGTGGACCGATGCTCATGACATTAATCACTGGATTGTCTGGTCCAGACTCAATTATTTACAGACCGCCTTCATATAGCTTGAATATTGCTGAGTGCGGCGTTAAACAACAAACCAAAAAAATACAGAGACGGAACAATTTTATTTAATTTTGATCAACTAAGAATTGTGCCTAAAGTTCAGTAGCCAGTCAGGCTACAGAGTAGGTGGCTTTTTCTCACACAGGCGGGCACAACAATTCTGAATGACGATGCCCTGTTTTAATAGTTGTAGAGGACTTCATATGACCCAATGTTGACAAATGTGTGCACTGTCAAGTCATCAGCTTTAATGACGTCACACCGCTCTTCATAACGCGAGATATTTCGATAATTATGGCTGTTTGAAAACGGGTAGGTCCACTCCGCAAGACAAGTAAAGTCATGAAGAATTTCACTTCAATACTTTCGTAGTCTGTATCTGTGTATAGACAAATGATCGACCATTCGAACGGATACCCCATCACTTGGAGCCTTGCTATATGTTTGTGTTGTAATGGTTATTTACTAAGTCATTCAAATCTGAATTTAGAAGCTGATACCTGTCACACTTGCTTTCATTACTCTCTGGATGATGGCCTTCATGACTAGTTTCGCAAATCAACGTGCATGACAGCCGGCGAGACAGGTCAGAGTTACCCCCCTTGGTATATGACAGAAAAGTTCGATGTTATGTCCTCTAATGCATAATTCCCCAAAGAAATTCTCTCATCAACATTTTTTAATGATTATTTCTCTCTGCCTCATTTCTATAACGAGGTCTTCTAAATAGATTAGAATACTAACAAAACACATTCTCAATAGCCTCAGCAGTGACAATCACGGTGTCAAGATCTAACTCCTCACAGCGATAGCCCATTCCCGGAGCTCGCCATGCATACTATCGTGATGATACCGGGAAGGTAACAATTAGTGTGTCAGGCGCTGGAATGAGCTTGTAGCGAAGGGGCATAACTCTTTCCATTGGTTTAGGAAGTGGATTTCTTTTTGACCGGAAACGCGCTTGTAGCTCTACAGTCGCCTAGTAACTACGGAAGCTCGGTACTCTGGCGAGATTGTTTAAGTTGGGTATGTTTTGCTTGTGATTTCTCCCTGCTGAAACAACGGTGAACGTATTTATCAGACGTTCTTCAAACATTTAGGTGGTGTACTAATTATAGTTGATTCTGCTAAACGTTAATGAGAAATGCGTACATTCATAGATCTACAGAAAATGAAAGAACATGCTGTTTGAAAACATGCCATTATTTTTTTTATTAGGTTTTGCAACATTGTTTTTATATTGTTTACAGATTCGCTAAACCCTTCACTCTCTTTTTTACCATATTTTTTTCATGCAATCTGTTCGACGTAGATTCTTTTTGGAAAAAGTATTTTCTCTTGCAGTTTTATATACAATTTTTATTTTTATTTATGTGCCCATTTATCTGTTTGTCAAATTGTGTTGTTGACTTGATGCTGAATGTTTTTATATGATCTGGACCAGGGCCCACTTGCACAAAACGATCTTAGCGCTAAGACTATCATAAGCCTATGTTAATGTATGGGAGTAAAGATCATCTTAGCCCTAAAATTGTTTTGTGCAAGTGGGCCCACTAAATAAATTGCCCCGGTGATAATCTTTTGAAGACAATTGCCAAAGGGGAAACCTTTCTTACTGTGATATGTTTATATATTTATTAATACCAACATTTCATCTATTATTATGTATTCATGTAATATCTGTTACTATTTGTTCTTCACATTTGAATGTATCTCGAAATATCACATAAATCCGGCTTATGTACTTTTCAGTGTATCCTTTTCTGGAAAAACTGCTTGTAAGTCTCTCACCATGAGATCGACATTGCCTCATTTTAAGAAAAACTTAAAAACAATTTTCTTGTTTTCAGCATAGATAACAAAATGGCTGAGCCTGAACCCCCTCACATTCGGCCCCCAGAGCCCATCACGATTGCCGTGCACAGGGCGAGGAATCTGGTGAGTGTTGGATGATTCAAGAGAATATTATGTTTACCAGAAAATAATAATAACTTATGATAGATAAACATATCATTATGATCATGATCATGATGATGTATTTAAAAAAGAAACACATTAGTTTATTTTAGTTAGTTTACTGAACATAGAGCAATATTCTGTATTTCTGAGGTGAAGGTTGCACAGCAGTATATAGAATAAAATAATCAGATGCCTTCATGAAATTAATTTTCAGGTAAATAATTTTTGTGTTGTAGGTTAATAATTCTTAGATGCATCATTTGCATTCAAACAATATATATTTTCCAAATCAAATCAACAAATATATATATATATATATATATATATATATATAAATTGCAAAACAAAGGATGAAATAAAGTGTGGCCTTAGTTGTTCTCTTAATGCTAATGGCTTTTTTCAGTTCTTGTTGAAATACATGTTGGTATGTAAATTGTAGCAGAAATCATCAGATTCTGACTTTTCTGTAACAGAAGGGACAGAAGGGAGACACAGTGAATGCTATGATCAAAGTGGAGTTCGGAGAGAGGAGTTTAGGAGAATCTCCCAAAGTTGACTGTACAGCCGATACCCCAGCAGAATTCAACTACAATGCAGCTCTCAACTGTACATACGAGGACCCGATAGTGCTGGATGAGATAGCACACAAGCCTGTTGTCTGTAAGTGGTCGTTGTCATCAAGGGGGCACGGGGGGCCCAGTCCTCTAAGACTCGGCGATTCGGTGTGCAGAGTTGTGTCCCTTGGGCACGCCAGAAATCATGATTGTGGGTTCGAATCCCGATTCGCCCCAATTGTTTCTAGGTTTGTCAGCACTATACCCATGCTTGTGGGTTTCACCGAAGTGAAGCGTCTGAGGCCTGCATCAATTCAGGCTTTCCTCCCACATTAAACTGATGCGCCGTGATATAACTGGAATACTGTTAAAAGCGGCGTTTAACCAAACTCACTCACTCACTCACATTGTCATCAATGTGTTTGTTAACGTTCTGTGGAGTGAGACCACATACTGTTTCTACTCTTTTAGAGATGTTGGTACACATGTGAACATTCTTGATATGACTAGCACTCATAGGGAGCTATTGTACATGTATGTGTTATGTAAGTCATAATTTATAAAATCTCTTTCAGCAAGGAATCATTTACCTCTTTTTACTTTGACAGAAGTCCCCTGTCGGGCCTGGTTAGATAGAGTAGGACCAGTCATGGGTTGTCAGAGGCAACAGAATTGAATTGGGTGATGAGGCTTGTTTACGGCAAGCATGGGTTGCTGAAGACCTATTCTACCCGGATCTTCACGGGACTAGACTGGTGTGATGTGGCTGCATATTGCTGACTGCTGCATAAAATGTCAAACAAATTAACCACAATTAATAGATATTATTTTGAAATGTGCAAGAAGACAAGTATTACACAAGCCAGTCAAAGTGTACATTTACTTTCACTATCATTAAACTTTCGTGAAAAATCCCAAATATCTAAATTTGTATTTGGGTAGTAATTTAAACTGCCACAATTTGCTGTGAAGAGTTGTCTCCCTTAATAGTGTCAGGACCCATTGTCTTTATTCCCAGGTGTGACTGAGTTATGATCCTTGGTCAATTAGGAACATACCCATGTTGTGTGTTTCACCATGTTGAAAGGAACTGGTGGGGGTGGGGCTGGGGGATGGGGGTGAGACTGGTCTCAGGAATGTATCATATTTTGCTGTCTCCCAATTTACATAGCATTTGTTCAATATCTCCCCCAGAAGATAAATCCACAAAGTCCCCTTCTCTCAAGCACCAGCTTGAGGTAGATGTGATAGTTATTTGACTTGAATAGACTCAGTATTTGAGTGTGTCTGTCCTCCTTCAGTGACGGTGATCGAGGTCCTGCCGAAGGAGAGGAAACAGAAGGAGGAGAAGACCATCTTGCTGGGCCAGTGCACCGTGGATCTCCTGCCTCTTGTCAAAGGTGGGATGCAGCTCTACACCCATCTTCCTCAGGCAAGGGAGTAAACTGACCATAAAAGTCCAGTTTCCACCCTTGCCGAAATAGACTGGAACTTCCAGGCTCAATCGTAGCCCCACCAGTGGCTGTTACGAGTTATGTCCCTTCTATGTCCTTCCTATTGACCAATCAGATTCCATCTCTCATATCACATGCTGTTCCTTCAAACAAAATGGCGGCGCTCGATTAAGACAATCTGATTGATAATCAAAATCTATATTGTAATAAAATGGGTCTTACCTTGCGAAGTGCATCATTTCATGTGAGCACCTTGATTAGAAACATGAAAAGATTTGCAAAATATCCGTGGACGCCCAGTTAACAGTACTCATACTTTCAAATCCTTCAGTCGACCGAAATCTACTCATTGAAATCCATGTTGTTTACATACTGGATGTCTAGTTCGTTACTTGATTTTGATTGGACTATGCATATAGTCATTTGTCCAGCTAAAATGTAACCCCGGAATTCCAGTCTAGTTCGGCAAGGGTGGAAACTGGACTTTTACAGTCAGTTAACGCCCTTGCCTCGGGAAGATGCTCTACACAAAACACAGACCCTCTATCTTAAATGTTTTGTTTTAGTGCAATGTGAATACACAACAAGAACGCGTAGACATGGCATGAGGCAGATCTGTACGTGGAGATACTGTTCAGGGTGCCGTTGTACAAAGCGATCTTAACGTTAACGTGATCGTAACTCCCATACTTTAACATAGACTTACGCTAGTCATAACGCTAAGGTTGTTTTGTACAACGACACCCTTGGCGGGAGTGGAGCAGTGACAACAAAAACAATCCAACAAGATTTTTAAACTTTAATTATTCAAACATTTTGGCTTAAAGTTTTTGACGCCTCATCTAACTCACCAAGCCGCCGTATATGCATGGCAGGCCCTGTTTACAAGGAGGTTACATGGAGGTTGTGTGTTTATTCCCAGGAGAAGTGAAGCAAAAGTACACGCTGATGGTGAACCCCCTCCCTGGCTCCCCATTGGAGCAGCTGTCCCCCGAAAGCTTGAGGGTGGGTGCACTAGCTGTTTCTTTTCATAATCATCATCATCATCATCATCATGAATGTCACAAATTATATCAATGTTTTTGTCTTAAGTACATTCTGTTAATTTCCGTCATTTCTTTCGTGTTGTTAGGTTCTGATTTTATTATTAGGTAATACTGAAGATTTATAAAACTTTACTCATGACAAGTTTTGCTTGGTTAGGACATGATATTTAGGATTGGGTTCAGAATTGAGTTCAGAATTGAGTTCAGAATTGAGTTCAGAATTGAGTTCAGAATTGGGTTCAGAATTGGGTTTAGAATTGAGTTCAGAATTGGGTTCAGAATTGAGTTCAGAATTGAGTTCAGAATTGGGTTTAGAATTGAGTTCAGAATTGGGTTCAGAATTGGGTTCGGAATTGGGTTCAGAATTGGGTTCAGGATTGAGTTCAGAATTGAGTTCATTGGAGTGTGAACTTTCATGGATTGTCAGGGCCACTCTGTATGAACATCAGTTTCGAATACATGTGACCAGCTTCTTCATTCATATTAATGAATTATTATTTGTTTGGTTGATGAAACTGCTCATCATATGAAAGCGGAGCATCTTTACATACATTTCCAAGATACAGAGTCATGTGTGTACTTACCTGTAGCTTTATCAGACTAAGACAAATTCACCACGTCCCCTTTCTCTCAATCACCAGCCTGAGGTGGACGTGACTATCTCCGTCAATGACCCGCTGCTGGACGAGAACCAACTGAAAGATGGAAATCTGTTGACCATCACCATGGAAACGCTGTACTCTCCTCCCGAGAACTGGCTCCTCACGGGTCAACAATACTACTACGCTTCCACACTGCCCATCCCTATCACATCGGAGGTGGGGATGACGTATTGCATGCTTTACTAGTTATTTGTGTTACTCGCAATCTCATTAAAATCAGATCTTAGTTCTCACTACAGCTAAACAAAGATCTGAGGACATCCCATTATAGGTCATGTCAGGACGACCTTTCATCTGACCAATCAGAGCGTCGCTTATCAGATCATGAAAGTAACAGTTGGAATGTGATTTTTTATTGTGCAACCTTGAAAAAAACCGACATACTGAGTATTCTGAATGACAGTTATGGGCTTTATGACTGTATTCATACAATCTAGATGATCTATTAGCCATTCCACAATGTTTTTTGTTCACTTTTTAATTTTTTAATCGAGTATATGTCAAAATTTGTTTCGAAGCGTAGTCACCAGTTTGAAACTCGTGCCGTAAAGCTCTATTAAACTGCGTTGTGATTGGCTAATGCCGACTTCTTGTCAGTCTGGTGTGACCCGTAATGGGATGTCCTCAGATCGTTGTTTCAGGAGCGAGAACTAAAATCTGAGTAAGGATAAGAATTTATGGATGAACAACTTCTTTATTACAATTAAGAGCAACGTTTCAGTGTAGGTTCTAACACCGTTATCAAGCAAGTGATTTACAGAGTGTGGTTGGCAAGTATATATACAAGTAGGAGGCAATGTTTTTACAGTAGAGTAGAAGTTGTTCATCCATAAATTCGAGTACTCCAACTTCTAAATGCCTATCAAAGAAACTAAGATCTGATTTTAACTAGATTAGGTTACTCAACATGTTCTATTTTATTTGGACTTAAATTGTTTTGGTCAGTTTAGTGGAAATAAATGCTGTTTTACGTGTTTAAAGTGCAATGTTTTAATAATTTTACAGGATTATGTATTTGTCTTTACTTCAGGGAATGTTAAGTTGTGTTTAAGGAGGTAAGCGATGGCAGTGACAAGATTGACTGCATGTTTTGTGATTGATGTTTTCACAGAAGGAGTCGACCATCGTGTTCCCCCACGGCCAGCTCAAGCCCGGCACAGACAAGGAGATACCTAACAAACAGAAGAAGTGGGCGTCGCCCGGGCAGGCGCAGGGGAATTCTATATACATCACTGATGCGTAGGTTTCCTTGTCGTGGATCATGAAATAATTGGAGCCGAGTTTAGGAGACTTGTTGACTATCCTTCAAGTGCACATACCTCCTTATATGGTGATGATGATGATCAAGTTGTGCATTAGAAGACTTCCACTACAGGAAGTGTTTCAGAAATGCTGAAAATATGCTCACCGTAATAGAAACATCCTGACATAATTGCATGGTGTCTTGGTCATGACACAAGACACAATGATAGCCCATGTAGAAAGGATGTCCTGGCTTATGTATCCTACTAATCGGTAGCAGGCTTGTCGGCAGTATTCAATCCCTCAATTCCCTATTGGATATGACCCGTGAAGATTCCGGGGTAGAATAGGTCTTCAGCAACCCATGCTTGCCGTAAGGTGACTATGCTTGTTGTAAAAGGTGACTAACAGGATTGGGTGGTCAGAATCTCTGACTTGGTTGATGCATGTCATCGATCCCAATTGCGCGGATCGATGCTTATGACATTAATCCCTGGATTGTCTGGTCCAGACTCGATTATTTACAAACCGCCGTCATATAGCTGGAATATTGTTGAGTGCGGCGTTAAACAACAAACAAACCAACCTACCCTATTGGATATCTACCGTTTGGTGTTTAGTAATTGTTGTGGGTTACGACAGAATCTTTCCATTGTATGACTTATTACTGAAAATTTGCAGACAAAAGATATGACAAATTATTTCACCAATAATTGAATAATTGTTCTTTCAAATTTAAACTATTACTATTGTAATCCAGATATAGCGGCCTGAAACTAACACATACCAGAAAAATCTTCCTTAAAGGGAGGTAACTCTCGCTGGTGTTTGACCAAGTCAATGCATGATGTAGTAATGTGCCTGCTACAGCCCCACTGCTTTCAATCATGATACATCACATGTAGTGACAGATATCTTTAAAACAAACCTTTGTATGCTTCATGTCATCCAGAATAGTTGGGTGGAGTTGTACGCTACTTGAACTGTGACTGGTCAAGGAGCCTGTTGACATCGTATTTACTTGAATGCTGCTGTGGTTTGTTCCATATGATCCGAGTTGTCCTGAATGTGCAGGTACATCTTGCCCTATATGATCCATATGATCCATTTTTCCTGGATGTGCAGGTACATCTTGGTCCATATGATCCACATTGCCCCAACTGTGCAGGTACATCTTGCCCTATTATATGATCCACGTTGTCCTGACTGTGCAGGTACGTCTTGGTCTACATGTTGTAACGCTGTGGTGATGGTGTAGGTACGTCTCGGCCGACACGGTGGAGGATGAAGATGGGGAGCTGCGGGGCAAGGAGGACCGGGAGCTCCGGGCGGTGTCAGAGATAGACAAGAACCGCATCACCTGGAACACGGAGAGACGATGCTACATGGAGACCTCGTCTGTCAAGGGGTGGGTAAACATACACAGATATACACAGAAATACATCCACATGCATACATAAGGGGCTGGTCATATATTATAGATGGGTATGGGGACAGGGATGTGGGGAGATTGGTCTTTGGACTGTATCATATTTTGCTCCCCCCTCCCATTTTATGCAACATTTTCTCAAATACGCCCAAGACCCCTCCCTAGAATAAATGACCATTTCCAAAATAATGTTCACATTTATAATATTTTGACCACCCCTCACCCCCTCCCTTTTGCTCTATCATTGTGCTAACATATCAATATCATGCATACATCGGTTGGCATATTCAGTGTTTTGGATCTACATATTCGGCATCTTGTATTTTGGCAACATGAGGTTTGAGGTTAATGACTACGGTATTTGAATCTATTCGGTGTCTCAGTCTACCTCGAAGTCGGATAGGTGCGGTCGGGTAGTGTAGCGGTTAAAGCGTTCGTTCGTCACGTCAAAGTCCGGGGTTTGAATCCTGACATGGGTACAATGTGTGAAGTCCATTTCTGGTGTCCGCCGCCGTGATATTGCTGGAATATTGCTGGAATATTGCTAAAAGCGGTGTAAAAGAATACTCACTCACTCACTCAAAGTCTGATAACTAGGAACCCTCTCATACTTCGCTTGAAACCGTGACAAATAGTGACTGATCTTGATCTGTTTAGTTGTAAGAAAGACATATATTCTGAAAATAATTTCCAGCTTCCAAGATTCCATTGCCAAGACGCGCTACTGGCCGGTGGAGATTTTCCGTCTTCCTCAGCCCTCAGGAGGAAAAGGAAAGAAGGTAAGACAGATTTGTGAGGAAAACATATCTTGTTTGCCAAATGTTAATTAAATTAAATTAATTAACAAAAGTTAATTGTGTGTTTAATCACTGAGTGGTAGATTTTTTTATCTGACTTGGTAAAATTAGTGTGATAAAATTATGAATGTGAGGTAAAAAATGTCAAAGATTTTATTGCAACATTTCTTTGTGTTATGTTTTCAGTTGATATGGGTCCGTGAGGATTTCCGTTTGTCAGACCTGTAGACTAGGACATGTAGCTCGGGCTTGTAAAGTGTACAGCCCATTGTAAATATTGTAAACATTTTGTAAATGCTTTTTTTTTTGCTTTTTTTTTATTAGCTTCATAGAGCAGAATATTGCTGTAGAAAGCAGAACTATATCTCTTGCAAAACAGAGAACAGTGGTCAAATGAAATGTTGGTCTTACGGATGTTATCAGGTTATTTGACCAATGAAACACTTGGAGGAATAAATAATGTTTTTGTTTTTACGATCAGTTTGACAGTGTGATGAAAATGTGTTCGAACTGAAATGTGTTCTGACTTGTTAGACACTGTGACATGTACACAGCTTGATACAATTGAGAATCCAGTTTAGCAGCAACGGAATCAGACTTATTCAATGGCTGCTGCAGTATAAGTTGGAATATTGCTGACTGTGGTTTTTGTAACAAAACTTACAACTTTATGGATAACAATTTGATTTAAAAAGTTTTGTTAACATATTAAACTTATGTAATTGGGAGAATATCCTTTTCTGTATGACACAATCTCCATATGTAGGATATTCTCTTCATGATTTGACAAGAGTATTATAAAGCACTCAGTGTTGAAAACTTGCTGGGGACAAACCACTGCTGGTGAATTAATGATCTGCTTAGTTTTTTTGTTATTGGTGTTTCTCAGTAAGAATGTTGAATATATATCGGCGTTTTTACCAACACGCTATGTGGGATTACTGTTTATCTGTGAATGAATGCATGATGTTCGTCCCAAACCTTGTCCCATGGTGTTCATTCATAAGGGACAAGTCCAGTTTTTAGCAGTAGGACTGGGACGGGTAACTTGGGTACTCTGGTTGGTGGGTACTTAGGAGGACCTGGGTACCCACAGGACTATCCGGACCTGTGGTTAGTCAGGTGATATATTGTTGAATGACAAAATTATCTAGAACTCCATGGTTACGCTACAAGTCACAAATGTTCGCATTTCTTTCTCACTATCCACGCATTCTTTCTGACTTTATATGTTTGAATAAAGATAAAACTTCAGTCAACTTCAGTGTATGCATGACCAGATCGTTTTATACGAGTATCTAAATACATTTTGCCACGGCTACGGTAAAACTATTCCCAAAGGGACATTTGTACCTATCTCTTGAGACCCACAGCGGTACCCGGGTAGGGTGGGGTAATAGAGGGGGTGGGGACCCGGGGGTGGGGACCCGGGTAGGGTGGGGTAATAGAGGGGGTGGGGACCCGGGGGTGGGGACCCGGGTAGGGTGGGGTAATAGAGGGGGTGGGGACCCGGGTAGGGTCAGGTAATAGGGGGGTGGGGACCCGGGTAGTAAATTTGGACTCATCCCAGCCCTATTCATAGGTTGCTCTATACATTTTCTTCTTCATTCAAAATGTGAAAGTGAATTGTGATGTATTGTCCAGCTGAAGAACAATATATTACATGTGTTGTGATGTCATAAAACATGACATCATATTATATTGTCCTCAACAATCAAGCAGTGTTACGTGATATGACTGCAACTGACCAATCAGCACGGAGAATCACCTAATGTACATGTGCAGATATGGGACAGCCATGCACTCCATCCTTCTTCTGGGTCATATCTAATGTTACAATCTATTTCATGTCCATAGCTCGATCTATCAGTCGTGGTGTTGCACTCCGAGCTAGGGCACTGCTGGAGTATATAGTCCATAATACGCTTGAATGTTTTCAGCAGAACCCTACTCCCTCTCAACAAAATGTTAAGGTATAAGTGTGTGAAGCTTCAGTCAATCATAGGCCATTAGTTCTAGCCGTCACGATATGGCTGAAATATTGCCGATGTGACGTAAAGCTTTAACTCACTCACTCACTTTAGTTCTAGCCTTCACTAACAGCCATTCACAGCTTCCCTTACCTTTTTCAGCCATTTTTACTAAACTTATTAGTTCAAAGTGTACTTGCTTATGTTCAATTTCATTAAAATCAGATCTTAGTCCTCGCTACCGCTAAACAAAGATCTGAGGACATCCCATTACGGGTCACATCAGGCTGACCTTGCTTGAACTTTGACCAATGGAATGACCAATCAGTAGGCATCTTTCTCGTGCTTTACGGCACTAATTTCAAATTGGCGACTACGCTTCGAAACATATTTTGACAAATTCTCAATTAAAAATTTGAAACCTGAACAAAAGAACAATCTGGAATGGGTAATAGATGGTCTAGATTGTATGGATTCAGTCGTTTAACCCGTAACAATCGTTCGGAATACCCAAAGTTAAAGTTTTCGAGGTTGTATGAATAGAAATCACAATCTCTGATTGGTCGGATGAAAGGTCGTTCTGACGTGACCCCTACTGGGATGTCCTCAGATCTTTGTTTAGTGGTAGCGAGAACTAAGATCTGATTTTAATGAAATTGGCTTATATTTAACTATGTTATTTTTAATATACTAGTATATGATTGTTTCAAAATTTGAACTTATGAAACTTAATACTTTGAATTAAGAAACACATTTACAAACATGATAAAGGTTCTATACTGCCAGTTTAAGTTTTGTTTTCAATTTGATGTTGATGAGCTTGCTACAAATTGAAAGGAGCAACATAGAAAGATGTAGTTGATCTAGGTTGTTCTACATGTGTGGGTGATCTAGGTTGTTCTACATGTGTGGGTGATCTAGGTTGTTCTACATGTGTGGGTGATCTAGGTTGTTCTACATGTGTGGGAGATCTAGGTTGTTCTACATGTGTGGGTGATCTAGGTTCTACATGTGTGGGAGATCTAGGTTGTTCTACATGTGTGGGAGATCTACGTTGTTCTACATGTGTGGGAGATCTAGGTTGTTGTATATGTGTGGGTGATCTAGGTTGTTCTACATGTGTGGGAGATCTAGGTTGTTCTACATGTGTGGGAGATCTAGGTTGTTCTACATGTGTGGGAGATCTAGGTTGTTGTATATGTGTGGGTGATCTAGGTTGTTGTATATGTGTGGGTGATCTAGGTTGTTCTACATGTGTGGGTGATCTACGTTGTTCTACATGTGTGGGAGATCTAGGTTGTTCTACATGTGTGGGAGATCTAGGTTGTTGTATATGTGTGGGTGATCTAGGTTGTTCTACATGTGTGGGAGATCTAGGTTGTTCTACATGTGTGGGTGATCTAGGTTCTTCTACATGTGTGGGAGATCTAGGTTGTTCTACATGTGTGGGAGATCTAGGTTGTTGTATATGTGTGGGTGATCTAGGTTGTTCTACATGTGTGGGTGATCTAGGTTGTTGTATATGTGTGGGAGATCTAGGTTGTTGTATATGTGTGGGTGATCTAGGTTGTTCTACATGTGTGGGAGATCTAGGTTGTTGTATATGTGTTGGTGATCTAGGTTGTTCTACATGTGTGGGAGATCTAGGTTGTTGTATATGTGTGGGTGATCTAGGTTGTTGTATATGTGTGGGTGATCTAGGTTGTTCTACATGTGTGGGTGATCTAGGTTGTTCTACATGTGTGGGAGATCTAGGTTGTTCTACATGTGTGGGTGATCTACGTTGTTCTACATGTGTGGGTGATCTACGTTGTTCTACATGTGTGGGTTATCTAGGTTGTTGTATATGTGTGGGTGATCTAGGTTGTTCTACATGTGTGGGTGATCTAGGTTGTTCTACTTGTGTGGGTGATCTAGGTTGTTCTACATGTGTGGGGCCCATTTCTGGTGTCCCCCGCCGTGATATTGCTGGAATATTGCTAAAAGCGGCGTAAAACCATACTCACTCACTCACTCACTCACTCACTCACTGTGATCTAGGTTGTTCTACATGTGTGGGTGATCTACATTGTTCTACATGTGTGGGTGATCTAGGTTGTTCTACATGTGTGGGTGATCTAGATTGTTCTACATGTGTGGGTGATCTAGGTTGTTCTACATGTGTGGGTGATCTAGGTTGTTCCACATGTGTGGGTGATCTAGGTTGTTCTACATGTGTGGGTGATCTAGGTTGTTCTACATGTGTGGGTGATCTAGGTTGTTCTACATGTGTGGGTGATCTAGGTTGTTCTACATGTGTGGGTGATCTAGGTTGTTGTATATGTGTGGGTGATCTAGGTTGTTCTACATGTGTGGGTGATCTACGTTGTTCTACATGTGTGGGTGATCTAGGTTGTTCTACATGTGTAGAACAGATCTTCAGCAACCCATGCTTGCCATAAAATGTGACTATGCTTGTTGTAAAAGGTGACTAACAGGATTGGGTGGTCAGGATCTCTGACTTGGTTGAAGCATTTCATCGGTATCCCAATTGTGTGGATCGATGCTCATGATGTCAGTCACTGGATTGTGTTGTCCAGACTCGATTATTTACAGACCGCCATCATATAGCTGGAATATTGCTGAGTGCGGCGTTAAAGAACAATCAAACAAACAAATAAACATGTGCATGTGATCTAGGCGGGGCGGTCGGGTAGCCTAGTGGTTAAAGCGTTCGCTCGTCACGCCGAAGACCCGGGTTTGATTCCCGACATGGGTACAATGTGAGAAGCCTATTTCTGTTGTCCCCCGCCGTGATATTGCTGGAATATTGCTAAAAGCGGCGTAAAACCATACTCACTCACTCACTCACTGTGATCTAGGTTGTTCTTAATTTTTGGGCGTTCAGATTCCACCGCAGCTGGTGACCATGACACGTCATGCTTGCTTGATGCACCAAGTAACACATGCAGCATAATGAGTTCCAATAAGGCGTAACATATCCCCTTGTTTCATGAAGGTTTCGTGTATTCATACTAATTAATAAATAAACGTCCAACTTTTGCCACAATCCAATTCCCCTGAAGCTGGGAATGGAGAGTTGGTCTGTAGGAGAGCTTGTCTCTCTGTATGACACATTGGACACATACCCTCAGTCTGTTTTACCGCTGCTATACTGCAAACTGAGGCTTATCCTGTGTAGTTACTTTAATGCTTCTTTCACAGTTGTCATGGTTACTGGGCATCAGTTTTGACTACTAATCACGTTATGTTAGAATATTGACAAGAGCTATAACATGTGTGTTTCTCCGAGGCCTTGTCCCACAACATGATCTGATCATCTCTGTGATAGACATGTTAACTCCATGTACTTTAACACACAGCTTTACATCCATCTTCCTGAGACGGGGCGGTCGGGTAGCCTAGTGGTTAAAGCGTTCGCTCGTCACGCCGAAGACCCGGGTTCGAATCCCGACATGGGTACAATGTGTGAAGCCCATTTCTGGTGTCCCCCGCCGTGATATTGCTGGAATATTGCTAAAAGCGGCGTAAAACCATACTCACTCACTCTTCCTGAGACAAGGGAGTTAACAGACAGTATAGTCCAGTTTCCACCCTTGCTGAACTAGGCTGGAATTTCCAGACTCGATCACATTGCCACCAGTGGCTATTACGAGTTATGTCCCTTCTATGTTCCTCATATTGCTCATATTGACCAATCGGATTCCATCTCTCATATCACTTGCATTTGCTTCAAACAAACTAGTGGTGTCCAGTCAAGTCGATCTGATCGATAATCAAGATCTTTTTTGGAATAAAATGGGTCTTACCCCGTGAATTGCATTAAATCACTTGAGCACCTTGATGACAAGCATGAAAAGATTTGCAAAATATCTGTGGACGCCCAGTTGACGGTACACATGTTTTGCAAATCCTGCAATCTACCATAATCTGCTCAACGGTGCACGTTGAAATCCATGTTGTTTACAAACCGGATGTCCAGTTCATTATGCGATTTTGATTAGACTATGGGGAGACTCGTTAGTCCAGCCAAACTGTAACTCCGGAATACCAGCCTAGATTTTTTCAAGGGTGGAAACTGGAAACTAGTCAGTTAACTCCCTTCCCTCGGGAGGATGTAGACATAGGTCTGTTTGTGGAATGAGGCTCAGGCGTTCTAGATGTGAGATTTGTACACAGACATGTAGTTGTCATGTCTGTGAAACTGTATCTGTATTGTATCATGTACCATGGTACTAATTCAGATACATGTATTTCTAGTAATATATTTAGAACATTTGATTTCTATGAATAACAATCTTCATTCTTGCATGCTGTATTCATTAAAGAACAAACTGATTTAGAAGTTTCAATTTCAAACCCACAGAGGTTTAATTGTTTGATAGGCATTACTTAGAAGTTGACGGATGACAAAGTAGACACAATTTAGGGATAACAACTTCTTTAATACTGTAAAGGCGACGTTTCGCTATGGATCCTTATACCATTGTCAAGCAAGACTTGTTTGACAACGGTATAAGGATCTATACTGAAAAGTCGGCTATACAGTATTAAAGAAGTTGTTATCCATAAAGTGTGTCTTCTTTGTCACACAAAAGTTCTTCTGGAATTAATACATGTACCAAAAGAGTGGCTTGGTCGTTTAATACTTGTTAGAGGGAGAAAGAAAAGTGCCAAATATATATGTTAGAATTGTGCGTCTAGGATGTTCCGATGTTATAATGGTGCCTCTAGGATGTTCCGATGTTATAATGGTGTGTCTAGGATGTTCTGATGTTAGAATGGTGCATCTAGGATGATCCGATGTTAGAATGGTGCATCTAGGATGTTCTGATGTTAGAATGGTGCATCTAGGATGTTCTGATGTTAGAATGGTGCATCTAGGATGTTCTGATGTTAGAATGGTGCATCTAGGATGTTCTGATGTTAGGATAGATACAAGTGTCTTCTTCTTTGACCTAGTTATGTTAACACTGTTTTATCTTTTAGTTTTGGTTTCTGAAACAAAGTTTTTTGTTTTTCATATTTTTTAAAATGAACGAAACTATTCCGACATGTCAGATAAACTGTTTGTGATATTTGGTATGAAGGACCATATTATCTTACACTTTAAGATGGTTTAGTTTCATGTCTGTCTATTTAAACTTTAATCTCAAAATATGACAATATATTTCTCTGCATATTCCAATTACTTGAAAAGCATAATATTTGTACTGATTATAAGATATATGGGTTTCTGGTTGAGCAGATTGTTCATATCCAAGGATGTATAGTATCCTCCATGTTGTGATGCATGTGACAGCAGCTGTAGCTATTCCTCGTACACGTCACAGGGGGATGATGACTAATGATGATGTGTGATGTCACAGGGGGATGATGACTAATGATGATGTGTGATGTATGTGACAGCAGCTGTAGCTATTCCTCGTACACGTCACAGGGGGATGATGACTAATGATGATGTGTGATGTATGTGACAGCAGCTGTAGCTATTCCTCGTACACGTCACAGGGGGATGATGACTAATGATGATGTGTGATGTATGTGACAGCAGCTGTAGCTATTCCTCATACGCGTCACAGGGGGATGATGACTAATGATGATGTGTGATGTATGTGACAGCAGCTGTAGCTATTCCTCGTACACGCCACAGGGGGATGATGACTAATGATGATGTGTGATGTATGTGACAGCAGCTGTAGCTATTCCTCGTACACGTCACAGGGGGGTGATGACTAATGATGTGTGATGTATGTGACAGCAGCTGTAGCTATTCCTCGTACACGTCACAGGGGGATGATGACTAATGATGATGTGTGATGTCACAGGGGGATGATGACTAATGATGATGTGTGATGTATGTGACAGCAGCTGTAGCTATTCCTCGTACACGTCACAGGGGGATGATGACTAATGATGATGTGTGATGTCACAGGGGGATGATGACTAATGATGATGTGTGATGTCACAGGGGGATGATGACTAATGATGATGTGTGATGTATGTGACAGCAGCTGTAGCTATTCCTCGTACACGTCACAGGGGGGTGATGACTAATGATGATGTGTGATGTATGTGACAGCAGCTGTAGCTATTCCTCGTACACGTTATGTCACAGGGGGGTGATGACTAATGATGATGTGTGATGTTGCAGGATGATGAGGGGTCCATCAGCTTCCATGGAGTGGCCTTCATCAACCTGGCGCCGCTCCTATACCCTGGGGGTGAGTCTCATAATCTGAAATAGTGATGTTGTTTCCATGTTTGAAAACCCGTGAAGATCCGGGGTGGAACAGGTCTTCAGAAAGACAGAAACCCAGGCTTGCTGTAAAAGGTGACTATGCTTGCCGTAAAAGGCGACTAACGGGATCGGGTGGTCAGGCTCGCTGACTTGGTTGATGCATGTCATCGTATGCCAATTGCGTGGATCGATGCTCATCATATCAATCACTGGATTGTCTGGTCCAGACTCGATTATTTACAGACCGCTGTCATATAGCTAGTGAGGCGTAAAACAACCAACCAACCAACCAACCAACCATTTTTGTAAAACGTATGTTTGTTTGTTTAAAAAAAATTGTATTCCTTCATTTGTGTCACATCCGTTTTTAAAAATGGAATAATTTTTTGTTTCAAATTTCATACTCCTTAAGAGAGATAGATAAGATCAAATATTATTATCCCAAAGGAAATTCATATTGGTTCTAAACTTGGTGAAAAGAATACCATCAGTTACCTCAGATGACTGAACATGTTTCACAGATGTAATGGCCAGTTGTCTATCTCTTGCATCCACAGTTATGTCCCTTAGTTGTGACAGGATCCATTGATCATGGTTTCAATCCAAGATTCACTCTGATTATGATCCTTGATCTGCCAGCAAAATATTCAAGATGGAGGGTTTCAACCTGTGTCAGTTCCAGCTTCCTCCAAACCGACACCATATTGAACTAACCCCATCCGATATAGCTGACATATAGCAATAGCAATGTTGTACCATCTCGAGAACAGCAATGTTGTACCATCTCGAGAATAGCAATGTTGTACCATCTCGAGAACAGCAATGTTGTACCATCTCGAGAACAGCAATGTTGTACCATCTCGAGAACAGCAATGTTGTACCATCTCGAGAATAGCAATGTTGTACCATCTCGAGAACAGCAATGTTGTACCATCTCGAGAACAGCAATGTTGTACCATCTCGAGATCAGCAATGTTGTACCATCTCGAGAACAGCAATGTTGTACCATCTCGAGAACAGCAATGTTGTACCATCTCGAGAACAGCAATGTTGTTCCATCTCGAGAATAGCAATGTTGTACCATCTCACTCACTCACTCACTGAACACAAGCCTTCCAATTTATCACACCTCACTGATAGCAGCTGCCACCATTGCATGACAACAGCCAATGTAATTAAGTGATAGCATCTTGCAATTGTCTAGAGGTATTATATAAATGAATAATTAACAATCTGTAAATTATTGACAGAGAAGTAGTCAATATGTCTTTGGTTGTTTTCTCCCAACAGTCCAGCGGATCCGAGGGGCGTACAAGGTGTATGCATACACTGATCATCTCCTGCATGAAAAGGTAAGAAAAACTCTTGTAAATCCTTTACTTTGCCTGTAAGAGACACAGACACTCTCTCCCAGTGTTGGAGGCACGGTGGCCCAGCCGTCTAAGCCGCCGCAATTCGCTTTGCAAAGTTGCGTCCCTTGGGCACGCCAGAAACCTATGATTGCGGGTTCGAATTCCGGTTTGCCCCGATTATGATTCTAGTTTTGTCAGCACCATACCCGTGCTCGTGGGTTTCACCGAAGTGGTAAACGTCTGAGACCTGCATCACTTCGTGGCTTCCCTCCAAAATTGAGCTGACACGGCGAGATATAACTGGAATACTGTTAAAAGCGGCGTTAAACCAAACTCACTCACTCACTCTCCCAGTGTAACAGGCTCCTGATAATTACTGGAGCCAGTGTGTATGTTCTCCTTTGCACAGGCTAATGGTACGTTTCTTTGGGTATGTTTGTCCTTCAATGGGTCCAGTCTATTGGATATTTTAGAACCAGTGAGAAGACAAGAATAAAACAAATATTCTGTTCAAATGCTGTTAAGTTCTGATTTTGGTTTGTTCTTCTTCTGCCCCAAATGTGTCACGTCACACAAACTGATAACAGTGAGACATGTCTTTGTTGCTGTACGCAAAACGTAACTCTTTGTGCATCGTACACACTAGAGGTCTTGTATACTTTCTTTCTTTGTTTTTTTGTTTGTTGTTTAACGCTGCACTCAGCAATATTCCAGCTATATGACGGCGGTCTGTAAATAATCGAGTCTGGACCAGACAATCCAGTGATTAATATCATGAGCATCGATCCTCGCAATTTGGATCGATGACATGCATCAACCAAGTCAGCGAGCCTGATCGACCGATCCTGTAAGTTGCCTTTTACGACAAGCAGAGTCACCTTTTACGGCAAGAATGGGTTGCTAAAGACCTATTCTACCCTGGAATCTTCACAGGTCTTTTATCATGCCTGCATTGTACACAGTAGAGGTCATGTATACACCATGCCTGCATTGTACACAGTAGAGGTCATGTATACACCATGCCTGCATTGTACACAGTAGAGGTCATGTATACACCATGCCTGCATTGTACACAGTAGAGGTCATGTATACACCATGCCTGCATTGTACACAGTAGAGGTCATGTATACACCATGCCTGCATTGTACACAGTAGAGGTCATGTATACACCATGCCTGCATTGTACACAGTAGAGGTCATGTATACACCATGCCTGCATTGTACACAGTAGAGGTCATGTATACACCATGCCTGCATTGTACACAGTAGAGGTCATGTATACACCATGCCTGCATTGTACACAGTAGAGGTCATGTATACACCATGCCTGCATTGTACACAGTAGAAGTCATGTATACACAATGCCTGCATTGTACACAGTAGAGGTCATGTGTACACAATGCCTGCATTGTACACAGTAGAGGTCATGTATACACAATGCCTGCATTGTACACAGTAGAGGTCATGTGTACACAATGCCTGCATTGTACACAGTAGAGGTCATGTATACATAATGCCTACATTGTACACAGTAGAGGTCATGTATACACAATGCCTGCATTGTACACAGTAGAGGTCATGTATACACAATGCCTACATTGTACACACTAGAGGTCATGTATACACAATGCCTACATTGTACACACTAGAGGTCATGTATACACAATGCCTGCATTGTACACAGTAGAGGTCATGTATACACAATGCCTGCATTGTACACAGTAGAGGTCATGTATACACAATGCCTACATTGTACACACTAGAGGTCATGTATACACAATGCCTACATTGTACACACTAGAGGTCATGTATACACAATGCCTGCATTGTACACAGTAGAGGTCATGTATACACAATGCCTACATTGTACACACTAGAGGTCATGTATACACAATGCCTACATTGTACACAGTAGAGGTCATGTATACACAATGCCTGCATTGTACACAGTAGAGGTCATGTATACACAATGCCTACATTGTACACAGTAGAGGTCATGTATACACAATGCCTGCATTGTACACAGTAGAAGTCATGTATACACCATGCCTGCATTGTACACAGTAGAGGTCATGTATACACCATGCCTGCATTGTACACACTAGAGGTCATGTATACACAATGCCTGCATTGTACACAGTAGAGGTCATGTATACACAATGCCTGCATTGTACACAGTAGAGGTCATGTATACACAATGCCTGCATTGTACACAGTAGAGGTCATGTATACACCATGCCTGCATTGTACACAGTAGAGGTCATGTATACACCATGCCTGCATTGTACACAGTAGAGGTCATGTATACACCATGCCTGCATTGTACACACTAGAGGTCATGTATACACCATGCCTGCATTGTACACAGTAGAGGTCATGTATACACAATGCCTGCAATGTACACAGTAGACGTCATGTATACACAATGCCTGCATTGTACACAGTAGAGGTCATGTATACACCATGCCTGCATTGTACACAGTAGAGGTCATGTATACACCATGCCTGCATTGTACACAGTAGACGTCATGTATACACAATGCCTGCATTGTACACACTAGAGGTCATGTATACACAATGCCTGCATTGTACACAGTAGAGGTCATGTATACACCATGCCTGCATTGTACACAGTAGAGGTCATGTATACACAATGCCTGCATTGTACACAGTAGACGTCATGTATACACCATGCCTACATTGTACACAGTAGAGGTCATGTATACACCATGCCTGCATTGTACACAGTAGAGGTCATGTATACACCATGCCTGCATTGTACACACTAGAGGTCATGTATACACCATGCCTGCATTGTACACAGTAGAGGTCATGTATACACAATGCCTGCATTGTACACAGTAGAAGTCATGTATACACAATGCCTGCATTGTACACAGTAGAGGTCATGTATACACAATGCCTGCATTGTACACAGTAGAGGTCATGTATACACAATGCCTGCATTGTACACAGTAGAGGTCATGTATACACAATGCCTGCATTGTACACAGTAGAAGTCATGTATACACAATGCCTGCAATGTACACAGTAGACGTCATGTATACACGATGCCTGCAATGTACACACTAGAGGTCATGTATACATAATGCCTGCATTGCATCAGCAAGTACAGATCTGTAATTCCCAATCAGTGTACACTCAAATTAAATTCTCAGCTCCCTGGAGAGTTTTCAACCCATGCTGCAAGCAGATTTAGCATTCACACACCATCTCATCCTACCAGTGGGCAAACAAACGAAAATTACACATAAAAAAGTACAAATTATTCATTCACTTTTAATCATTCACTGCGTGTGAAACATCACTCAATGGTTGAAATGTGTTCCTCTGTCCAGACAAAACGCAAGGTGGGAATTGCTGAAGAGGCTGCAAAGATGGCGTTCAACATTCTGAACAGGAGCAGTACATCCCCCTCCCCAAAGAAAGTTGCCAAGGACAAGGAGGGGGACAAGAAGGAGGTCAAGAAAGGGGTACGTGTTGACAGCTGTCATGCCTTGTTTCCACATTGCCTTGTGTCTCACAATAACTGGAAAAGTTTGAATCTCTTTGTTTTCATTCTAAAATTGGTGAATGCTTCCACTTTGATCTACATTGCTGAAGAACCAGATCCGCCCGTCATCCATCGGAAGCAGCATAGTCTTTTATTAATTTAATTCCATATGATATGATTTTGGAAATTTAAAGTACAGAATATGATTTGATTTGATTTTTTTTAAATGATTTATCATGGAATTTTAGCTATATTCATAAGTTTGTGAATCTTTGTATTCATGTTTACACGTAAGCAACTAAATGTTTGACATGTGAAGAGTCACAACAATACAGGGTATAAGTGTCATCTGCCTGTGGTCAGTGGCTATGTGTCATGTTGTGCTGGTGGTGTCTATGTGTTATGTAGTACTGCTTCCTAGCACCTGGTGTCTAGGTCCTGTAGTGGAATATTGGCTCCTGCATAGTCAGCTTCTAGTCTCCAGCTCTAGGGTCATAGCCAGGGACCTCTGTGTCCATCAGGGCTCCGGAGATCTGGGAATCGGGGGCTCCAGGGATATAGCCATGGACCTCTGTGACCATCAGGGCTCTGGAGCTCTGGGAATCGGGGGCTCCAGGGACATAGCCAGGTACCTCTGTTTCCATCAGGCCCTGCCTGTGGCCATCAGGGCTCATGGGCTCTAGGGTCATAGCCAGGGACCTCTGTGTCAATCAGGGCTCCAGGGACCTGACTGTGTCCATCAGGGCTCTGGGGCGCTAGGGACCCCTGTGTCAATCAGGGCTCTGGGGACCTGACTGTGGCCATCAGGGCTCCAGGGCGCTAGGGACCTCTGTGTCAATCAGGGCTCTGGGAACCTGACTGTGTCCATCAGGGCTTTGGGGCTCTGGGAATCGGGGGCTCCAGGGACATAACCAGGGACCTGACTGTGTCAATCAGGGCTCCAGGGCTCTGGGGCTCCAGGATCGGGGGCTCCAGGGACATAACCAGGGACCTGACTGTGTCCATCAGGGCTCCGGGGCTCTTGGGCTCCAGGATCGGGGGCTCCAGGGACATAACCAGGGACCTGACTGTGTCCATCAGGGCTCCGGGGCTCTTGGGCTCCAGGATCGGGGGCTCCAGGGACATAACCAGGGACCTGACTGTGTCTATCAGGGCTCCGGGGCTCTGGGGCTCCAGGATCGGGGGCTCCAGGGACATAACCAGGGACCTGACTGTGTCAATCAGGGCTCCGGGGCTCCAGGATCGGGGGCTCCAGGGACATAACCACGGACCTGACTGTGTCCATCAGGGTTCTGGGTGCAAGGGACCTGACTTTGTCCATCAGGGCTGCAGGGCTTCACTCCAGTATAAATCCTGTAGTTTGCTTGCTGAATCTGCTGAGGTGTCGGCATCTATCTACTTGACACATATTGGGATTATAACATCATTACATCATGGGTTATTAGCTTTGTTCCAAATATATAAAATAACTACAAAACATAAAAGTATGAGGTTGAACTTGTTTAGATATTAGTAGTCTTAACTACAGTGTAACAGGAAAAATTAATAAACAAGACAATCTACCGTACAGAATTTTAAGCCTCGGGTTCTGAAGAAAGAAAGTGAAATGAAGTTCATGAATCTAAATGAAAAACAACCTCAAATTCTGAAAAAAATCCAGATAATCTCAAAATTCTCTATGAGGCTTGCCCATAAAATCTGTATGAATGGGTAATAGATAAAACAAAGGTGTTCTACCTCCTTGCTGGTGTCTGCTATGTCTTGCATGATGGCTGCGCTTCAGTGCTCTGCTTCCTCGTTCTTCCAGCGGTCAAATAGCATCGTGCCCTCAGGTCAAGGTGACCTGCTCGAGGTTTGTGTTGGTGTTGTTGTTGTCTTGCCTCTGTACCTGGGTGTTCCTCCGTGTATCTGCTCTATGCCATTACTAACTGTGCTCTTCCCACTTCAGGGACATTTCTACCTACAAATTGTCACAACTGATGTACCACCTCCATCTGATGTCATTGATGTCATTCTTAACATACTCTCTGCAAAATTTACATTGAATTTTCAGAACTTCATAATATTTAGTGTTATAAATTTTAGAATGGACATCTTTATTTTTTTTCAATTTGATCACAAACGATATATGTGATATAATCTGCTTCACTAAAACAGTGTATAAAAAATTCACCCTTGCAATATCCAATCTTAGGAAGTCATTTTGATAAGTGAATTGGCTTTCATATCAGTATAATTTTTCTTTTCGGTATATCATTTTATTGTCTCTTGTCCTTGGCTCTTTTCTAATCATGTTTGAAAATTAATGCACTAATAAATTCACTTTTTGAGGTTGTGTGTTGCAAGGTGAATAACAGCATGGTATATGAAGTGAAATATTCATATGAAAAGTTTGGTTTGTGGATTTGAAGATAAACCAGACTTCCTCATATAATCCTTTGAATTTCTAATGTGTTATTTTGTTTCTATTCAGAAAATAGATGACTCCGTTTTGTTTCAGAGACGGTTATTTATATTATTGACCATCATACATTTTATCACTATCGTAAATATCTACTTATTGTGGTGTTGGGCAATTATTGTCAATGAACGTCATTATTTAAATTTAAATATCAAAATTATTTTAGATTTTCTAAGGAAACCACTCAGGGGACAAGCCTTCCTCTGGGATCTGTATAATTTAAGAAACGAGCAAAGTGTTTCGATATTTTTATGAAAATGTTCATGTAAATAAGATGTATTCTATGTTCATTCAACAACTGCATGTTTTGAACTTTTAACATCATGAGATGTATGAACATAAAAGGCTGAAATATGTCAAAAAGACTCATCTTTATAGGTTTACAGGAAGCATTTTGAAAATATTTTTATCCAGGCTGATACCTTAGCTTTGAATAACTGAGGTACCATTATTTGGTATAAAATTTATCTTTGTTCTGGGACTTCTCACAGTTAGATTTTCTCTTGAAAAGTTAGAAAAATCCGCCTTTTGAAAATGAAAAATAAAAATTTAAGGTTTAATAAAATAAAATAATTGGTTCTCAGCCAATGGTTTTTCAAAATATAGTGCGGGCGGTGCCTTCTTTTTTTCTTTTTTTTTCAAACTAGCTTGTAACCAAATAAACAGTTCCATAACCAAATAAAAGGTTGTGTACCTGGGAATACAGTATTTGACTACTGTTGGACTTGGAATATTTAAGGATATTTAGTTTTTAAAAAAAATGGAAATAAAAACGAAACGTGCAGCGGACTTTGTGATTATGCGGGCGGTGCCTGAGAACCAAGATTCTTATTTTTTTTAGCCTAAGCTGTTCTTTTATATTGAGTCATGTCAGAAACAAGTAGGAAAGACAAAAGACTTGATGTCAGCAATTAGAACATGATAGACTATCATCATTTCATTATTACAAAGTTTTTCATAGCTTCAACTTTTCACATGTTCTTTGTGCCAAGGGCCTTTCTGCTGCCTCGCTCTTCATGTGTCATAAACACTAACTCCACAATACACACTGAATCACTTTCATTCCCATACCTACTTTATGCACTCAACATATATTTGCTGTTTTTAAGCAATCCTATTCGAAAGTTTAATGTAAATTTACAAATTGAACAATTCTCTCAAACACAGGTTGACTTGTAGCAATTCCTACACTTTATGCTCCCAAGCTACATCGCTGAGAGAGTGGATCCTTTCTGGAGCAGTTTCATCCACAGAACTACATCACAAATACTATGCTTGTCGTAAAGGCAGCTAACGGGATCAGATGGTCAGGCTTGCTGACTTGGTTGATGCACGTCAACAATCCGAATTGAATGGATCGATGCTCATGATGTCAGCCACTGGATTGTCTGGTCCAGACTCGATTGTTTACAGACCCCCATCATAAAGCTGGAATATTGCTGAGTGTGGGGTTAAACAACAAACAAACAAACAAACAAACAAATCATGCATACAGATGGAATCAGTCTGAAGCAATTCATGCAGACATTACTACTTTTATAAAAATCAGTTTCTGGAGTTCATACATATTTTATTCATACAAATAAAGTGAATCCATTTCTGATGCAATTCCCAGAAATACTAACCATTATGATTATTGGCATTATAATTAAGACATTTAGAACCCGATAATGCCAATACCCTTATGTTAAACATAACAAATTGTGAACTTCTGCCATGGCTGAATGTCTATGCTACACCATGGCAGCCATATTGAAAAACCTATTTATCTCTGTTACTCAGCCATTTTTGCTCCAAGTGTCATGACATTTTGTATATATGTGGTTAATAGGGGGATTCAACAGAATTATACTGTTTGGTGTAATGTTATAAATTTGACCTTGTTTTGACCTTTGTGTGACAATGCTCTTTAAGTCACTCATAATGCAAGTGGCTGTTTAAACCTTTCCTCTGAAACTACCATGCTGAGGACGAGCAGCATTGGTATGCCTGTTTCTTCTCCAGGTGACGCCATATTTTGTTCAAATCCTTAGAATTTAGCGTTTGTTGTGAGTCTTCAGTTTCTATGCAGAAAAGGGGCACTGGTAGCCCATTTGGCTAAGGCGCCGCAATTTGCTGTGCAGAGTTGCATCCCTTGGGCAGGCCAGAAACCTATGATTGTGTGTTCGAATTCCAGTTCATCATTTAGTGACTGGACCTTGCATTGATATACTTCATGTTTTAGGCAAATCATTTTATAGAGATCATTTCAAAGTTAATTAACTTAAAGCATTCAAAGAACAACAATTTACTGAATAGTTTATAAAACTGTTCTGTTTTGTGCGTTCAAAGACAAATCTTTTCCTATGTAGTTGTTTGAAGAGACGTCTTTCATTTGCTGATAACATCTGTCTTGCATGGATCATCACATGACCAGAGTAGACTTTTTGGGAAACGTGAATGCTTTCTGGGTGGCCTGTACCCTGATTCGGAGCCAGAGCTAGAGATGTGCTTGCCAGAAGTTTGTGCTTCATCATGCATCAGGTTTCATGTGTGGCTTTAGGTAGTTTTACGTCACATCCGACTGGACTCGTTCTTGTCAGGTCATCACACAGCATTTTCAAGGGGGAAGATTGTACATTCTGGGATATGATTAGCTGAAACATCTATGAATTCTTCATTTTATTTTGGCGTTCAATTTAACTTAGTGTTCCCCTGATGTAATGGTTCATGGAGGGTTTTGTCAAATCTTCTCGCAGAGTGATGTCATAACAGAGTAAAAAATTCTGATTTGAACATCTTCCTGAGGCAAGGGAGTTTACTGACAATAAAGGTCCAGTTTCCATCCTTGGCAAACAAGACTTTAATTTCTTAGCCCGATTGTAGTGCCACCAGTGGCTATTATGACTATGTCCCTCCTCTTGACCAACCAGATTCCTCTTCTCATATCACTTGTATTTGCCTCAAACAAAACAGCAAGACGATCTGATCGATAATCAAGATCTATATTGTAATAAAACTGGTCTTACCTCAAGAAGTGCACAATTTACTTCAGCACCTTGATTAAAAACATGAAAAGATTTGGAAAATATCAGTTGATGCCCAGCGATGCCCAGTTGGCGGTATACATGCTTTGCAAATCCTTCAGTCGACCGAAATGTGCACGTTGAGATCCATGTTGTTTCACCAAGGGTTGAAACTGGACTTTAGTAGTCAGTTAATTCCCTTGCCTCTGGAAGATGGATTTTAATGATATTGCTGTGAATCCTACCAGCTGATCCTGACAGAGCTCCAGTCACTCCGTTTGTCTATTACATGTCTATTTCACGTGTATTGCAGCATGAACCGACGTCCCCTAAACACAGAGGTTCAGTTTCTAACTGGACTTCAGTTGTGGTAAAACTCTCTAGCGTGTAGATTTCATCAGCTGTAGACAGTCTCTACTTTTGATTCAAAATTTGCATGATATTGTTTTTTGTTTGTTGGTTGTTTTTTTGTTTTTTTTTGGGGGGGGGGGGGGGGCGAATTTAAAATTGATTTCAAAAATGTGTTTGCAATCCATAGCATCTACATTTTGATCAAGTAGTTTTAGGATTATAAAAGAGTTAATTATTTCAAACACTTAGCCCTGTTTCTACTCTAGCTCTGTCAGCATGCTTTCCCTGCTTGTGGGGTTCAGTAAAGTGGTAAACGTCAACATCACTTTAGGCTTTCCTCCCACATGAAGCCAACATGTTGTGACATAGCTGAGATACTGTACCAACCAAACACTCTCTCACTCACAATTTTAGATGTAAAACAGATAATCTTTATTAGAATAGGATCATTAATTGTTAGAACAATATAGCTAATGTCTAGTTGTTAGATACTCCTCCCTATTGCTGTTTGCCAATCAGCACTGGTAGATGATAAACTTTGCTGTATTCTCTAAACTACCATTAACAATGTAATTACTGTATCAAATGTGGATTACGTAGTTCAGAAAATTATGAAATATTATATAAATACTACATTATACTATATATGAAATATTATATACATATTACATAAATACTATATTATAGTATATATGAAATATATTAATATTATATATTATTATATTATAGTAAATGTGAAATAATATATAAATATTATATGAATACTATATTATAGTATACATGAAATATTACATAAACATGATAAATATTATATGAATACTGTATTATAGTATATATGAAACATTACATGAATATTATATGAATACTTTATAATAGTATATATGAAATATATAATATTATATGAATACTATATTATAGTATATATAAAACATGACATAAATATTATATAAATACTATATAATAGTATATGTGAAATATATTAATATTATAGTATATATGAAATCTATTAATATTATATGAATACTATATTATAGTATATATGAAATCTATTAATATTATAGCATATATGAAATCTATTATTATTATATGAATACTATATTATAGTATATATGAAATATTCTTTATAAAATATATTCATTATAATTGTTAATGTATAGCATGGCAAAATAACACCAACCAATTCCATTCAGTCCTACTGTTTGCAGCTGAATGTCCACAGATGAGTGAAGTTTATATCTTTACAGAAAATAGGAATTGTATGGCGTTGTCATGCAGAACAGTAAACTCTGAAGTATAAATCTGAGGCTACTTGTGATGTTAATTCAGAAATATGGAACTTTGAAATTATCAACTAAAATTGTGTTATTTGTCTGTAGTCAGTCACCACCCAGTTGTCCAGTTTAGTCGGACGTCAACGTGAGGTATGTTATACCATTGAAAAGCTTCTTCTTAGATTGTGAAACTCTCCTACATAACCAGTTAGAATTGTAGAAAACTGAGTTAATAAATAATTATGTAACTAAAACCTGCCGAACTTTCTCTTAAATCTGTTCTGAAATTAATTGAAAATACCAACAGAACTTAGTTGAAAATACTAATAGAGAAATAGTCCATGAAATGTCAATATTTAACCCTTTTGTGTTCTTTCCTTCTAAAACATAAACATTCCTTTAAAGAATAATCCTACTACAGTCTAGCGATGTACTGGTCTTATAGTTGCCCAAATATAACAGTACATCTAACAGGGCACAGGTAACCATGGTAATAGTGTAGAATAGATAGTTTGATGATGCCACAGTTTGTCCTGCAGTGTGGCTTTATAGTGAATGAGGCGTTATATAGGGGCTTGTACCGTAAGAAGTATCTGGAACAATCTCATTAAAATCTGATCTTAGTTCTAGCTACCGCTAAACAAAGATCTGAGGACATCCCATTAGGGGTCACATCAGAACGACCTTTCATTCGACAAAACAGAGCGTTGCTTACCAGATCATGAAAGTGACAGTCGGAATGTGTTTTCTAATCATGCAACCTCGAAATCTTTAACACAGGGTATTCCGAACAATAAGTACTGGTTTAACAACTGAATACATACAATTAGGACCATTCCAGAATCTTCTTTTGTTCAGGTTTAATATTTTTAATCAAGAATTGATCAAAATTTGTTTCGAAGCGTAGTCACCAATTTGAAAGCTGTAAAGCATGAGAAAGCTGCCTTCTGATTGGCTAATGTCGGCTTCTTGTCAGTCCGTCAAAAGGTCGGTCAAAGTACGAGCAAGGTCGGTCTGACGTGACCCGTAATAGGATGTCCTCAGAACTTTGTTAAGTGGTAGAGAGAACTAAGATCTGATTTTAATGAGATTGTATGGGGAATGTCATTGAAGTGTGTGATTAGGGAGTTTTCTACCAGGATTGTCATGGCAGTCTGATAACAAGTCAGAAAACCAGTGATCGATAGCATGAGCAGCAATCTACACGACATGATGACATCATATCACAACTCTGTCCCCCTCATCTCATCATCACACCTCCATGTACTAATGTCATACGTAGTAGCTATGATGATATGATCCCCATCTTCATCACCTCTGTTCATCAATGATGACTTCAGTAGCAGCTCATGGTCCTGTTCCCCCCGAATGGCACATCATCGATTCATGATGATTATCATTATAGTGATCACAGCAGTCTGTTAGTCCTGAGCTCATTGTACCCTACAGTCTTAGAATCGTATCACATGGCTTTTGTCTATATTCCGTGCTAATCAAAGTCTGCAGAGTAAACATCACAGGTTTGCATCCACTGCTTTAACACGGGTCAAGTCTTGTGACCTACTTCCCTGCTTATACTAATACTGACCTTGTCTATTTCAGGACCAACTGTCATTCACATCAATACGGTGTTCATTTCAAATCAATTTCTGACACCTATACTTTTTTCAGTTCTAAAATACACAATATATTTTTAATTTTGTAGTATTTATCTTCATTTTCTTTTTATCTTTAAAAAAACCTTACAAGCTTTTAGAATCATACATCAATACAGTGTTCATTTCAGATCAGTTCAGACACCTATATTTATTTCAGTTCTGAAATACACAATATTTTCAATTTCATAGTATTTATTTTCATTTTCTTCTCTTTCAAATAAACAAGCTTATAGAATGATGCTGTAGAATACTCTACATGATATAACATGATCTAGTAGCTGTTAAGGTGAGACTTGTTTTGTGGACTACAGTTCTGCAGATTGTTTTCAACTTTGCACATTAATATATTGATATATTAGATGAAAGCTTATTCATTTATCGACATCTGCGTGCACCTTTAAAGCTTTTCAGTCCAGCTGCACTTCACTTAATGTAGACATCTTCCAATTGTACATTTTCAACACAAGTTTCTATCAACACAAGTTTCTATCAACACAAGTTTCTATCAACACAAGTTTCTATCAACACAAGTTAAACATCAGCCGTGGTTACAGGCGTCACAGACGGTCAAGTCGGACACGGCATCAGATGTGGACGGTCAAGCTGTGGTCAATGTGGAGGGTCAGCAGTATGTGGACTCCAAGGCCTACATCATGCTGGAGATCAACCTAGAGCGCCCCTTGGTGCCCAAGAGACCACCAGAGGAACTCGCCAAACGGTTCGTACAAATATCACAAGTAATGTAGATTCTCTCAGTAGTGGTTTATTACTAATTTGGCACAAGTATTTTTGCGGCTGATTTATTCTAATGACATGTTTTTTTCTTCACTTTTTTAATGTTATAAGTGAATTAATATGTTCTTGAAACCTTGGTAATGTTTCACAAAGCCATTTACTATTTGACCCGGGAAGATCCGGGGTGGAATAGAGATTCAGCAACCAATGCTTGCTTTAAAAAGCGACTATGTTTGTCGTAAGGGGCGACTAACAGGATCAGGTGGTGAGGCTTGCTGACTTGGTTGATGCATGTCATCATATCCCAATTGTGTGGACCGATGTTCATGATGTCAATCACTGGATTGTCTGGTCCAGACTCGATTATTTACAGACCGCCATCTACAGACTATTACAAGATCCATTGAGGAACAAAGCACTTTCAGAAACAAATTCATCAACATCTATTTGATGCCAAGGTAATCTGCTTTTCCTGGGTTGTGAATTAGCAAACATTTGGTTTAATGGAAGCAATTTCTTGTTGTGTCTTTCATTGATAGTTTTGTCATTGAAATGTTTTGTTGTATTCAGAGTGGCGGAACTCATTCCTCCCCGACCCTTGTTTCCCAAGAGGACAGATGGAGCTCAAAGGGTAACTCAGAAACATGGAATTACTTAAACATTTAACATCTGTTATTTTTGGGACCACTCTTTCTTAGTAAAGTACAAATTCTAGTCATTTTGGGTGGAGTCCCATCGGGATGCAAAACCACTCTGTCAGAGTAAGGCACCTAATTGCCTGCAGGCAAAAATGGTCTGACAACTGGTAGTCTAGATGACCTACCTAGAAATTGTTTATGAATGTCAAGTGAAATGCACAAGTTGTTTACTTTCCGCTATAAGCATGCTGTGTTTGTGATGTTGCCAGTCAGTGGAGGACTACCACAACCAGATCACCAGCGTCGCTGGACTCGTCCTGGAGGAGTTCCGAGAACACTTTGGTGACGACCTCAAGGATCCCCAGACACAGACCAATGAGGCAATGGAGGGCAGGTGGGTTCAGTGGGGTGTGGGGGTGTACAGTGGGGTGTGGGGGTGTACAATGGAGGTCAGTGGGGTGTGGGGGTGTACAGAGGAGGTCAGGTGGGTGTGTGGGGTGTGGGGGTGTACAGTGGGGTGTGGGGGTGTACAGAGGAGGTCAGGTGGGTGTGTGGGGTGTACAGTGGGGTGTGGGGGTGTACAATGGAGGTCAGTGGGGTGTGGGGGTGTACAGAGGAGGTCAGGTGGGGGTGTACAGTGGGGGGTGGGGGTGTACAATGGAGGTCAGTGGGGTGTGGGGGTGTACAGAGGAGGTCAGTGGGGTGTGGGGGGGGAAAGAGGAGGTCAGTGGGGTGTACAGAGGAGGTCAGTGGGGTTTACAGAGGAGGTCAGGTGGGGGTGTGGGGGTGTACAATGGAGGGCAGGTGGGTTCAGTGGGGTGTGTGGGTGTACAGAGGAGGTCAGGTGGGTGTGTGGGGTGTGGGGGTGTACAATGGAGGGCAGGTGATTGTGTGGGGTGTGGGGTGTACAGAGGAGGTCAGTGGGGTGTGGGGTGTACAGAGGTCAGTGGGGTGTGGGGTGTACAGAAGAGGTCAGTGGGTCGTGTGGGTGTACAGAGGAGGTCAGTGGGGTGTGTACAGGGGAGGTCATTGGGTTTCGGGGGTTTACAGAGGAGGTCAGTGGGGTGTGGGGGGGTACAGAGGAGGTCAGTGGGGGGGGGGGGGGGTACAGAGGAGGTCAGTGGGGTGTGGGGGGGTACAGAGGAGGTCAGTGGGGAATGGGGGTGTACAATGGAGGTCAGTGGGGTGTGGGGTGCACAATGGAGGTCAGTAGGCTGTGGGTTGCACAATGGAGGTCAGTAGGGTGTGGGTTGCACAGTGGAGGTCAGTAGGGTGTACAGAGGAGGGCATGTACAGAGGGTTCTTAAAAGTTAAACCATAATCCACACAGTCCTTGTCAGAAAAGTGATACTTTATTTCAGTCAATGTTTTTGAGTTCATGATACACATTTTCCTCATCATTTGTTGCCAGGAGACAGAAGCTGATCTATGAGTTGAACTCCTCGGGGAAATACTTCGCCTTCAAGGAGCAGCTCAAGCACGCTGTGGTCAAGATCGTCCGGGAGAAATATCTCAAGACATCAAACTTCGAAGACCGCCAAGAATTACAGGTTTGCGATATCTATTTTTTGTCATAAGATATATCCCTCTTTAGCTATCTGTGCCAAGTCTGGATCTGTGAAACTGTTCTGTTTGTTGTAGGAGTTGACTGTTTGTTTTAGGGGTTGTTTTTGACTGTTTCAGACTTTCCTCAGTGAGCTGTACGTGTACCTAGTGGATCAGATGCATGTGGCTCTGGGTCAAGTCCTTGCTCTCGAGGACCAGCCCCCGGTGCCGGACCCACTCACGGACTCCGCCCAACTCAAACACTTCGCCAGGGAGGCGGAGGTCAATGAGAACTTTGACCTGGCAGCCAAATATTACCAGGAGGTGAGAACAGTTCTTTCAGAGATGGACCCATGAAGATCCGCATTACAATAGGTCCCCAGCAACCCATGCTTGCTGTAAGACGTTACAGTGCTTGCTGTAAGAGGCGACTAACAGGATGGGGTGATCAGACTCACTAACTTTGTTAATGCATGTCATCGTATCACAATGCTCATATTGCTGGAATATTGCTAAGTGCGGTTTTAAACAACAAACAACAAACAAATCAACATAAAATTTTACCGGTCTGAATGTCGTAACTCAAATGAGTCCCTCTATACGAGACTAAGCCTAAAGTCTGTCTCATTTTCAGATTTCACAGACCTGAGATGATTTCATGTACAAAGATTGGTAATGTCTCCTTGCTTTACGATACTTTATTGAAGATCAGACATAAATTGTTTAACATTACTGTTTCCAGAGGATCGCCCGGGAGAAGAACGATCCTGGCAACTGGTTCGACTACGGCACCTTCTGTCTGTACATCAACGACATCACCAAGGTAGGGGTCTCCAAACGTCAAACACAACATCGCCATTAGGTGATTGGAAGAGAGGGCATGGATGGTCCAGTCATCTAAGGTGCTGCAGTTTTTGTTGTGCAGAGTTGCATCCCCATGATCTCATCCCTCATTTGTTTGTCAGCATCACACCTCTCCTCAAACTAGTCATAGGCTTCACCAAAGTCGTGAACATCGCAGACAGGAATAACTTTGGGCTTTCCTTTAACATTAAGCTGACATGGAAGGTGAGGTCAGGTGACATTGGGTTTAATGTCGCGTCCAAGATTATTGTGACGTGCATGCTCGTGTGTGCGTGTGACTGCTTGTACTAGTCCGGACTGATGTTGATTTATAGTGCTAGCCCACTGAGATACCATGCCGCAGTTGAATACCCCAATAAGACACAGTATACTGACTCTGAGCTGACCAGTCCTTGTTTTTGCCCCTTAATGCCAAACACCTGACAGGGTAACAATAGGTACCGTCATTTATCATCTTTTGGTGATGACACTGCCAGGGTTCGAATCCCTGGCCTTCCGCTTTCCGGGCAGACGCTCTACCATTAGCCCACGGAGATGGTCCCCACATGCAAGGATATATAGCTGAGATAAACTCAGTCACTTTTGATTAATAGTGAAAGCATCACTGTTAATATATGCCATATTCTTTTTAATATTGTGAAGTGACATGCAGAACTTCTGCCATGACATTCCCATGACTTGCCGTCCCTGTGTGGATACCGGGTTGGAATAGGCCCTCAACAACCGATGCTGGTTTTGTAGTGACTAAATGTGGTGGTTTGCGCTCGGTGACTTGGTTGATTGTGTAGCAATGTACCCCACAGATTGTCTAATTATTATTTACTGGCCACTGTCATATAGCTGGAATATTGCTGTGTGCTGTGTTAAACAACAACCAAACAAACAAACAAACAAACAAACAAACAAACAAACAAACCTGACATGGTATATTGTGTGTTACAGGCGGAGGAGTGCTTCAAGGAATGCATTGCAATCAACCAGAGACATCTACCAGGGTATGTATGCACACTTACTTTGAGAAGATCCGGGGAAGAATAGGTCTTCAGCAACCCATGCTTGCTGTAAAAGGCGACTGTCAGGCTCGCTGACTTGGTTAATACATGTCATTGTATCCCATAGCGTGGACTGATGCTCATGATGTCAATCACTGGATTATCTGGTCCAGACTCGATTATTTACAGACCACTGTCATATAGCTGGAATACTGCTGAATGTGGTGTTAAACAACAAACGAACAAACAACCTTACTTGGTTGATATTCTATGGTGTTGTCCATCAGACAAGCTGGGTTCCTACACATGGCCACACTCATGATGATAAGAAACAAATTGTATGGTGGTTGGGGACTCTGTACACATCTTCATCCCCATCTTTGTACACGAAGCACACATAAAATATAGAAATACACTCAAACCACTTGTCGTCCTGTAGTCCTTGCCAAACTGCCCAATTGTTAAGGTATCTTAAGGACTAGTAGAAATTTGCCACTTTTCAAGGTTTTCCTATATGTTATTATTATAAAGACTAGTGGACTAAAACTGTTAGTTTCCATCTCTTTTTTTGGCACATTGTCAATGCACAATACATCTTCCCATCAAAACATGATGTTTAGACATTCAAATATTTGGCCAGTGACATTCCTTTTCTTGTTTCATGAATAGTCAGAAAGACAACATGGAGTACATGTGATAAGAACTTGTTAAGAAGTTGTCAGGGTCGAATGGAATTTTAATTTTGGTAATAATTAAACAGAAGTTGTTGTTTTTTTCACCTAAAGTTTCACTTAGTGAATGCTTATCTGTAAACAATAAAGTAGGTATGGTTTATTTTGAATGTATTGAATTTATTGATTGGATGTGATGTGAGATGTACTCGTGTGTGTTGCAGCCTGCTGTTGTATGGGGTTGTCTGTACGCTGTCCGAGAGGAATGAAGCGGCCGAGACGTTCTTCGAAGCAGCCACGTGTGTTGAACCCAGGAACATCCTTGCCTGGACTATGTTGGGTGAGTGAGTATGTTGGGTGAGTGAGTGAGTTAAACCCAGGAACACCCTTGCCTGGACTATGTTGGGTGAGTGAGTATGTTGGGTGAGTGAGTGAGTTAAACCCAGGAACACCCTTGCCTGGACTATGTTGAGTGAGTGAGTGAGTGAGTTGAGCCGAGCCCAGGAACATCCTTGCATGGACTATATTGAGTGAGTGAGTGAGTGAGTTAACCTAGGAACACCCTTGCCTGGACTATGTTGAGTGAGTGTGTGAGTGAGTGAGTTGAACGAGTTGAACCCAGGATCACCCTTGCCTGGGCTATGTTGAGTGAGTGAGTGAGTTAAACCAACAAACACCCTTGCCTGGACTATGTTGGGTGAGTGAGTGAGTTGAACCCAGGAACACCCTTGCCTGGACTATGTTGAGTGAGTGAGTGAGTGAGTGAGTGAGTTAAACCAACAAACACCCTTGCCTGGACTATGTTGGGTGAGTGAGTGAGTGAGTTAGTTGAACGAGTTGAACCCAGGAACACCCTTGCCTGGACTATGTTGGGTGAGTGAGTGAGTTAAACCAAGAAACACCCTTGCCTGGACTATGTTGGGTGAGTGAGTGAGTTAAACCAACAAACACCCTTGCCTGGACTATGTTGGGTGAGTGAGTGAGTGAGTTAGTTGAACGAGTTGAACCCAGGAACACCCTTGCCTGGACTATGTTGGGTGAGTGAGTGAGTTAAACCAAGAAACACCCTTGCCTGGACTATGTTGGGTGAGTGAGTGAGTGAGTTGAACCCAGGAACAGCCTTGCCTGAACTATGTTGGGTGAGTGAGTGAGTGAGTTGAACCCAGGAGCACACTTGCCTGGACTATGTCGAGTGAGTGAGTGAGTTGAACCCAGGAACACCCTTGCCTGGACTATGTTGAGTGAGTGAGTGAGTTAAACCAAGGAACACCCTTGCCTGGACTAAGTCGAGTGAGTGAGTGAGTTGAACCCAGGAACACCCTTGCCTGGACTATGTTGGGTGAGTGAGTGAGTGAGTGAGTGAGTTAAACCCAGGAACACCCTTGCCTGGACTATGTTGGGTGAGTGAGTGAGTGAGTTAAACCCAGGAACACCCTTGCCTGGACTATGTTGAGTGAGTGAGTGAGTTAAACCAAGAAACACCCTTGCCTGGACTATATTGGGTGAGTGAGTGAGTGAGTTGAACCCAGGAACACCCTTGCCTGGACTATGTTGAGTGAGTGAGTGAGTGAGTGAGTTGAACCCAGAAACACCCTTGCCTGGACTATGTTGGGTGAGTGAGTGAGTGAGTGAGTTGAACCCAGGAACACCCTTGCCTGGACTATGTCGAGTGAGTGAGTGAGTTGAACCCAGGGACATCCTTGCCTGGACTATGTTGAGTGAGTGAGTGAGTGAGTTGAACCCAGGTGGATGGGTTTGGAGTTGAGTGGAGTGGAGTGGGCATGAAGTCCAGGCCTTCTATGTGACAAGCTCTCAACCTCCCCTTTACTTCATTGAAGTTGTTCTGTATTTCAGGCCTGTACTATGACTCGGTGAGCAATGAGATCGGAGCGGAGATGGCGTACCTCGAGGCCAACAAGCTGAACCAGGTGGCAGCAGTAGCGACAGCGAGGGCACTTCGGGAGGAAGAGATGGAGAGAGACAGGGTGGATGACGAGGAAGAGGATATCCCTGAAGATGAGCCTGTCAGGGGTAAACACTTGTCTTGTCTTGAAGGGTTCACGCAGACTTGCAAGGGCCATGAATTAAGAGTCTGCCTTCAAAATGGATAATGTGCCTTTAAGAAGCCTTGCATTTTCCAAACCCATCTCCATATTAAATAAATTACCTTAAAGGAAACTATCTCAATATTATGAAAATAAATCTGTTGAAATATAAGTAATAGTTTCGACCATAGAGTTATCTCCCTTATACTAGTCTGCTGATCTGTTACAACCTCTACAGAAAGGCCCAAAGTATCTTTGTAGTAGAAGGAATGTTATGAATTCTGGACAAGCCTTGTAAATATGCTTGCACACTGTGAATATTATTGGATGTTTTGACCATTTGTAGCTTCTTAGTGCCTACTGGCTGGGTTACCTGACTGTAGTGAAATACCACCTGTCCTTTGCTTGTGATGTGATAGATTATTGGATTGTCTCTCGATAGACTTGTAATCCCTCCATAGACTAAGGTGATTTACCTTTTTGATTAAAAGAAATTTTGTGAAACTTTCAGAAATTGAAAACACTGAGGGAGGGTTGTCTATTCCCATGATACCTGAGATCAAACAGCCGACGCCCACCAGTGACAGGGGGAATAGCTCTGCCAAGTCCACCAACCGCTTGTCGGAAAAGAGGGCGTCAGCAATAGGGAAGAAACCAGGTGAGCTATATGTTGAAGAAGTCTGTCAGGGAAGCATGACACAAGTAATGTGTTCTTAATTCTTCTCAAGGTTTTACATACTATTATATTTTTATCAAAATCATTCTGCAAACATGATTTCACCACTTCATCATAATGTGGACGTCCAGGGGAGGTAACTGTCGTATAGACATGCATGGGGCTATCAGGATACTTGCAGCACATAGTACTTTAAGTTTGTTTGTTTGTTGTTTAACGACTCACTCAGCAAATCAGCGTTAGAAATTGGCACTAGTCCTGTAGTCCTTGCCAAACTGCCCAATAGTTAAGGTATCATGAGGACTTATAGAAATTTGCCATTTTTAGGGTTTTGCTATATGTTATTATTATAAGGACTAGTGGACGAAAAATGTTAGTTTCTAGAGCTGCAAATACATTTGCGAATCCAGAGGTGGGGCATGGGGTACGGACACCACCCCTCTTTTGACAACCAAATTTTTCACGTTGTAGACAGTAAAATTTACTGAGAGAGGCTCTAGACCCCTCCCTTCTAAAAGTGCTGCATCCGCTCTTGTATTGATATACGTTACTTACACTGTGCTTTTATCATTGTGGAAAGACAATTGCATCTGGAATTATACGATTTTAGACGTGAATACTTCTATCTGATGCTGTGTTATGACTGAGCTATTGTTAAACTCACTCACTCACTCACCCTGTACAATGTGGACAGCACCCCTACCAACAGGCCAGCAGAAGCCCAAGAGTCAGGAGAGTGGGGTCGGGCTTCTCTCACGCCCTGCCAGCCAGCAGAAGATGGCCAGCCAGCGTGGCACCCCCCAGCCAGCGGAGGACGCCCCCGAGGACATCCCTCCCCGCGAGCCGACGCCCATCCCCGCCTCCAGTATGTACATGCAGGCTGTGGACTGGCTGCTGGAGGTCAAGGCTGTCCCGGTAAGCTGGTCTGGATCAGGTCTTGTTGCATGCCGTGTCCCCCCAAAATTGGAAGTTTTATGCCATATATTGATATATCCACTCAAAAGAAAATACATGATACATGATACAGTAAACATAGTTTTCTGTATGTTGATATATCAATGAATTATGAATTATTCTGTTTGCGTATAGATTGAAGATTGTATAGATGTAGATCTGCCATTAGTCAAGTTAAGGCAAAATGTGATTATGATCAATTTAAATGTTTGGAATATGATTGGTTGAACTAGGTCATGCCCCATAATGATCTACTGTTCCCTGATTGGCAGATTGTAGAATGGGTGGGGCTTGTGTTGAATTAGTAGCCAGAGCGATGTAGCTGATTTCATATTGCTGTTTCTAGTTTTTTGTTTGTAAATGAATGAATAAGCAGTTTGTGAAGTTATTATTGTTGATGCATTTATTATTTAGAATTGACTTCAGTATGTTTTTGTGTTGATGGGGTTATAAACGTAAAAGCCGCTGTGCAGTAGTGGTGGTGATGATGATGATGATGATGATGATGATGATGATGATGATTAATGAGCACTTCCGGAGATGCCGATATCATAGGTGGCAGTTGTGCATTTACACAGTTTGGACACCGTATTTTACGTTTATATATCCATAAACACAAAATATATTGATAATCAAAATGACAATTTGACTTCAGTTGAATGATGTCTGTTATGCCCCTCTTGTCTGTAGTTCACAGAGCGGGCTCTGGGCCACGAGCTGCTGTCCCCGATGGGGGGACCGACGCCCGGATACCACATCGCGCTGGCCAAGCTGAAGCTGCAGAAGAGGGAGTTTGCTGCGGCAGAGGAGCAGCTGAGTGAAGCTCTACAGACGGAACACCAGGTGAAGCACAGATACGCTGTGGCCATGGTTATAATAATAGCAGGCCATTTATATTGAACATATTTCCACACCACATGATCAAAGCGCTATTATTACCCTGGTCACTGGATCAGTGTGCACTCAAGAATCATTCTCAGCTCCCTGGGGAGTATACAAACCATGCTGCCTGTTTGGCGCTAGAAGGTTAACACCCACATTGCCATCTCATCCTACCGGGTACCCATCCAATGCTGGGTGAACAGAGGCACATTTTGAACAAAGTTATGCATGTGTGTTACATGTCTTCAGGGTGGGGCAGGACCAAAGCCCTAGAAACTCTCAGGAGTCAGGCTGATAAAACGTGGTCACCCATCCAAGGACTGTCCAGTACCCACAAACGTATTGAATGGGTGCATAATATAATACTGCGTCCCGATGGAAGCACACTAATATCCATTGTTCCAAATTCTTCCCAAGAAATATAGAGTTCCCATAATTAAAGTATTTATTTCATCTTACTGTAAGGTACACTACACCATTCCTTTACTTTACAGGACCATGATATTTCCTGTAAGGACCCCTGAAATGAGTAACTGGGTGTCCTCTCAGAGCTCAAGATAAGCTGCGTATCTGCATAAAATATGCATCAGAAATGCAGAAATATGCAGTAAAATAAAATCCAAGCATATCAAATACGCAACGAATATTACAGATACGCTACAAAAATAAAACTTGTGTGTATCATCAAAATGTTGTGAAGTAACCCTGCGTATTCGATTAGCAAATCAGCAACCTATTTTGAAATTATAAACGGGCATTCCGTCAACCTTGCCAAACTCCACAATGATAGTTACATCATGATCATTTGCCATCACACTTTCTTGTGGAAGTATCGTGGTATTTTTGAGTCCCACACGACACCAGTTTGCAGGGACTAGATGAATAGTGTTTTTAAATATTTAACTTAAATACCCACATGTGTAAAAACTAGTGGGTAACAGAAATTTGAATACCCAGATAGAATTACTGATATCCAATTATTTGAAAATGCATGGGTAAAATACCCACAACACCAAAAGCTTATCTGGAGCTCTGCCTCTTGACTCCTAGTTTTGTAGGTCAAAGTAAAACCCAGGGTTAGATAATGCAGGGTTGTGGTGTCAGCGCTAAGTTTAACATTAGAAAGCTCATGCCATGTGTTTGGTTACCAATTCCATTATGTGTGGTCAGATCTACAGGTGACAAAGTTCTACATTGCAATCGCACTATGTTTACCTCCCAATTGTAGAACAAATCCCGGAAGCTCTCAATGAAGCCGTTAAGCCCCTTGGTAGTTGTGTCGATATTTATTTCAAAAACATCTTATGACATTGAGTTTCTTAAATTTATTTCATAATTCACATTTTCTTGCATCTGGTTATGAACACACAAGTGAATAACAACAAAATCGCAGTCTGAGATTGTGTTTGTTTCTTTTGTTTGTTGTTTAACGTCGCACTCAGCAATATTCCAGCTATATGACGGCGGTCTGTAAATAATCGAGTCTGGACCAGACAATCCAGTGATTGACACCATGAGCATCGATCCACGCAATTGGGATCAATGACATGCTTCAACCAAGTCTGCAAGCGTGACTACCTGATCCCGTGACTACCCAATCCCATTAGTCGCCTCTTACAACAAGCATAGTCGCTTTTTACGGCTTGTATGGGTTACTGAAGACCTGTTCTACCCCCGATCTGAGATTGTGCATTATTAACACACAGCTAATGGTGAGTGTTGGTTTCAGAACCCCGACGCATGGGCCTTGATGGGTCATGTGAAATACCTGACCGGTGACACGGAGTCAGCCCGGGACTGCTATGAACGAACCATCACGTTTATTGCCGACGCCTCTGAAATGCACTCCATCTACTTGAGACTCGCCTCTGTCTATCTGCAGGAGGGCAGGGTATGTACGCCTCACACGTCACGTCTATTGCACCGAGATATTTCTCATTTTAGATGTCATTTTAATAATAATATTTTTATGCACTTTAAACTCAGTACACGAGGTGAATACTCACAGATCTACATAAAATAGAGGAAAACTCTATACAAGGTTACAGATACATGACAAATAGATGTGACAGATGGTGTTGATTTTAGAGTTGATATAAAAGTCTGAATAAAATTATATACTGCTATAAAAAAAACCCAGTAAAATAGCAGCATAAAGTTTTTGAAACGTTCTTACAAACAATACAATGTTGTCCATAAGGCTAAAACAAATAATAGTCTTGGATCTCAGGCACCGCACGTTTCATTTTTATTTCCATTTTTAAAAAAATAACGTCTTCACATTGTGAAATATAATCGAAGCTCATTGTCTGCACGTATCATGCACACACTGGAAGACCAATGGCAGTCAATTACTGTATTCCAGTATTTTACTCAATAAGGAATACATTGATGTAGGGAGGCCCTTTCCCAGGTCGCCTGTACACAACTGTTTATTTGGTTACATACTAGTTTGAACTACCCAAAAAAGAAAAAAAACCTCCACCCACCCGCACTATATAATCAAAAGCCATTGCCTGAGATTCAATTATTATATTTTTTTAAGCCCAAACAAATTATTGTCTTAATGTTCTTCCAGCTGCCTATCTAAGACTTTCAAAAGTTACTGAGTTCAATATTAATACCTCATATTAATAAAGTCATATCAGATGTAAAGAAAGAGGTCAGGATCTGGCTTAAGACATTCACCAAAATCTTCTCGTCAGATGTATACCACCCTCTATTGCTTGTCTGGAGCATGGCTGGCCCAGTCATCTAAGACACCACGATTTGCTGTGCAGAGTTGCGTCCCTTGGGCACATCAGAAACCTATGATTATGGGTTCGAATCCTGGTTCGCCATGATTATGTTTCTAGGTTTGTCAGCACCATACCCGTGCTTGTGGGTTTTACCGAAGTGGTAAACGTCGGAGACCTGCATCACATCGGGCTTTCCTCCCACATTACGCTGACATGCTGCAATATAACTCGAATGCTGTTAAAATCGGCGTTATACCCACTCACTCCCTCACTCACTCACTCACTCACTCACTCACTCACTCACAAGATGAAGTAACAAAAGTAGATCAAATGGTTAAATGTGTTCTGTTGACAAACCTTTTATTCAGGGTGATTGATGGCCAACGAGATATATCCTCACTGTGATACCTATGTTGTTGTTTTAGTTCCAAGAAGCCAAAAATACCTTCCTCCTTGCGTGCAAGAAATCTCCCTCATGTGTGTCGTGGCTCGGCGTGGGCATCGCCTGCTTTAGGGTGAGTTCAGTGTCGGGTGTGTTGTAATTGAAGTTTATTTATCCCCAGACACGAAGTGGAAGGAGGATATTTGAATGGGTGCTGTCCTTCTGTCTGTCCATCCATCACATTTCATTTCCTGAACAGAACTCAAAAACCAAGAGAGATATTTTGACCAACCTTGGCACATAAAAAGGTCTAGTGGTGAACTGGTGCCTTTTGACAGATTGGGATTTCACCAAAAAATATTTTTTGAGTTTCCATGGCAACAACTTTGACTTAGACTGAAAAAGGTGGCAGTGCTCCTTTCCAGAGCAGATCTTGAAACCCGTACAATATTTCTTCACCAAACTTGGCACATAATAGGTTTAGTGGTAAACTGGTGCCTTTTGAAAGTTTGGGATTTTTTAAATAATTATTTTTTCGAGCTTCCACAGCAATGACTTTGACTTAGACTGAAAATGGCGGTAGTGCTTGTTTCCAGAGCAGATCTTAAACCGTAAATATTTCTTGCCTTGCACACAACCAGACATGTCATATTGGTCGGGGATATTTCATGCTTGTTTCTATTTCAACCTCCTTGAATCCATAAAGCATGTAATATATGAAGTGAGACACCATGTGAAACTGTAGGTAGGAGAATTGTGTTCTACGTGTGTTTCCACCATTTTATCTCCAGCTTGGTGAGCTGACTGAAGCAGAGGATGCACTATCTGAGGCCAACGTCCTCAATAACAGTGACCCCGAGGTCTGGGGGTACCTCTCCCTGGTGTGTCTACAGACACAGAGGCAACTGGAGGCGGAGCAGGCATACAAGTATGCACTGAAGGTGAGTGTCTGTATGGTCGGGTACTGTAACACACTGAAAGTACTTGTCTGTATGGGTTGGTACTGTAACACATGAAAGTACTTGTCTGTATTGTCAACATGACTTCTTCCCAAGGCAGGGGGTACGTGTGGCCCAGTCGTCTGAGGCGCCACGCTTCACTGTGCGGAGTTGCGTCCCATGGGGACACCAGAAACCTATGATTGTGGGTTCTAATCCCAGTTCGCCCCGATTATGTTTCTAGGTTTGTCAGCACCATACCCGTGCTCGTGGGTTTCACCAAAGTGGTAAACGTCTAAGACCTGCATCACTTCGGGCTTTCCTCCCACATTAAGCTGACACACCATGATATAACTGGAATACTGTTAAAAGCAGCGTTAAACCCAACTTACACACTCTTCCTGAGGCAAGGGAGGTAACGCTGGATCTGCCCTTGTGTTACCCTGTGTCCTTTAGAGGAATTGTGTTCTGAATCTGATTTAGTTTCTACCCAACTATTTTGCCTCATGACTATACTGACTGTCACTGTGTTGAAAATATGTGAATAGATGAGTAAGACGAAGTTGTTGTCTTCCAGCTGAGTCTACAGGACAATGATCTGTTGAGTGAGATCCACCAGATGCAGCAACATGTTGGATTTGGGAATCCCCAGTTTTAAATCCTCGTCATTCCTCATATCGACTTGCCAACAGAAATATGAACATCAGCCTGTAGTTTTCAGGACGTCCATTGTACATTACTACTTAATTGTTCCATGCTTTGTGACCTAATATTGTGTTAAGGGATACCATTTGGTTTATATACTCCATATTTGAAGATGATTTGTTTCGCATTTCTGAATCACGTTAACTGCATGATTTCAACAACCTGGATGTTGTGTTGTGCCCTTGATAATCGGTTTAAGTATTACAGCCTTATGTCTGTAACAAACTGCTTCATAAGGCCACAATAATTTAAATATTAGATTTTAATCCCCCAAAATTTAAAACTTTGAGGGGAACCCTTTTATTGATTACGTAATAATTGTGTATACACACTGTCAAATACCATTACCACGGATGTAGTCTCAAAATAGGTCTCCAGCAACCCATGCTTGCCGTAAAAGGTGACTATGCTTGTTGTAAGAGGCGACTAACAGGATTGGGTAGTCACGCTGACTTGGTTGATGCATGTCGTCGTATCCCAATTGCGTGGATCGATGCTCATGATGTCAATCACTGGATTGTCTGGTCCAGACTTGATTATTTACAGACCGCCGTCATATAGCTGGAATATTGCGGAGTACGGCGTAAAACAACAAATCACATGAAGCATTAATGTTTAGGACGGTGTATGTAGTATGTCTCATCAAGTAACAAAGGTTTTTTCTTCATCTGTGGGAGGGGCGGTCGGGTAGCCTAGTGGTTAAAGCGTTCGCTGGTCACGCCGAAGACCCGGGTTAGATTCCCGACATGGGTACAATGTGTGAAGCCCATTTCTGGTGTCCCCCGCCGTGATATTGCTGGAATATTGCTAAAAGCGGCATAAAACCATATTCACTCACTCACTTCATCTGTGGGTACTTGGGAACAGTAAAATTATTGAAGGTAAAGTGTTTGGTAGTGAAGCAAAGATGACTCTCTAATAATTTATTTATTATGGCCTAACTACATTAATATCTTAATTGATTATCTTATAATAATAGATATACTCATCAATAACCAAATCAACTGTTTGATTATTGTAGGATATTATCAGAAATCATTTTTTCTTGATCATTCTTGAATTAGCTCAGGCTGAATCAGTTGCAAAGTGTCACAAATATTGTCTATATCCCTTAAACACCCCCACACCCCCAGTATTTCTGTGATATTGTATATAGAACTGTGTACATAATAAAGAAATCCTTGTTCATTTTTGTGAATCATGTAACATACATGTATGTAAATAGATTGTTGACACTTTCTTGATGAAGATTTGTTATGTTAAGAACTTATCTGTCTGGTAGTATTATGTATTTATAACTAATATTTATATGAACCATGATATAATAAATGAGTGAATTAAATGTTTGATTGATGTTCTGATTCAAAGCAGCCACGTGTCTACTTGTTTGATATATGCATGCGTCATTTTCCTTTCATCTGAGAGGTAAAACTTGTTGGACAACATTCTAACATCAAGGGGAGATAACTCTAAAGGGATTGCTGACAGGTCGTGAGAAAGACTATCTACATGTGCCGTACGTGTTTTCAAAAAAGTTTCTTGCCGTTTCATCTTGAATTCTTGGGATTATTTCTCGCCCTTATAAATTGTTTAGGCACATGTTTCAGACAAAATAAGGTGGGAAAACAAGATCGTTCGAGGAGGTGTATTAGCTAACACTCGAAAGGTATGTCTGATGTATGTTAGTCTGCCAGCGTCTTCACAAGTCGAAACATGTTGTTACCAGTGTGACGACATTTTGCCGTTACCTCGCGTAGTTAAAGAATGAAATGAATAAACATACGTTTTTTCGGTTGAATCGGAATATCGATGATGCTAAGTGTACGAAATTTGATTACATTTTTTTGTTTTGAATGTTGTTTAACGCTGCACTCAGCAATATTCCAGCTATGTGACGGCGGCCTGTAAATAATCGAGTCTGGACCAGACAATCCACTGATTGACATCATGAGCATTGATCCACCCAATTGGGATACCATGACATGCATCAACCAAGTCAGCGTGCCTGACTACCCTACCGTAAGTCGCCTCTTACGACAAGTGTAGTCGCCTTTTACGGCAAGCATGGGCTGCTGAAGACCCGTTCTATCCCGGAACTTCACGAGCTAAATTTGATTGGTACAAATATATACCAGCTTGAATAACACGGGTGAAGTTTAGCTGCGAAATCCTAGAATTTCGTGACGCCTGTATGACGTTCTGATTTTGCTCCGGGGCGGTCGGGGAAGCCTAGTGGTTAAAGCGTTCGCTCGTCACGCCGAAGACCCGGGTTCGATTCCCGACATGGGTACAAAGTGTGAAGCCCATTTCTGGTGTGCCCCGCCGTGATATTGCTGGAATATTGCTAAAAGCGGCGTAAAACCATACTCAGTGAGTCAGTCAGTCTGATTTTGCTCCCGTCTTCACAAGCTCTAATTATGCAAATTAAGAATGTCGTGGCAATAATTAAACTCCCTTATTTCCAAACCAGTTACATTTAAAAACAGCCAAACGTTGCCATGGAAATGTATTTGTATATACAAGATGTTCGTCTAAAAACACGAGGGTCGAGTTTGAATATCTGATTTTCTGCCTCGTCCACCGTGTCTAATAAAGATTGGTGAAAACAGCACCATAAATGAATAGTTGAATTTCCATTTGCCGTGTGTTTTTACCACGCAAACTATACTATATACTAATGTATGTTTCAACGACTTACGTCTTTGAGAGCATCGAGACATCAAAGAGTAGTTCGCTTGCTGACGTTTTCCTGCGATGTCGCTTCAACCATAACGTTGTGGACTGAGGGTGTGGCGGACACAATCGGCTACCCCCGGGTCAGGACACACAACACAACTCCCCGGAGTATTGATATATTTATTGTAATGTATAACATTGTGTAAGGGTATAAAGTATAACATACAGGTATATTGTGAACACACTAAAACAAACATTGACACTGGCCACTTTACCAAACATACAGCTACATTGGGATACATCACAATAGAAAACAATGGCTTTACCTTCAAATCACCACTCTCATTTAAAAGAAGACGCATTGAAACAGATTTCAGATGAATAAACATTTTACACGGAAGATACTCAAAATCGCTCTTATCTGAAATGCCGCATGGCCAATGATTTAGTTTCCACGTTCTTTGGTTAACTCATCCAGCTTTTTTGTTTGTCACCTGTAAATATTTTGTAGGTTTTACCTAGAGCCTATCGTCATCATTTAATTAGTGTTTGCTTCCCATCCGACATTGAGAGGGAACGGTTTTTTACCTCTCATGATATTAACGCGCAAAGAATGAATAATATTTAATCAATCAAAGACATTCATTCAATGTTTATAAGATATCTTATTCATAATGTACGACCGACAGTTTATATAATTGACCACAACACGTGGAAATATCGACAATGTATTCTCATCACAGTGGCTTTTCATTGTACTGTAATACTATAACACACACATATTATTTCAGATAATTGCTTGGCCAAATAAGCAACTCTATAATGGTACTAGGGACCAACTTTTTCATTTCCAGGAAGGGACTGCTTCAAGAGATCCAGCTAGCAATTAGGTTTTAATCCTGAGACGCAATTATATTTTCCCATTATTTGCTGGAACATATTATTTATGAAAACAAAACCCAAACAATAGCCTACCCCCGAATGATAAAATTGTCGGTCCCTTGTGGTGAGGAGATAAATGATATACTGAGCAGTGAAACTCCCATTACCATACGTCTGACCTGGATGAATTACACACGTGCGAAATCTACAACAGAGAGTCTAACACGTGGTGTAATTGCATATATACAACAGGCACAATCTATACATTGTATATATGCATGTATATAACTGACACGGTTAAAACATTGTATAAATGCATATATACAACCGGTACGACCTCAACAATAAATGCATATATACAACAGGCACGACCTATACCTTGTATACATATATATAGCTGACGCGATCTAAACATTGTATAATGCATTTATAAACAGATTTACAAAAACTCGACAGACGCTAGGACAGCACGTAAAACACCACTATGTAGTTTGGGTTACCAGAGCACCTTTTGTTTCCTTGAGGACCATTGACAGATGTGTGGGACAACACTATTCCAGGTAAACCAGTTTAACCTGATAACGTGACTACATGCTACACAGTGTGTTCGTTAAATTAGATCACTAGGGTGTCATACCCTTTAATTGCTGAGACAAGAAGAACAAGCCACGTTCTACAACACTGTCACACTAAAACACGATCATGTGAAATAGTTGGCCGACGTTTTGAATGTACATGCCAATAGTTCAAAACCGTTTGAGTGAGTGAGTTTTGTTTTACGCCGCTTTTAAAGTCTTTCAGTTGTTTGACTTTGTGACACTATTTTGGCGAAACCCATAACTAGGGGTTAACCTAGAAACCTAATCGGGGCAAACCGGGATTCGAACCCACGATCATAGGTTTCTGGTATACCTAAGGGACGCAACTCTCCACATCGAATTGCATCCCCGAGGCCAATGGGCCACCCGTGCCCTCTAAAGCGTATGAACTATGTACAAATACTTGACTCGTTTTAAAAGATCTGGATGTGTGTTGTGACGAAATTGCAAAAGAAAGCTGTATTTTGTGAACACGTTAATAGTAAAACGAAGGGCAGATTTCATATTTCAGATTTTGATAGTTAATACCGACAGCCTTTGCATGACTTATACCGAATCTGTCTTGTGATCATTGTCTACGCACCTGACCAAGCTCATGTTTTTGACAGTCTTGTATTTGAGCAAACGCCGATCATCTATTCAACGTCCAAGCCAGGGTTGGAATGTCCGCCAAACTGGGAGACATCCGTCCTTATCATGTCTCGCTCCACCCCCTCCACAGCATACAACTTGTTGCTGTCGTGGTCCACGTAGTACCCCGATGTCGTGAAGCGCTCAGGGCTGAAGTTGGGTTTGTTGATGGCGGCGATGAGGAGGACGAGGAAGCCGATGAAGTCGAATCCGGCGCCGATGATGCAGACGATGAGGCACCAGCCGACCGCCCAGTCCGGTGTCTGACCGATGGTCACACCGTAGACCACGACCCCGGAGATGTTACAGAGAGCTGAAATGGGAGGTATTTATCAATGTCTTGACAAAGTAGTGAGCCTTGCTTGACAACGGTATAAGGATCTATGCCGAAACGTCGCCTTTGAAGTAAATACAGAACTTGCTATCCATAACTTGTGTCTACTTTGTCATCCGTCAACTTCTAAGTAATGCCTATCAAACAATTTTTCAACGGCGTGTCCACACTGCACAATAAAAGAAAACGTGACACGAAACAACCCTCCTTTGTATGCATGTAGACGTTTCCAGCCGCTATCGCCCGGAATGTGGGATTTCCGGATTAAAAAAGGGCTCAGATTAATCGATTTCCACTGAGAATCTATTAGTTGCCGTTTGACCAGATGTCCACATAAGCGCTAATACTGACATGGACACAATGTGTAGAATTTAATATTCCTGGACAACCATATCCACCATTCCATATCTTTCATTCAACATCCATATCCACCATTCCACATCCATACCAACCATTCCACATCAATATCCACCATTCCACATCCATATTCACCATTCCACATCCATTCCCACCATTCCACATCAATATCCACCATTCCACATCCATATTCCCATTCCACATCCATATTCCCAATTCCACATCCATTCCCACCATTCCACATCCATACCCACCATTTCACATCCATATTCACCATTCAACATCCATATTCACCATTCCACATCCATATTCACCATTCCACATCCATATTCACCATTCCATATCCATAGCCACCATTCCACATCCATAGCCACCATTCCACATCAATATCCACCATTCCACATCCATATTCACCATTCCACATCAATATTCACCATTCCACATCCATAGCCACCATTCCACATCCATAGCCACCATTCCACATCCATAGCCACCATTCCACATCAATATCCACCATTCCACATCAATATCCACCATTCCACATCCATATTCACCATTCCACATCTATATTCACCATTCCACATCCATAGCCACCATTCCACATCCATAGCCACCATTTCACATCCATAGTCACCATTCCACATCCATTCCAACGATTCCACACCCATAGCCACCATTCCACATTCATAGCCACCATTCCACACCCATAGCCACCATTCCACATCCATATTCACAACTCAACATCCATATTCACCATTCCACATCCATATTCACCATTACACATCCATATTCACCATTCCACATCCACATTCACCATTCCACATCAATAGCCACCATTCCACATCCATATTCAACATTCCACTTCCATATTCTCAATTCCACATCCATAGCCACCATTCCACATCCAAATTCACCTTTCCACAGCTATATCCACCATTCCACATCCTGATTCACAATTCCACATCCATTCCCACCATTCCACATCCATACCCACCATTTCACATCCATATTCACCATTCAACATCCATATTCACCATTCCACATCAATATTCACCATTCCACATCCATATTCACCATTCCATATCCATAGCCACCATTCAACATCCATAGCCACCATTCCACATCAATATTCACCATTCCACATCCATATTCAACATTCCACTTCCATAGCTACCATTCCACATCCATAGCCACCATTCCACATCAATATCCACCATTCCACATCCATATTCACCATTCCACATCGCTATTCACTATTCCACATCCATAGCCACCATTCCACATCCATAGCCACCATTCCACATCAATATTCACCATTCCACATCCATATTCACCATTCCACATCCATAGCCACCATTCCACATCAATATCCACCATTCCACATCCATATTCACCATTCCACATCGCTATTCACTATTCCACATCCATAGCCACCATTCCACATCCATAGCCACCATTCCACATCCATAGCCACCATTCCACATCAATATCCACCATTCCACATCCATATTCACCATTCCACATCTATATTCACCATTCCACATCCATAGCCACCATTCCACATCCAAAGCCACCATTCCACATCCATATTCACCATTCCACATCCATTCCAACGATTCCACACCCATAGCCACCATTCCACATCCATAGCCACCATTCCACATCCATAGCCACCATTCAACATCCATAGCCACCATTCAACATCCATATTCACCATTCAACATCCATATTCACAACTCAACATCCATATTCACCATTCCACATCCATATTCACCATTCCACATCCATAGCCACCATTCCACATCCAAAGCCACCGTTCCACATCAATATTCACCATTCCACATCCATATTCAACACTCCACTTCCATATTCTCAATTCCACATCCATAGCCACCATTCCACATCCATAGCCACCATTCCACATCAATATTCACCATTCCACATCCATATTCACCATTCCACATCCAAAGCTACCATTCCACATCCATATCCACCATTCCACATCCATATTCACCATTCCACATCCAAAGCTACCATTCAACATCCATATCCACCATTCCACATCCATATTCACCATTCCACATCGCTATTCACCATTCCACATCCATAGCCACCATTCCACATCCATAGCCACCATTCCACATCCATAGCCACCATTCCACATCAATATCCACCATTCCACATCTATATTCACCATTCCACATCTATATTCACCATTCCACATCCATAGCCACCATTCCACATCCATTCCCACCATTTCACATCCATATTCACCATTCAACATCCATATTCACCATTCCACATCCATATTCACCATTCCACATCCATATTCACCATTCCATATCCATAGCCACCATTCCACATCCATAACCACCATTCCACATCAATATTCACCATTCCACATCCATATTCAACATTCCACTTCCATATTCTCAATTCCACATCCATAGCCACCATTCCACATCAATATCCACCATTCCACATCTATATTCACCATTCCACATCTATATTCACCATTCCACATCCATAGCCACCATTCCACATCCATTCCCACCATTTCACATCCATATTCACCATTCAACATCCATATTCACCATTCCACATCCATATTCACCATTCCACATCCATATTCACCATTCCATATCCATAGCCACCATTCCACATCCATAACCACCATTCCACATCAATATTCTCCATTCCACATCCATATTCAACATTCCACTTCCATATTCTCAATTCCACATCCATAGCCACCATTCCACATCCATAGCCACCATTCCACATCAATATTCACCATTCCACATCAATAGCCACCATTCCACATCCATAGCCACCATTCCACATCCATAGCTACCATTCCACATCCATAGCCACCATTCCACATCAACATCCACCATTCCACATCCATATTCACCATTCCACATCCATAGCCACCATTCCACATCCATTCCCACCATTCCACATCAATATCCACCATTCCACATCCATATTCACCATTCCACATCCATAGCCACCATTCCACATCCATAGCCACCATTCCACATCCATAGCCACCATTCCACATCCATTCCCACCATTCCACATCAATATCCACCATTCCACATCCATATTCACCATTCCACATCCATAGCCACCATTCCACATCCATTCCCACCATTCCACATCAATATCCACCATTCCACATCCATATTCACCATTCCACATCCATTCCCACCATTCCACATCCATAGCCACCATTCCACATCAATATCCACCATTCCACATCCATATTCACCATTCCACATCCATAGCCACCATTCCACATCCATAGCCACCATTCCACATCCATACCCACCATTTCACATCCATAGCCACCATTCCACATCCATATTCACCATTCCACATCCATAGCCACCATTCCACATCCATATTCACCATTCCACATCCATATTCACCATTCCACATCCATATTCACCATTCCATACCCACCATTCTATATCCATCACCATGACAAGACAGGAATAGTGCTAAATCACCCACTCCCAACCAAGCCTAGTAACATCATGTTTACTTTTGATCTAGGTTGTTGTCTTTACAGATCTCAAGACAGGGGAAGATATTAACGAGTAGTAAGCACAGAAGATACAGCATGTGGCGGTAGAGATGCTGCATTACAAATGAAGCGAGGGATGGAGTGGCAACGTCTGACGCCATATTTACAATACATCAAAGCCACAAGGCCCGTTCCATAATGATAATACATATCTGCTAAAAGCAGTGTTCATTGTATGATTCTTAATATCATAAGCATGTGTTTATGAACCACTATCAAATAGTGGTGATACCAGGTATTCGAGAAAAGGTGAGCATATCCTGCCCCACCGGTGGCACCCGTCACAAATACATGCAAAGTCAAGTCAAGTGTTCACCTGTACAAACACGGCAACACATGGTACAAGTCAAAATAGGGATGTTAGTCACTGATGCGTGAACTGCCACGAAGGAATGTACGTTAAAAATACATAATTACCACAAGGCTTATAAGACTCAAAAGATAAACAACTGAAACGGTAGTGACTTTGCAAGTCACTATATTATACTTCTATACTTAACATATTTAAGATACCAGGTTAGTGTAGCGTCGTTAGCAACAAGAATACTGCAATGGGTGATAATCAATACATATCAACACAACCCCGACACAAGAAACAGTGATAAGAGTTAAAAAGACTTAATTGACATGACGGCCTCACGCCCAACTCTTACAAAATCTATACATGTATATTTAGAGCAAGGAGTGTGTAGCAGTCCTGTGCTTAAAGCGTTCACTTGTCACGTCCAAGGCTCGGGTTCGATGCTACAATTGGGCAATTTTCCTGAAACCCATTTCTGGTTTCCCACGCTACTCACTCACTCACTCACGCACTCACTCACTCACTCACTCACTCACTCACTCACTCACTCAAACCATGCCACTCACTCACCCACTCACCCACCCACTCACCCACTCACCCACTCACTCACTCACTCACCCACTCACTCACTCACCCCCCCAAAACCCACCCATTCACTCACTCACTCTAGTTACAGCCATGCAACGTGGCACGAGGAATATTATCCACTCACTCACTCACTCACTCACTCTAGTTACAGCCATGCAACGTGGCACGAGAGATATTACATGGCGTTTCCTCTGTCTGTACTTACATGCTAGCAGTGCAAACACGGTCATGGTGAGAAGCACACATCTGTAGTAAACTCACTCACTCACTCACTCACTCACTCACTCACTCTAGTTACAGCCATGCAACGTGGCACGAGAAATATTACATGGCGTTTCCTCTGTCTGTACTTACATGCTAGCAGTGCAAACACGGTCATGGTGAGAAGCACACATCTGTAGTAAACTCACTCACTCACTCACTCTAGTTACAGCCATGCAACGTGGCACGAGAAATATTTCATGGCGTTTCCTCTGTCTGTACTTACATGCTAGCAGTGCAAACACGGTCATGGTGAGAAGCACACATCTGTAGTAAACTCACTCACTCACTCACTCACTCACTCACTCACTCTAGTTACAGCCATGCAACGTGGCACGAGAAATATTACATGGCGTTTCCTCTGTCTGTACTTACATGCTAGCAGTGCAAACACGGTCATGGTGAGAAGCACACATCTGTAGTAAACTCACTCACTCACTCACTCTAGTTACAGCCATGCAACGTGGCACGAGAAATATTTCATGGCGTTTCCTCTGTCTGTACTTACATGCTAGCAGTGCAAACACGGTCATGGTGAGAAGCACACATCTGTAGTAAACTCACTCACTCACTCACTCTAGTTACAGCCATGCAACGTGGCACGAGAAATATTTCATGGCGTTTCCTCTGTCTGTACTTACATGCTAGCAGTGCAAACACGGTCATGGTGAAAAGCACACATCTGTAGTAAACTCACTCACTCACTCACTCTAGTTACAGCCATGCAACGTGGCACGAGGAATATTTCATGGCGTTTCCTCTGTCTGTACTTACATGCTAGCAGTGCAAACACGGTCATGGTGAGAAGCACACATCTGTAGTAAACTCACTCACTCACTCACTCTAGTTACAGCCGTGCAACGTGGCACGAGAAATATTTCATGGCGTTTCCTCTGTCTGTACTTACATGCTAGCAGTGCAAACACGGTCATGGTGAGAAGCACACATCTGTAGTAAAGTCCCAGGGCCACGTAGATGTAGACGGGCATCACCACGAGGGGGATGGCGATGAAGATGATGGCGATACTCTCCATCGCCCGGACTGCGTTAAGCCACACTGAAACACGAATACAAGACATCTAACGAATGGAAAAATATTTTGTTTTATTTGTATGCATACCAACTCAAAACGCCTGGACCATACCTTATCGGCATTGTAACGTTTTGATAAAGTTTGTAACGTTTGGGTCAAATACAATTTTCAAATGTATACTTTCAGTTTATTACATGGTATATCTCGTATCATACATTATCATATTGACATACACATGGGGATTTATGAAAACATATCTGATAACGCACCACAGTAACATGTTCAATATGGCTTGTCATGTTACAATTTCATTCGTGACCAACTCGTGTTATTCCGGGACAAGCCGAATATCGCCTCGTGCCCCTCATTCGTCACCACTCGCCCCTTTCCGTAACCTGCAAGAAGACTCGCCTCATGTCGGTGAGTCTCATGTGCGAGAAACCAATCAGAATGCGCGTATGGCTTCAAGTACTTCGGTTAAAGAATCCCTCAGGATCAATTTTGATTTTACACATATCTTGCATTTAAAAATATACCCAAGATACATTTAAATGTGTTTAACCAGACTGTATAATACTGTAAGTCCCGATGTGTTTCGAATAGCATCTTGAATATATATGACATATGGGGGAAATATACGTAAATCATTATTCAACGAGTTTACAATTGTTTTAGCTATTCCCTTTTGCGCTTTGACGGAACCCGGAACAGATGTCATTGAAAACACATCGGGACTTACAGTATTATACAGTATAATTCAACACACTTAACTGTATCTTGAGTATATTTTTAAATGCAAGACACATGAAAAGTCAAAATTAATTCCAGAGGGATTCTTTGACTTGAAGTCATAGGCGGATTCCGTTTGGTTTGTCGTATTTTCGCTCAAGCATTCATCGATAGGGGGACGAGTCTTCTTGCAGGTTACGGAAAGGGACGAGTGGTGACGAACGGTTACAATTTGTATCGGAATGCTGGCGTAGGCATTGTTCAATCTTGAAACACACCAAGTTTCACTACCTCTGTCCAGCAATTATTCATGCTGTATATCAGTCAGATCACTGTGTCTATTTCACGCTTACTAAACCTTGATATCGTCCACGTCCCCTTAACTCGAGTTTATTACTGAGACAACCTATAAAGCGGCCATGAAGAAGGAGATAATTCTGGTGTGAGGCTCAACTTGTCAAAAGTAATATTCTGTTCAAGAAGCCTTCTCCCATATAGTAACCGTGCATGAGGCTAGAACAAGGTTCGCTCGCTGTCCAGTATGTACATAACCACACACTTAAAACTTGTCAAACGTGTATTGGTGTGTTGCTATACTAATCAGGTTATACAAGGCCTAGATAGACGTCGACAGCCAATAGCCCTTCACGAGTATTCCTCCTACAACGCCAAAAAAAGGGTTCTATTCCCCACATGGGTACAATGTGTTAAGCCCATTTCTGGTGTTCCCCGCCGTGATAATGCAGGAATGTTGCTAAAAGCGGCGTTAAATTACATTCACTCACTCATTTCTCCTTTGACAATCAAGTCAACTGACTGTGGACAGACTACGCACTGAAGTCATTTGGTTTGTAATACGTCATTGACTTAAGAAACGAATGTAAGTGTAATTTCTTATTTTTATCTGTGCCATTGCTTCTATCAGCGCTCCCCGTGCTTGTCTTAAAGAGGTAGTGTTCTCGGTTAAGGTCCAGCTTGATTTAGGTTTGTCTGACTGCTGTTTGAATTCTTATAACCCATGCTAGTTTAACACATTTATACTACCATTATTGCCATGTCTGTGTTTGACGATATCCCCTGGAACAATGTTCCTATTTTACAGGTCTGCCTGAGGATTTGTGTATGATCCTATGTGTGAATAGTCCTGGATATGTTTCTACCAGGATGGATGACTCCGACTGCATGTACTCATCAACCTTGGTTTGTCTCATACAGGTGTGTTACTGGACGTTATACCCTTCTCATTATAGTACTGAAATCACAGTTTATCAGACATGATTCGTGTTTCGGTTCATCAAAAACGTCAGGGCCATAACGAGAGATGGGGTTACGAAGTGACCAATCACGAGGTTAGATCATCGGCAGGTACTCTGTCGCTGGGGATGCAACCAACAGTTCGACAGACCAGCATGAGAGGGTGCAGGGGTCCAGAGAGGGTGCAGGGGTCCTGAGAGGGTGCAGGGGTCCAGAGAGGGTGCAGGGGTCCAGAGAGGGTGCAGGGGTCCAGAGAGGGTGCAGGGGTCTAGAGAGGGTGCAGGGTTTGTTTGTTAGGGGGCGGAGATCTCACAGATCACACGAGTTTATCCCGCAACAACGTCAGACACATATTCCCTGCAGTGCAGCGTCGTTGAATATTTTAATAAAGACATGTTTCCAAGTGCAACCTGACAAACTTGACATTTTTATTCAAGCATATCATTTTATTAGACGCCAACGCCTCTCGAGACAATGGATGTTATTCACAACAGACACTCGTCATGCATTCCACAAGTCCGCTTTGAAAAAAAGGCTTCATTGACGTCATGTCATGGGGACATACAGGAGACCCAATGCCAGACACCCAGTGGAGGGGTCGGATCACTTAGGATCACTCTTTGGAGCCGCAATGCCAGTCATTGGGACATCCAGTTGAAGGGTAGGATCACTTTGGATTACTCTTTGGAGCCGCAATGCCAGTCATTGAAACATTCAGTAGAGGGGTCGGATCACTCTGTGGATCCGCAATGCCAGTCACTCAGACATCCAGTTGAGGGGTCGGATCACTCTGTGGAGCCGCAATGCCAGTCACTCAGACATCTAGTTGAGGGGTCGGATCACTCTGTGGAGCCGCAATGCCAGTCATTGAAACATTCAGTAGAGGGGTCGGATCACTCTGTGAAGCCGCAATGCCAGTCACTCAGACATCCAGTTGAGGGGTCGGATCACTTTGGATCACTCTTTGGAGCCGCAATGCCAGTCATTGGGAGATCCAGTTGAGGGGTCGGATCACTCTTTGGAGCCGCAATGCCAGTCATTGGGAGATCCAGTTGAGGGGTCGGATCACTCTGTGAAGCCGCAATGCCAGTCATTGGGACATCCAGTGGAGGGGTCGGATCACTCTGTGGAGCCGCAATGCCAGTCACTCAGACATCTAGTTGAGGGGTCGGATCACTCTGTGGAGCCGCAATGCCAGTCACTCAGACATCTAGTTGAGGGGTCGGATCACTCTGTGGAGCCGCAATGCCAGTCACTCAGACATCTAGTTGAGGGGTCGGATCACTCTGTGGAGCCGCAATGCCAGTCACTCAGACATCCAGTTGAGGGGTCGGATCACTCTGTGGAGCCGCAATGCCAGTCATTGAAACATCCAGTGGAGGGGTCGGATCACTCTGTGAAGCCGCAATGCCAGTCACTCAGACATCCAGTTGAGGGGTCGGATCACTCTGTGGAGCCGCAATGCCAGTCACTCAGACATCTAGTTGAGGGGTCGGATCACTCTGTGGAGCCGCAATGCCAGTCACTCAGACATCTAGTTGAGGGGTCGGATCACTCTGTGGAGCCGCAATGCCAGTCACTCAGACATCCAGTTGAGGGGTCGGATCACTCTGTGGAGCCGCAATGCCAGTCATTGAAACATCCAGTTGAGGGGTCGGATCACTCTGTGGAGCCGCAATGCCAGTCATTGAAACATCCAGTGGAGGGGTCGGATCACTCTGTGAAGCCGCAATGCCAGTCATTGAAACATCCAGTTGAGGGGTCGGATCACTCTGTGAAGCCGCAATGCCAGTCATTGAAACATCCAGTGGAGGGGTCGGATCACTCTGTGAAGCCGCAATGCCAGTCATTGAAACATCCAGTTGAGGGGTCGGATCACTCTGTGGAGCCGCAATGCCAGTCACTCAGACATCCAGTTGAGGGGTCGGATCACTCTGTGGAGCCGCAATGCCAGTCACTCAGACATCTAGTTGAGGGGTCGGATCACTCTGTGAAGCCGCAATGCCAGTCACTCAGACATCCAGTTGAGGGGTCGGATCACTCTGTGGAGCCGCAATGCCAGTCATTGAAACATCCAGTTGAGGGGTCGGATCACTCTGTGAAGCCGCAATGCCAGTCACTCAGACATCCAGTTGAGGGGTCGGATCACTCTGTGGAGCCGCAATGCCAGTCATTGAAACATCCAGTTGAGGGGTCGGATCACTCTGTGGAGCCGCAATGCCAGTCACTCAGACATCTAGTTGAGGGGTCGGATCACTCTGTGGAGCCGCAATGCCAGTCTTTGAAACATTCAGTAGAGGGGTCGGATCACTCTGTGAAGCCGCAATGCCAGTCACTCAGACATCCAGTTGAGGGGTCGGATCACTTTGGATCACTCTTTGGAGCCGCAATGCCAGTCATTGGGAGATCCAGTTGAGGGGTCGGATCACTCTTTGGAGCCGCAATGCCAGTCATTGGGAGATCCAGTTGAGGGGTCGGATCACTCTGTGAAGCCGCAATGCCAGTCATTGGGACATCCAGTGGAGGGGTCGGATCACTCTGTGGAGCCGCAATGCCAGTCACTCAGACATCTAGTTGAGGGGTCGGATCACTCTGTGGAGCCGCAATGCCAGTCACTCAGACATCTAGTTGAGGGGTCGGATCACTCTGTGGAGCCGCAATGCCAGTCACTCAGACATCTAGTTGAGGGGTCGGATCACTCTGTGGAGCCGCAATGCCAGTCACTCAGACATCTAGTTGAGGGGTCGGATCACTCTGTGGAGCCGCAATGCCAGTCACTCAGACATCCAGTTGAGGGGTCGGATCACTCTGTGGAGCCGCAATGCCAGTCATTGAAACATCCAGTTGAGGGGTCGGATCACTCTGTGAAGCCGCAATGCCAGTCACTCAGACATCCAGTTGAGGGGTCGGATCACTCTGTGGAGCCGCAATGCCAGTCACTCAGACATCTAGTTGAGGGGTCGGATCACTCTGTGGAGCCGCAATGCCAGTCACTCAGACATCTAGTTGAGGGGTCGGATCACTCTGTGGAGCCGCAATGC